TTTCGTTTGTATTATCCAATTATATTAGTATAATCGAAGAAATTCTTAGCATTATCAAAATGTTTTACCGTATTGAAAGAAAGGGGTACATTTTTTGAATTTATTGTCAAAATAACTACTTTGACTTTGCCAATGATGGTAGGGTTGTCAATAATTTCATACCAGTGCTTTTGCTCTTTTCTTGTTCTAATCTTGTAAACTGGTCATTCTTTTTACTTTTGCATGATAGTGTCTGGATGTCTTTTGCCGAGCCTGCCTTCCGATGCCACATTTGACAGTTCAGGTGTCAGCTTCCTTTGTGATTTGAATGATAACATTCCAGCTCCCTGGCCCACCTCTCAAGGGGCAGCTTCATCTTGCAGTAAACGTATGTGCAAGCAAGCTGTTTCTGTTTATTCATTTCCATGGAGTACCCTGCAATTTGCAGTACTTTCTTATGAGGCTGTATTTTTCATCTAGTACTGCGCTCATGATTTCTGCCTGACTTTGTTGGACTTTCAGATGTCAAGATTCCTGCACTTCCTGCAGCAGCATCTGCTGAAAGTGGTGAGTAAATTCATTCATTAATCTTCATCAATGATGATTTCGCTTATTTGAGTGGTCCCCAGTTGGAGTATGCAAGGCATTCAAAGTTGTGTTTATCCTTATCAACAAAACTTAGGAACTAGTCGCAGAACAGTTTGAGCATTATGTACATACAAAACCAGAGTGTATGCCGACACTTATACCACGCACATTAAAGGCTAAAGCATATGATCTGATGTTCTCCAGGTCTATACCATGATGGTGTGATGCTTTCTCTACTCCTTGCTTCCGCGATTGTTCTTATGACGCTTCTGAATTAACTTTTCCCTCAAGGAAAACGTGTCAGTCCCTGAAGGAGAATTCGTGAGTGGTTCGTTGTTTATGCAGATCACCCCAAGCTAATGGACACAAGACTGTCGTGAAACTATATCTGCGGCGATCTGACTTCAAGTTTGTGCTTCCGATCCTATAGATTCATGATTCTTGCTTGCTTCTGTAATAAATTTTTTGTAAAAAAGTTTAGGAAATCGCGCGTGGTTGATCATATTGTAAGTTGTAACCGTCGTCATTATAAAGATTGCTTGTAAATTTAGATTGCAGCCAAAATACAATCTTGTTTTACGAGTGATGAACCAACACAGCCACCAAATTTGCATGTATTTCCTCATGTTGTAGTTTTTCATGGTGGTTTATAGGCTTACAGTGGTGGCACATGATGAAATTGAGGTTTCATCATAAAAAGTAGCTCAAAATCATATAAGCTCAAAACCAGATAAGCACATGGCAAACTTTGTTCCTCACCGATGTGGAACAATCTCAACACGTTCCCGCACGTGTAGTGGATTTTCAAGCCTACAGGTGGACAACAACTGGATGACGTGGAGCGCATGTGGCCGTTTGGCTTTGCACGAGAACAACCTGCTTTTATACCATGATGAAATTAAAGTTCCATCATAAAATTAATTGACAATATGAAAAGTAGCTCAAAACTATATAAACACATTGAAAACATTGTCCTTCGTCGATACACAACTCTCAAAGAAAAGCGACATGATTCGACGATGTTCCACTATCTTCAACTCCTCTAGATCTGGAGTTTTTGGAGAATCAGTCTCATCTTCAATATCATGATTGGGTCAACCAGGCCAAATCATGAGTGAAATACAGTACATTAGAAAATCGAAAACGTACATAGCAGTTCCAAGAGAAATACTTTGAATAATTCCATCACAGAAAATTGGCCAAACTAATCAAATTTTAATTCGTAATTTCTGAAAACTTTAGCTTTTTAATATCTTCAATATATAACACTTATGTCGTCAATTTTTTATCTCTACATCGCTGATGTTTAATACTAATTATTTTCTGTGTTCGACCTAAATTAGCGGATTAATAGAGAATGAAAAGCAAAAATTAAGAAAATAATTAGTATAAATTAAGAATAAGATGGATGTATGCCATAGAAAACAAGAACAAAGAAAAAAAAAATATAAGTAGAGGCCTGGTCCTACAATATCGACCATTCTCAACAGGTTCATGAATCTACCATTCTCAACGACATTGAACCTGTTTTGTTAGGTTAGTAGAATTTCACGTTAAACACATGGGAACAAATTTTTGGAATGTTCAAATCGTGTCTGTTCATCATACATCGTGGATCAAAAATCATTTTAAATTAAATATAAATAGTATCTGATGAAAACTGACCGCACGATATACGATGAATGGACACAATTAGAGGATCCAGAGAGGATCCTCCTCGAAATTTTTGCGTCCATTTTCTTCTTTTGTATTTTTTCTTTTGTTTACGTACCTTAACTATTATTTAATTTAGAGTAATGTTAGGAAGACTAAATTGTAGATAAAATTTGCAAACTAAATAATGTGTCACCGATACGAAATGAGCACGTTTACTAGAAGTATGATTATCTCCCCCTCCTACTCACATTCCCTTTTCTCCCCTCCTCTCACATATTGTTTTTTATCTTCTTCTTACTATTAAAAAATTAACACAAAACGTTAATGTGACTTAACAGTAACCCTTCAAATATGAGGGGAGGGAACGGGAGGGAGACTAGGAAGGGAGAGAATCATATTCTTTTTTATCAATGTTTAAGTAATAATCAAATCATTACTTCTATGTCATTTAATTTACAAAAAAAATTTCTCCAAATTTAATTTTTCTAGCATTACTCTTTAACTTATCTAACTCAATCTAACTCGACAAAATAAAGTACGAAAGTCACTTTCCTTACGTAAATGCATGCCATCACTTGAGTAATATGCAGCTGATCCTTGCATGCATGGTTGATTAACTTGATTGGGAGAATCTACACTACAACAATTGACAAATATTCTGTCAGCTTATGTTTATCACTAAAGCAAGACTTATTAATTGAGTACTTATCTTTTTTTGGTCGATAATTGGCTTATTACGTACGGAAATGTTTTCTTTTTTTGTGATTGAAAAGTTAATCTCTTTACAAATTAAAAAAGAATAAAAATGGGTATAATATATGTCATTTCATTCACCCTCACAAAACAGAGAACTTTATTCGCTTGGAATCTTCCACTTAATTCTTAAAAAAAAAAACTAATGAAAAAAATTTGAAAACTTTAAGATTAGTATCAGGATTGACTTTTTAGTGTAAAAATATAATTTTTTTTGTTAAAATAAATAGTACGGGAAACCTTTCGTTAAAATTCTCTAATTCTTATCTATTTGTTCCTCTGAAAGAAGTTGGTACCTGATGATGCAAAATCTTGTCCTGTGGCTGCTTAATTACTTAATTAGATGGTATTGATCTTCTCCTACAACTCAACATCACATGTTGGGCTAGTAGTTAGAACATCAAAATCGTACAGTGGTCCAAGTTAAATTAATTTGTTCTCTTATCATTTTCGGTTGCAGCGAATATCTGCCTTTTCTTTGGATTTGATTTAAATGAACTTTAAGGAAAGGTTTCTTCATACCATTCACTTCAATAAAAAATTATATTTTTACACTAAAAAATTAATCTTAGCACTATTTATTTTACTTTTTATTTTGTTTTTATTGTTAATTCATTTTTGAATGCAAATAAAGGAGTGACTGTTGGGTGTGGATCATTGACGGCAAAGCATTTTTGGCATAGTTAACGCGGGATGCCTACTACATCACTGGCTTTCCGGGGTTGAATAAAGCAACATACCTCACATCGGTCATTTCATAAAATAATTTATAACTTATATTAAATAGTTTTACTTTTAATTGTGTCAATATTTTTGTATAAAAAATAAAAATATACCACGTTAGTTATCTTACAAAATAAATAATAACTTATATTAAATTATTTCACTTCTAATTGGATAGTTGCCTTTTATATAAAAGCTACATATTTATTGATTGCACAGATAATTTAGTGGGAGATAATATCAATACTATTAATGTTGCATCGCTACCCATCCCTTTGAAACTTTAACATGGGTTTGCCTTTAGAGCTCAGGTACACATGTTTGTTTCAACTTTTAATGTCGTTTTTTCTTTACCATTTCTCCTCTTTTATTTGTTTTTAGTTACAGTTTATATATTTCTTTTTTCAGGAAATATGGAGTGGGATGATAAGAGGTACTTTTATATTAGGCCATCTCTAACTGAAGAAGGGCTAGAGAGCTCAGTTTGAGTCCTCTGGTCTTCCAAGAAATTAATATTTTAATGAACAGTGCAGGGTTATATTTTTTACCATCTCTAACCGAGGGTCAAACATAATTTATGATTTAAATTTAAAAACTACAAATTAAATAGACCTAATAGATATGATCACAAATATGTAGTTACGCCATGCATGCATAGAGATATGATCATGCATATATTATAAAGGCCTAATAGATAAACGGTTCTCGTGTTAATAATTTAATCAAAAGACTGTTTATATGGGAAAAAAATTAAAATTTAACCCTTCATAGCATAATTTGTTAATAAATTTAGTTCAAAAGTGGTTATTATATCAATAATTTTGATAGAAATCGAATTTTATTGAGAGAATGACAGAGCTGGGGCCTTACAGTGATCGCCCTTCATGGGTGATTCTTCTTTCACCCGTTCACATAGTAAGTGAAGTACACTGTACACCTACTTTCTCCGATGCTATCATCGTGTCGGTTCAAGGACCATGACCTTAAGAAATTTGTCCGCTCCGGCATATTAACTTTAAATCTTTCATAGCTAACGTTCATTTTACATTCTAAACTTTTTATATTTGAAAGAAAAAAATACATTTATAAGGAATGTGGAATGAAAATTTTGAAGTACCAATAATATTCTTTTTTTTTAACTTTTTGTTAATAAGGGAGACAAGATTCATATTTACGCATTTTCTCGTCCAATAATGAAAGAATAAATATCTGCACAGTTGATTATGACGTCTTCCTTTGACCTAAAAAACCTAATCAATTACGCTGTTTTTTTCGTCGAATTGGAAAAACTAAAACCCTAATTCTATCGTAATTTGTTTACAAAATTTAAAAAAAAAAATACTAATAAATCATAGTAGTTGTCGACGCACTGTATTAATTGAAGCCTAAACACTGGTGTCCACGGAAAAACTGTGAGAACATGAATTCGTTCTCTAACGTGGATTATTAATGCAGCCTCAGAACATATAATTCCCCGTGGCACACTGCTACCCACATATCCCACCACGTTTTTCGTCCAGAAATGTCTCAAGACCAACTCAACCAACCCATCATAGACTCCGAACCGGAACCGGCAGCAGAACCCTCCAGCAATGGAGACGGTGTGGACTTTCTACTCGAGAAGGTGCTGTCCGACACCCAATTGCCCCCATTCAAGCGACTCCGCATGGCCACATGGATCGAACTCAAGCTCCTCTTTCGCCTTGCTGCCCCCGCCGTCTTGGTTTATGTCATTAACAACTCCATGTCACTTTCCACTCGTGTCTTCGCCGGCCACCTCGGCAATCTTGAGCTGGCCGCCGCCATTCTCGGCAACAGCGGCGTCCAACTCTTGGCCTATGGCCTCATGGTACAATTATCAATATAACTTTATGTGCCCTACGGTTTGTGTCATATATTAGAATGTCAATTATTAAGATTAGAATTCAGATGATGAACGTTTTCAATCTGCTCGAGCGATCACATGCAAAAATATTTTAGAATGTACAGTATGACAACATAACATGCGATCGTGTGTTGTCATTCTTATCTCCTTAATGATTTTTTTGGTTTGGTTCTTGTTTCTTGCAGCTAGGCATGGGAAGTGCAGTGGAGACTCTATGTGGGCAAGCCTACGGTGCCCAAAAGTATGACATGTTAAGCATATATCTTCAAAGAGCAATCATAGTCCTCTCTCTCACTGGCCTCCCACTTCTGGCAGTCTTTCTCCTCTCAAAACCCTTGTTGCTTTTACTCGGCGAACCAATCGCCGTGGCCTCAGCCGCCGCCGTCTTTGTCTACGGTCTCATCCCTCAAATATTTGCCTACGCCATAAACTTCCCCATTCAAAAGTTTCTCCAAGCACAACGAATTGTGGCCCCAAGTGCTTACATATCAGCAGCTACTTTTGGGGTGCATTTATTGATGAGCTGGGTTGCTGTGTACAAGCTGGGTTTAGGGTTGCTAGGTGTTTCTCTTGTTTTGAGCTTGTCGTGGTGGATAATAGTTGGAGCCCAGATTGTTTACATCTTGGTGAGCAGTCAGTGTAAGCTGACTTGGCAGGGTTTCAGCGTGCAAGCCTTTTCTGGGTTGTGGGATTTTTTCAAGCTATCGGCTGCATCGGCGGTGATGTTGTGCTTGGAGGTTTGGTACACTCAGGTGCTAGTTTTGATTGCTGGGTTGCTAAAAAATCCTGAGCTTGCCCTAACTTCTTTGGCCGTATGGTAAGAGCTAATTAACACCACTCTGTCTTTCATCAATTAATTAATATCTAATGTTATCCATTTTAATTTAGTGTAATGCTAGATAGATTAATTTTTTAAATTAAATTTGTAAATTATATGATGTGTCATCAATAAAAAATAAACATGTAAATCAAAATTTAAGTAATAATACAATTATCAACAAACTATGTTATATGATTTACAAATTTTAATTTAAGAAGTTGATCTCTAGATGACGGGCCGTAAGTTAGCAAGTATTATAGTTTATTGCTATTTTTTCAGTCTTAAGTAGAAAAATATTAAATTTAATTCTTATAAATTGTGAGTTCGTTGTCAAATTGATTTTGCATTGTGTCTTAGCTTAGGTTTCACGCTACCTAGTGCAAATAAGAAGCTTAAATTACACAAAATTACTTTAATTATGGATTAAACTACAATTTCATAACTCATGTTTTAAACATTGCAATGTCATACATTCGTTAAATTTTCTTTCAAATTTAACTGTTAAATGATGACGTTGCAAGAGCAAGCCCCCTCATTCTCCAACTGAAATATTAAATTAATTATTAAGAATTTATTGATTTTTTATTTAACAATTAAAATTAAAAATTAAAAATAAAAAATAAAAAAACTCTCTTTCTCGCTCACTCGCACCTCTCACATGTCTCCCTCACTCACTCTCTGCTCTCACTTGTAGAGAAACAATGGCAGCCATGGCTGCCGTGGCCATAGACACCCTTCACTCCCACTCCTTCCACCCAAAACACCATCTTCCACAATCTGCCTCCCTTATACTATTCCAGTTCTAGCCCCATCAACCATATTAATTCCACCATGAAACCCTGCACATTCTGCAAATCCATCCGAAACCTCTCTCTAAATTTCCAATCTTTTCTCTTAGTCTTCTCTGCCACTCTCCTCATTTGCTTCACTGAATCCGAACTCCAAACTTCATCATTCATTGTACCCTTCAAAACCCAACAAATTCCATCTGGGTCCCTCCCAAAAGTCCCCGAACAAGCTTCCTTTCCACCACAATGTCACCCGCATAGTCACCGTCCCAGTCGGAATTCGATGGTTATCGACACCGAAGCGATCTCTCCTGTCTTCACTGCAACAAAACCCGGAACTATAACACATTCGATCCGACCCGGTCCACCTCCTACTCCCCCGTTCCATGCTCCTCATCCACCTGCACGAACCGGACCCGAGACCTCACCATACCCGCTTCCTACGCCGACGCTCTCCACGCCACGCTCTCCTACGCCGGCGCCCCGAACCGGAATTCTGTATTTGGTATTCGGGTGCATGGATTCAACTTATCCGGCGAGATTCCCGCAACGGTGAACCATTTGACCCGTCTCTTCATATCTTCAGTTCGAGATGAACCGTTTTTCCGGTTCGATCTATGCCCACGGCAGCCATGGCTGCCATTGCTTCTCTGCAAATGAGAGCAGAGAGTGAGTGAGGGAGACAAGTGAGAGGAGAGAGTTTTCTTTAATTAATTTTAATTATTAAATAAAAAATAAAAAATATTAATACTTAATTAATTTAATATTTCAGTTGGAGAATGAGTGGGCTCTGCTCTGTTATGTTATCATTTAACAATTAAATTAATAAAAAAATTTAACTTAAATTTAGTATTGCAACGAATTCATAAATTAATATTACAATATTTAAAATATGAGTTACGAAATTTTGATTCATTAATTAAAGTAAGTTTTGTATAATTCATTCAAATAAAAGTAAGTGGACGAGTCAAAATTGGGTTTGACTTAAGGAATATGAAAAATAAAAGAAAGTGGACAAGCATAATTGGGTTTGCCACCCTGAGGAGAGCGAGTCCACAAGTGAAGGAATATATACCTTATCCCTAACACAAAAGGACACATCTCATGAGTCACTAACAAATTTTTATCAAATAGAAACATCAATCAAACATATACGGCTCAACCCTTTTCGAAACTGCCATATGCAGCTCCAAACGACATAGAGACATCTTCCGCCCATCGTATCCTAATATTAATGAAAGAAGAACTTACATGTTGTGTGGTTATTGTCTTTTGCTCATTTTATTAAAACATGATGTGACGAGCAATATAAAATAGGAATATGCATATCATGCTTAAGAAAAATGTCCAAGAAATATATGCTATGAGCTGAGACCCCATTACATGCAACTATTCCATTCCATCCCACAAATGGAGTATATTTAATTACTTGCCGATCATATAATACACTGTCTACATGAACCCTAATTAGGATCAACGGCAATATTTTTACTATGCATAAACTAAAAAGAAACAGTTGATCCTAAACTTCCTTTGTTACTTTTCATTTCCGACGAACCTTGACTGTTGGATATTAGTTCCTTGCCTAACTCCATTTTGAAGTGATGTATGAAGTTCTTGTGTCCACATAATGCTGCACATTATAAACTTATTACTTAATTTGTATAAAATAAAGAGTAAAAGCCTTTTACTGTAAATATGCCGCTATAGTTTACTGATTTAAACAAGATAGCTGACAGACAATTATTAGAAACTTTAACGAAAAGTTTCTGGTACTGTTTACTTTAACTAAAAATCACATTTTTTACACTAAAAAATCAATTGTAGTACTATTCATTTTACCCTTTATTTTGTATTTATCGTTAAAACTTTCATAGCAGACAAATTATTTTGTTATCGTCCATTATATAGTACTTGTAATAAGAAAACCGCGTGGCCAAATCAAATTCGTACATATGTCATATAGTATACACGTCCCCTTACCTCGTTAAATTTTATCAATTTCAAACCGTTTATTTTCAATTGGTTTATTCTTAAAGTTTCATTTTATAAATTGATAAACATAGTGTTCTAAATACAAAACATTGAAGTTACATTGTGATAATCACATTGGTAAAAGACTTTGGATTAAATTCCTTTGTAAGAATGAACAATCTATTATTGGAGATTTAAAAATAAATAGTTTGTATTGTTGCAAAAGAATGAAAGTTCTTCTCTCATTTGAGATTAGTCATTACCAAAACTTTATATCACACATGGAAACATATATGCTCAATGCTTTTCGAGAATAAACAGTTCAGATTGTTGCAAAAGAATGAAAGCGAACCCCATTTCTTGGGATAGGTATAAATGCATGATTAGCTTGTTCATGGTTTTACTTAACGGTGCATGGTTTCCCCTTGTGCAGCATGTCGTTAAATGGAGTGTTGTTCATGGTTTCAGTCGGGTTCAATGCAGCTGCAAGGTACGTACATATATTGTTTTCTAAAATATTGGTTGGATTAATTTATCTAGCTAATATGTTAAGCCATAATTAATTAAAAAGTTTAATTGATGGATAAGTAGATCTATAATTACAAATTAAGTGGTGGGGAATTAATCAATAAAATACATGCATGCACGTATGCAGTGTGAGGGTGAGCAATGAGCTAGGTTCTGGGAATCCAAAGTCAGCAGCATTCTCGGTTATAGTAGTAACTTCGGTATCCTTAGCTTTTGCTGTTCTGGAAGCTGTGGTTGTGCTCTCCCTCCGCGACGTAATCAGTTATGCCTTCACCAGCGGTGAAACTGTGGCCAAGGCAGTCTCGCACCTCACTCCATATTTGGCCGTCACTCTAATCCTCAATGGGATTCAACCAGTCCTATCCGGTATGTGCTATCACACGCGCGCGCACACACACACACATATTGTTGGAAATTTAATATTTGTTATTATATTAAACTTATTAGTTGAATAAAAATTCGAAGCAATGTCTTTGGGTGGAAAAACGTGTCTCTCCAAATGAAGAGTTGCAATTTTAAAACTTCTTGAAAATAAACACATGCGTTCAAAAGAGGCATCTCTATTTCTATAAGTAGGCAAGTCCTACTGAACACATATGATGCATTACAATAGTATGTAATGTGAGATATATATATATATATATATATATATATATATATAGGGAAGTGTTATTGGCACTCCAAAAATCTCATTCTACACTCCTTACAAGTGTATTTTTCTTTCCAAATATAGAAAGTTTGGAGTGTAGAATAAGATTTTTGGAGTGCCAATAACAATTCTCTCTCTCTCTCTCTCTCTCTCTCTCTCTATATATATATATATGTCTTTAATTATATTTGGGATGAGACATGATTATTCTACCGTGCTGTCATTGCTATCGCACTACAAAATAATCATACTAATAGTGCACATATATGTTACAAAGAAAGTTGTGGTTGCCTTTAGTGTCCTAACTATGAAATCTCGGTAAGTTTAGAGTCTAAAGGCAACAGGTGCTAGAAGTGCTTCTCATAGAAAGGCCTAGTCATTAGGCTTCAAAGCAATCACACTCATTAGGCTTCAAAACAATCACAATGTGAGGGAATTGTGGGAGTAGATTAGCTATCTTTGAGAAATGATCACTTCAGAAGAAGGAAAAAATTGCTTTTAGAAAAAGATAATGTTGTGAATTAGTTTACAAGATGTGTTCCAAAGATCTCGTAGAGTGAGTTAGTTTAAGGTATTGAAAGGTTAGAGAACTTCAAAAAATACCTTAAATGTGGGGGAGTTTACCCAAACATATAGGCAAATTACTTATTAAGTCTCAATATATGTTTGGAGGTCCTTATGTTAGAGATAAACCGCTCTCGGTGAAATCAATTTTCATGCATGGATATGAAGTTTGTAATGGCTCTAGATTGTAAATAGTCAACCTAGTGGTACCAATTGTAAAGGTTCAACTAGAGATTTCATATGTTGTATCATCAAGGAGAACGAGAAAAAATCATAAAAGCCTGTGATTAGAGTAATCATAGTGGAAACCCAACCAATTAACTGAAGATCTCAAGATCTAGGTTCAAAACGAACAACTAAATTATGACAACTCGAAGTAGCACAAATGAGATATACTCTACTACCCATGTCTCGTGTTGATAACAGTGTTGTCTGACATTGAGAGTAGGTTAAACTTTGCTTTTAATGATTCTTATAGCTTGGAATACTTAGAAGTCCAAGTAGGGTGTTACTGGATATTCTTAATGGAAAGTCACCTATCTTGAATGTGGAATGAGGGCCGTTTTTATAGCTCTCATGATGAGCTAGAAACTATTCAACACCGAAATAAACACAAGGAGCAACCACGGGGCGTTTGAAAATATGTTGTGTGATTATTATTTAACACTAGTTCTTGTTTGTATGTAATCATTAAACCTGTAATCAAATCATTTTTCATGATAATTGAACTTGTATTTACATAATTAAGGATATAATATATATGGTGATCATTTTAGGGGTGGCGGTTGGGTGTGGGTGGCAAGCATTTGTGGCATATGTGAATGTGGGATGTTATTACGTAGTTGGAATTCCATGCGGCTGTGTTCTTGGATTTGTGTTCGACCTTGGTGCTGAGGTACAGTTTACCAACTCAATTATTGCGGAATATATAATATTTTACAAAATAAGAAGCTAAATGAAGCAAAAGATAATCTTGCTCGACAAGGAAACAGGGGCAAGTGAACATCTTCTCAAAAAATGAAAAAGGAATTAATTAGATTTCGACACACATATGTACTATACAGGGAATATGGTCAGGGATGATAGGAGGAACTCTAATGCAGACCTTAATTTTACTGTGGGTAACATTTCGTACGGACTGGGATAAAGAGGTAATTTCAGTAATCACTATGCCCACTTCATTTTGTATAGGCAGCTTTAAGATTAAATATTAAATATAACATTTCTGTTCTGTGTTAGTACTAAAAACTTACCTTAGAATTGTGACTACGATATAAAATTATTATACTTGTACATCTTGAAATTGTGAATGAAACGCAAAATATTGATATGTAAAAACCCATGATTGGTGTGTTGTATACTAACAAATGAGCTCAGAGAAATTTTTTATAATATATTTGTGCAGATTATTTGATAAGCCCGTAAGATAGCCCCCTCAATAGTTCATTTACAAATCTTAATTAATAATCTAAGATGTACTTTTGGGGCACTGAGTTATTCAGGTGGAGAATGCCAAAAGTCGCGTGGAGAAATGGGATGACAAGAAGCAGCCTCTACTAAAAAGTTGATGGCGTCACAAGTTTTCAACAGGCCACGAGTTTTCAACATGGAGAAAGCTTGGATGCTGAAAAAATCTGCAGCAGCTTTTGCTGCTAGCGAATTAGGGGTAAACACATGTTTAAATAATTGATTTTTTAATTATAATTTGAACACGTGTTTATTCGTGATTCGCTAGCTGCTGATTTATCAGTAATTAAGTTCAGTTCTTTCAACATACTATAAAGTCACGAGTTTTCAACAGACCATAATTGCTGGTTCGGCACATCCAATGTCATTGTAATAAGGACGGATTCAAATTGTTTTAATGCATGCTTTTCAACTTCTGATAATATTCAATTTCCCCTTTTCTTAGAGAAAGGATATAGAGTTACAGAAATGGTAATCTTCATGAACAGATACAAATAGAAAAGAAGAAAATGGGTGTCTTGTTCAGAAGATTACGTAACTTTTGGGATTCATTAATGTCAGTCACTAAGAAATTAGGGTTTGACGCATTCGCACATCGAATACAGATAAAAGACAAACAGATAGCATATTACACAAAAACCACACCACACCGCCATGAGAAGTTTTTCGTTAGTTTGTGATCGTCCTACTCAATTGTGTATCGACGAAAGGCAGGCTGGCGCATCCCCCAACCAAGGGAGTGGTTGCGTTCAGTATGTCCCCACACAAATTGCATAGTATTATAAATAGTTACTCCAGGTATCACCCATCCGCTAGAGTCCCCTTTCCCTAACAGAATAGCGAACCCCTGGCACATCTTCAATTTTTTTTTTTTTTGGGGGGTGGCGAGGTAAAAGAGATTGAGGGTTTAGTGGTATAGTGTGTGAACAGTAATTCAATCTAAACGTACGTGTAGTATTTGATATCCATTGGATTAATCACGTTAATGTTTGTCTAAATGCAGAGACTTGGGATTCTCACGAGTCTGAACAAAATTAGGAGCACCTCGGCCGATGCATGATGCTAAAAGAGACCATCTACTTAAACCATATTTTGATAGTTGGACTCCTTTATTTCATTAAATGAATAATTCAACCATCAACCGTCACATCATGTAATCTTTAAAAATATAATCTAAAAACATGGTATCCTTAGCATATTCTAGAGCACCTCATGCAACACAAGTTTCATTAAGAATGTATACCTACCAAATCTATATGTCATGTTAATTATAACAGGGTCGCCGGGCAGAGGTAGGATTCGTGTAATTGGTAAATAATTAAAAACCCAAACGTATACAATTTTTTCTTATTACAAACGATATTATACACTAAATTACAGTAAAAAAAGAGAAGTGTTTTGAACATGAAGCACAGTGATTTGAAGCGAAAATACCGAACCTACCTGGACAATCCAACTTGTAATTTTAGAAACCCGTAGTTGACTTATTTGTGGACATTTTTCCAGACACTAATTAATTTGGCTAATTGGATTTAGTGGCCACTTCTCCAAAGTTATATGAAATAATGGACAGTTAATTAGGACAGCAGTACTACTACTGCAAAGCATCATGGGAACTTGGGATTGGATGTATAATGTGTAAATGCGAGGAGTGTCTAGAGGGGAAGTTGACTTCTTTGCACAAACTATGAATATCTTTCTTGTCGATGGGTTAGTGGACATTAAGAAGTTATATATGGCTTAATTTGGTGCTTGACTAATTACTTTGTGCTTTGCATGTCATTTCGAAACGTACAAAACGAAGGATAAAGGACCTCCTGAATTGTATTGCTGATTAGTATAACTCATCATTTTGTATAGGTAAAATTTTAAAGATGTCACTGTTTTAAACTTTATTACATTTGGGGTGCAGGATTAGTAGTCAGAGACTCAGAGGGTGTTTTCTTGGCTGCGTTCGTCAGAAAGTTGGCCAATGTTTTCTCCCCTTTGCAGGCTGAAGCTATGGCGGTTCATGCGGGGTTAGCTTGGACGGCGGAAAACAGTTTCCAAAATTTTATCTTTGAGAATGATTCTCTTCAGATTACTTCACCGTTGCTGGAGCCTTCTCTCAATTCGAGAATGGTTGGTCCAATTGTAAAGATGCTAAGGCCTTGCTTAGATCGATCGCTGGAGTCACACCTTCCCACGTTCGCCGCCAGGCTAATGGAGTGGCCCATTGTCTCGACAGGATTGCTCTTCAGGTTGATGAGAGTTGTGTTGGAATGGGGATCCTCCTCTAGTTATATCAGGTCTAATTCTGGAGGAGAGTCTTCCTCATTTCTAACTTTACCGTTTGGCTTTTGTTAATTAGAATGTGCCGCTTCTGTAAAATAAATTTTTTTTTAAATGTCTGTTTAATGTACCTTTTTTGGTGATCGCTCGAACACAGATGATTGAATGAAATTAACCCATGAGATCGCTTTAAGGCAAACCAAACTGAGACACGTCTCATATGACATTCTCAAGTTGTTCTATATAAGAAAATAAGCGAACTCTATGGTTTAATATCATATATGGGAACAAAATTCAAAAGCCGATCGAAATTACAAGTTGGTATTTATATGAAAAAAGATGGATGAGAAGAAAGTAAAGAGACATGATTAAAACTATTTAAATCAGGTAAGCAAAACTGGAACAGTTGCATTGACAGTTCCCTGATCTCCGCGGCCAAACAAGGTCATGCAAGTTTTTAGTTGATTAAAAACTCGCTTATAAACACAAACCCTGGCGGTAGATATACTTAGAAGCATGCTCTTCCTCAACTTCTTTAATCTCCTCCCAATCTTCACCTTCAGTTTACGTATCCGAATCCTCAAATTCGAAGGCCTTCGCCGTGTTTCTGCTTGCTGCAACACTTTGTAGATCAGGAACTGCGCCCGTCGATGATTTACATCTTCGGGATCTTCCTTGTCCAACTTCGAGTAGCCGCCGTACGACTTTCTGATCATCACAGCCATTTTCTTCAAAGGAAAAAAATATCGGCTCGCTCACTCTGATTGAGAGATGAGAGAGAGGGAGTGAGAGAAAGCGAGAGCAAGAGAGAGGTGTTGTGATATCAGTTATGCTTATGTGAGCTCAGATGCGTTATAATTAAGTGACGTTTTAATTTATAGAGAGAGCATTGAAGAGTTGGTTTGCTGATGAAGCAATGCATGTGCACTACTAATGTTTGGTGCAAAAATAATGCAGAGAAAAATTGCAGGCACTGAGCTGGCCTTTCTTCATCATCTCATTTGTGTGAATTAATTAAAAAATCAGTTTTTTTTTTTGTTGTAAAGGAATGAGGTAAAGCAAGAAACCTTGCGAACAACCAGGTCCGCGCCAAACTAACCTTTCAATACCGTATAAAAATATTCGGAAGAGTAAGACCTATCTATATTAGTAAAACCAGTTAAACTAAACTTTTTTGTTTAATTTGTGATCATATGATTTAAAAAGGGAAAATATTAAGTAATTACACTACATGCGAGTGTGCCACTATGATTTAATATTCAAGTGTAATGTAAATCCAAGATCAATGGGGAATCCAAAGATCTGGGCCCTTGGTTTTGGATCAGATGCCAATGGATGTGAGTTAATTAAAAACTAGAAAAAGGAGTACTGTCACTGTGAAACCATGTGGGTTCAATTAAAGAAAAACTAATGAAAAGATTTTAAAATTTTGAGTTTTAATGATAAGGATAAAATAAAGGGTAAAATGAATAGTACCAGGATTGACTTTTTAGTGTAAAAATATGATTTTTTGTTAAAGTAAACAGTACTGTGGGCTTTTTCGTTAAAACTCCCTTCAATCAATTGGATGATCAAGAAAATCAGAGCAATGATTATGGAAACTTGGGGGAACTCATTTCAAAAAGGATAAAGCTTCGACGGATAAATTTTGAGAATTAAAGAATATGAAATTTGATAATTGATTTATTACTTAAGTGTTGATAAACATGCTTATTTATATTGGCAACACATCATTTAGTTTGCAAATTTAGTCTTATTAGCATTACCTTTTCACAAATTAAGAATTAGTTCATGCATTTACTAATTAATTAGGTATATAATTTATTGAAAATTGTGTAGTTTACACTTTGAACCAAGATCAAGGAGCTTTTCAATAGGTACATGAATGTGGAGGATACATGAAATATTAGGTTAAAGTTGATTTTTTTAGATGGCAGGGAGTATTTTTTAGAGAATTCTCTTAACATTTCTCTCATGAACAATAACGGAGTCATTAACTTTGATACAATGGAGCCCCGTTGCGATTTTTTAAAAAGCTCTCTCATAAGTCATAACTTTAGTTTTGTTTTGTGCTTTTGAAATGTCGAAGAGGCATTTTCATCAAATATCTATAAGATCAATATTAAATAGGGAAGTCAAAATTGAATATTAAGATGAAGACTAGTGAAAGAAAGAAAAAGAAAACATATTTATTCAAGTTATTGGAACCCATTAACCATGTATTGTTGTCAACTCGTGATAACTGCTCTTAATTAATTAATGTACAAGTCTTTAGTATGGTTAAAAGTAATATCTAATTAATCAAAAGTTTACAATTATTATTTTATTTAGATGAGGATTAGGAAAACAGAAAACATATTGATTCAAGTCATTTGAACCCATTAACCCGACCTTGTCGTCATCACTACTTATCGATAATGTTCTTGTCCAATTAAATTACAAGTTTCTTGTTCAGTCTCGTAACGGTATCTAATTAAAATAACTATTATATTGTCTTAGTTCAGAATATAAAATTCAATCATCAGTATAAATATTCATGGCAGACCAGCTCTACAAACATGCAAGTACACCGCTAAAATTAAGAAATGAAAGGGTGATGCAGGCTGGCCGGCATGGGATCCTTAGGGAGGTGAGAGCTCTCAAGTCAAAGAAAGAAAGAGGGAAACATGCAGCTTGCCATGTTTAAAACAGACAAAAACCTCCACCGGCGTCAAGGATCTTTGAAAAATACAAAATAATTGCAATTAAAATATGCAGAAAAAAGTTTTGGAGGGTCAAAGCAGAGTGAGAAGGGCCATGAGGGATAAACATGTTGGCTTTCAAGTTGGTTTCGCAGTGGCATTCCATTCAAGTCAACCCTCCACCGGCTTCAGCCTGACAAATGCAAGAGTGCTAGTTTTATGATTTTTAAAGTCGATGATTTGTAGTATTTCGATTAGTCGTATATTTATAGGCCCAAGAAGTTTTGACTTGATTTATGAAATAATACGTTTGGTGTCTAATTATTACGATTGATTATTATGCAATTTAGATTAAATCTCCACCCTTGATAAGTAGTAAAATAGCTATGCATAAAAAAGAGTATATCAAGGGGCACCTTACTTTTAAGTTCGAATCTCCCTCCTTATAAATTAAAATAACTTAAAGTATCATCTATTAAAAAATCGAAGCTATCATATAAATATATAGATATGTCTATATGCGTCTTCTCGGACTCCAGAATAATAAACTGTGTTGTGATAAAATCACTAACTGGTCTATTTTTTTATATTTAAAATCGAAGCTATAAATATATTCATATGTGACAAGAAGTCAATGACGTTTTCGTCGATTAATTGAGAGTATATTATCAGACCATGCTTGCATTTCGTAATTGACATCACACAGACATTTAACGTAATATTCATGTTCAAATTATTTGGTTCAGTTTCATATGTCACTCCTCCCCAATTCATCTTCTCATTCTTTAAATGGATAACACCAAACAATAGGTCAAATATATCAATATCATCAGTTTCGTGTGACCTAAGCATTCAATTATTTCATATAAAAAAATTTGGCTGCAATTGTAAAACAATGCTATTGCAACAATTTTTTTTTTTTTGTTTAAATAACATATTATAGTCGTTGTTTAAATTTGTGTTGGAAAAGAATTAAGAAGAATTTGCAAGAATGGTCAATTTTTTTAACATTTGGTTGTATAAACGATCAAATGTCTTTATGTCATCGTTATGTGGATGTTGCATGATTAATAATTCTACAACCAAATATAAAAAGTGATCATTCTTTGCTAATTGCCAAATAATTAATAAAATTGGGTACTTTCATGTATTTTTTACAATGTAATATTCTAGGCTACTCAATAATCAAGGAAGAGAATTCAAAATTAGATGCAAAGAGACAGATACAATATCATAACAACTTATCTAACCTACAATTCGTCGATACCTTCTACTAAAAACCAAAAACTGAAAAGCATCCTTGAGTTTTCAAAATTTGGCACTTTTTTGAAAACTGAAGATAGTTATCAAACAAGGTTTTATTTTTTAATTAAAAAATAAATAAAAAAAACTAAAAACTAAAAAGTTATCAAATGATTTCTAAATTAATCGTGTTTTAATAAGATATTAAAGGTCTAACTTTGTTTCAAGTAAAAGCACAACTCCTCACAAGGGCAAGGCCCTCCCATGCCTTGGTGAGTTGGTGGCCAGTTGCAGTCCCAGCTCCTCAAAGGAAGGGAAGGCACAGACTATCTGGATCCGAGAGATGCCGATTGACAAGGTTTACTAAAACGCTCCTCCTCATTTTTCACGTCGGAAGTGTATAAACCTTGTGGGCACAATTTTTTTTTCTTCTAGCTTTAGCTGGAGTTTCACTTCAATTGGCGTGATAGCCAACTACACAATTATACACAAGAAAATTATACCATTTTAGATAGTAATTACTATTTTTCATAATTGTAGAATTTAGTTATACATCTGTCAATTTTCAATAATTTGGAATTATTATGATGTTGGAGGAAATTAAAATATAATCTTGGACGATTCAAATATATGTGAAATAACTCGCAAGCCATAGTCGGAACCACCGAAGACATGGACCTAGAAACTTCCGAAGTCACCATGATTATAAAGAAAACATTAGGTCGGCCTGGTGTCAAAGTACTAACGACGAGGCTAAGTTGGACTCAAAGCGGACCAGGGATGAGAAGGAATTGAAGGTGAATGATGTGAACAATACGATCATGGAGAATTCACCAAAAGAAATATTGTGCATTCTAATTTAGAAAGAATTGTGGATTCAAACGAGAGATATAGTTGAAAGAATAGATATCATTAAAGTATTTGGTAGAATTAAAGAAGGTGGATTAATGTTGTGGGTACAAATAACAAAATTTTAAATTCATTAGAAAAACCTACTTACTAGCAATTGGTTTAATTTAATCTATCTTCTATTTTTTTTTTTAATAAAAAAAAGTTAGAACTCTTCTATCTCCATCGAAAAGTAAGTATAAAAACCTTTTTTTTTTCTTTCAAAATTACTTAAAATTTAGAGTTAATTATATTTTGTACACTTTTAATTTTTGTGGTGATTCTCAAAATGAATTATGAAGTTTTAATTTTCTAACATTGCATTTTAATATTTTGAAGTTGTACTAATTTACATCTTTTATCTTTATGAATTTCAAATTATTCATTAAATTAATGAGTTTATTTTGCCAATGTATTGCAAATGTAGTCCACTTTCATAAATTATTCCACAATTAATCAGACCAAAATACACAAATTGATAGAAAATCAATAATCTAAAATATGATATGAAATTAAAACTTTGTCCTCCATTTTGAAAATAACCAACTTAAAATTTAAAAGTTTGATGAAAAAAAAAAAAAAAAAAAACACACTTGAAATTTAAAAGAAAATAAAAAAGCAAAATAGAAACAGAAAAGGCCTCTAAACCTTAGATCCGCTAAATTCCATGGCTACCAAATCAGCGGCCGTCGACCTCTCCTCCTCCGACACCCCATCCAAACCCCCACCCACTCCTGTTCCGATCCCCGTCAATCCTGAGACTCCGATCACCGCCACCCCACGCCAAACTCAACCGCGTCCCACCTCTGACGCCGACGTCATCCGCGTCCCCAGCTATTCCCGCTGGTTCTCGCCGGACCACATCCACCACTGCGAGGTCCGATTCCTCCCCGAGTTCTTCGACTCTCGATCCCCTTCCAAAAGCCCTAGCCTCTACAAGTACTATCGCAACACCATCGTCAGCCAATCCAGGGCCGTCAACCCTTCTCGGAAGCTCACCTTCACGGAGGCCCGCAAGGCTCTCGTCGGCGACGTCGGCTCCGTTAGGAGGGTTTTTGATTTCCTGGAGGCGTGGGGTTTGATCAATTACACTCCTTCCGCGCCCAACAAGCCCCTCAGGTGGGAGGACAAGGACAGCAGCAAGGCCGCCGCCGCGTCCTCTAATGGCGGCGCTGAATCCCCCGCCGGCGGTCCCAAGGACGGGTCTTCGGGGACCAGCAAGGAGAGCCCAAAGAAGAGGACTTGCAATGGCTGCAAGTCTGTTTGCAGCATTGCCTGCTTTGTTTCCGAAAAGGTCTGTTCTTGTCATTCTTTTGCTACCATTGATTTATTTGGAATTGAATTTGATTAGCTTGATGTAATTGTCACTCTATTTGAAATTCATTCATAGGTTTCGTTTGATCGTGTTCGACTTGACTAATTTAAGGAACATTTGATGTTCTTCGAATTGATTAGCTTCGATTTTGCTTTGCAATCCCATGAAGTGTTATGGTTTGCTGCAACTGATGTTCTTAATTTGTTGTTGGGAACAGAATGACATGACCCTGTGTGCAAGGTGCTATGTTCGCAGCAACTATCAGATCGGCATAAGTTCTTCCGATTTCAGGCGGGTTGAAATCAATGAAGAGATGGGGAGTGGCTGGGCTGATAAAGATACTCTGCATCTTCTAGAAGCCCTTATGCATTATGGCGACGATTGGAGGAAGGTTGCGCAACATGTCGGGAGAAGTGAGAAGGAATGTGTTGCTCATTTTCTCAAGATTCCTGTTGGCGAGGAGTTTACTGAGGATCTGGATTACAAGCAGACTAGTGGAATGAAGGAAGACGCAGCTGATGCTGAATCTGGATTGGACGCAGCTGATGCTGAATCTGGATTGGAGGGTGATGGTGATGGTGATGGTACAACACTAAGTAAAAGAATGCGTCTCACGCCTCTTGCGGATGCAAGCAACCCAATTATGGCTCAGGCCGCCTTTCTGTCAGCACTGGCGGGCGTACAGGTTGCAGAGGCTGCTGCTTCTGCTGCCGTAACAACCCTGTGTGAGGCGGATTATGAAACAAGTAAAATGAGTGTTCCATCTCTGGCTTCGAGTGCAAGACAGCATGAAACCGATGCTGAGTTAAATGGAGACAATAAAAGTGACCTGGATGCACTGGGGGCTGCTTTTGTAGATGCAAATTCACAGCTTGAGAAGGAATGGCTGGATGTGGGAAGATCAATATCGGGGATTACAGAAGTACAGCTGAGAGAGATCCAAAAGAAGATTATTCGCTTCGAGGCGTTGGATTTGCAGATGGAGAGAGAATGGGAACAACTGGAGCAAATGAAAAGCATGCTCTTCATCGATCAGATGACGCTTTTGTTTAACAAAAGTTCTGCTCCAAAAACTACAGAACGGGCGGAGGAGAAGAATGTAAAAGCGAATTGATTTTTCATCATTCGCGTATGCTTATCGTTGCCTCAATGCAAGTTCGACACATTTGATAACCTTAAACTCAATTTATAACAATCATTACTAATGTTATGCGTTACGTTACATTGTGTATTTTGACAGCTGAGCATACACATTTACAACAAATATCTATGTACATATACTGTCCATATTCTAGCCATTTCACAACAGAGCTATCAAGTTAAAACGTCTTTGCAAACTGCTCGGATTTTTAACCCGTTTTGACAAAAAGATCGAACCTTCATCGACTGAGCTTATTTACCTAAACCAGTGCTGTTTTCTAACCCACTGAATTTTCAAGCTTCAAGCCAATCAATTGGTTCACTTCAGACCCAAACTCGTCAGGGAGCTCGTTGAATACATCCCGGCAAAACCCAGATATCATAGCGGCCATGGCTTTCTCATACTCGATTCCCCTTTGTTGAAAGTAGAATAGCTGGTCTTCACCAATTTTGGAGGTACTTGCTTCGTGTTCGATTCGAGCTGTGGGATTCTTTACCTGTTAAACACACGAGAGGAACTCATTAACGAATAAACGAGCACTCCATTATAGTCCCACATTATACGGGCGCTAAATGGACGAAAACCAATCAACGTATTGGAAATGGATCGAAGTGGAAATCAATGCAAAAACAGCCAAACCAAGATTCACACCAGATACAGAAAGTCCTGAAAGCACTGAAAATAAATCGATCGCCTAATGCAATAAAGACAGTTTATGATACTACGCAATTCATATTCGAAGGAAGCATCATATTAAGTATCAAGGGCAGAGTAACACAAAGTAATATGCAATCCAATCAAATCAAGTTACCTGGATGTATGGGTAGGTGTTGGCAGCCGCAGTATCTCCAATAAGCATTGAATCACACTGTGAGGAATTTTTAGCATTCTCTGCCTTGGATTGAACCTGCACGAGGCCCCGATAACAGTTCCTTGAATTCCCAGCTGATATGCCCTTTGAAATAATTCTACTTCTTGTATTTTTGCCCTTGTGTATCATCTTTGTACCTGTGTCTGCCTGCTGATAATTATTAGTCAAAGCGACTGAATAAAACTCGCCCACAGAATCATCGCCCTCCAAAACAACACTCGGATATTTCCAAGTAATTGCAGACCCTGTCTCCACCTGGGTCCAAGATATTTTCGAGCGAGCCCCAGCACAAAGCCCTCGCTTGGTAACAAAATTATAAATCCCGCCCTTCCCTTGCTCATCCCCGGCATACCAATTCTGCACTGTGGAGTACTTAATTTCCGCCCCCTCACCACAATACAACTCTACCACTGCAGCATGAAGCTGGTTTGTATCATATGATGGCGCAGTACACCCCTCCAAATACTCCACAAAACTCCTATCATCAGCCACTATCAGAGTCCTCTCAAACTGCCCCGTCTCCAATGCATTTATCCGAAAGTAAGTTGAAATCTGCATCGGGCATTTAGTGTCCTTTGGTATGTAACAAAATGATCCATCACTAAACACCGCAGAGTTCAAGGCAGCATAATAATTATCCCCAGTAGGCACCACTCTACCCAAATGCTTCCTAACTAAATCCGGGTACTCCCTAATAGCCTCCGATATCGAACAAAAGATCACACCTTTTTCCTCCAAAGCCTTCCTATGTGTGGTGGCTATCGACACACTATCAAGAACTGCGTCCACCGCAACATTGGCCAATCGATTCTGCTCATTCAACGGCACTCCCAACCTATCAAAGTACTTAAGAAGCTCCGGGTCCGCCTCATCGAGGTTCTTCAAAGTGGGTTTCTTCTTGGGTGCAGAGTAATAACACATATCTTGGAAATTAATGGCAGGGTATCGATTATCAGACCATTGGGGCTCCTTCATAGTCAAAAACTTCTCAAAAGCATTCAATCTAAATTCAAGCATCCAATCAGGCTCGCCTTTCAGCGTCCAAATCAACCTAATCGTCTCCCTAGAAAGCCCCTTCGGAATCGAAAACGAATCTATATCGATATTAAACCCAAATTTCTTATCGTACTCGCGATTGCGAAGAAATTCCTCAATCGAAAGCTTACCTGAGGTGCCCGAATCGGATTCAATTGGTTTTGGGTCGTACCCGACATCTGCTCGCACCCGGAAGACCCTTTTCGGAGCAGGGGTTTTCTGACCCGAAAGCTTCAAAGAATCGAGCTTTGGGTGAACCCCCTTCGGGAACTTGGGCGGTTCGGTTGCGGCTTGGGGAGAGAAGCTGGAGATTCCGTTGGCTAGCAGAGACGCCATGGTTGCTGTGGCTCAGAAACTTCAGAGAGAGTTGGAGAAGACGTAACGACAAGAAGGGCAATACGATTATGGCAAATTCGTGGCCAGAGATTTCATAGCAGTCTCGTGTGCTGCACACGTACCTCTCTTTCCCTTTGGGCCTCGTGGAGTTTTCATCGGCCCACAGTACTTTGATTGGCCGGTCAAGGTTCTGGCCCACTTAACCAGTGCGTGGTGGGAAAGTATTTCCCGCGTCCAAACACCCGGGAACACAGTCCAGCGCCAACACCCAAACAAAACCTATTTCGGGCCCAAAAACCAAGAAAATAAAATAAAATAAACCAACAGAAAAATTGATTTTCCCACCATTGCCGCGGATTTGGATTTCCTTGATTTGATTCCACCTCTCGTTTCCTCGCCGTCGCCGGCCGCCGTCCGCCGCATGTAAGTTCTTCTTCCTCGTTTGTCGACATTGCGGTGATTACAATTCCGCCGGCGTTGCATTATTGTTTTTTATTTCATAAATGCATCACTGGAGAAATTACTATGATTTGATCGAGGTAGCGTTAGGGTTTTGATCTGAGGAACCAGAGAGAGATTTTTATATGTTTGTACGGGTTGATTCATGACTGAGCTGAAATTAAATGATTTTCCTTTTTCTTCTTTTGCTCGAGTGAGATGAGTGATGGAGTGACAATAATGACTGTTTGTTTCCATCAGAAATTGTTTTCTATTTGTTTTAATTTCTCAAAGATTGAATCTTTTTTAATAAACTCTAATCATTGAGGGGGATTCAAACTTAGGTGTAAGGGTCGGGCCGCGGGCACATTCTGCCCGGACCAACTCGCCTAACCCATATCAGCTAATGCTTTTGGGTTCATATTTTGTCTAATTTTGGGTTTATTATTACTACATCATGGTTTCTGTAACATGGGGCGCTCTGCACACAACATTAGAATTTAGATGTTTTATGAATGAGAATGTGCGATGCATAAACAGAGAAACAAGTACATAGCGGTAAGACGAAGAAAACATTGAGAGAGAAGGAAATTCTGACATCTTATTAACTTACTTTATTGCAGTGCACAAAATCAAACCATGATAGTATCATTTACTATATTTAGCTCAACTGTTGTTTTTGCAATAATGTATGAATCTAATTCCACTCATGGGAAAATATTTATCAATAGTTTCGTCATAAGAGAAAAGTGTTAGTAGGTGTTACATGTGGAAGGTTGGAAATCGGTTTATCATCTGTTATTACATTGTCATTTAGCCTGAGAATTATGGGGTTGTATGTTAATATATGGTAGTTTAATTAGATTATGTCAGTATGTGATCACAACTCTCTTTTATAATGGCGGCATAGCTTTGTGGGAAAATCTGATAAGGTTGTACCATGTGTTATGGGTGCATGTGTTTCGGAGGAACACAAAAGCTTTTGCTGCTTTAGTATAGTCATTGCTGGAATTGGGGTCAATTGTTGAGATGGATTTTGATCGGTCAAATTCTTTGGTATATTTAGTTCGTTCCTGTATTTTTTTAATCTCTTGATTGCTGCTTTTGTACTTGGGTAGCGTTTATACTGAATCTAACTTACAAGATAAAATTATTGAACTATGAGCTCCTATAATAGTTTCTTAAACCTCTTTAATGCTTCAGCGTCTTTGGGGATACAATTAAGGAAACTCTTAAATCTTAGCATTATCATGTTAGCAGATTCTTGGGACCAAATAAAGAAATGAAGGACTTGGTTATGATTGAAGTTGCTAAGTTGCTCTTTCTATCTCTCTCTTTTCCGTCTTTCTTTTGCTCTAAACATTTGTTCAGAACATTCTAAACTTTCAATACCTCCTTCAGAACTCAATAGCATCAATGATTTGTATAAGGCTAGCATGGTTCTATACATACTTGAAACCATATATTATCTTTTAGTCGTATACTGAAGTAGAGCTTCCAATGCTTTTGCATTGAGCCTGAAGTTTTAGGTGTCCAGGAAGGAAAGTAGATACTACTATGACTGTTGAAGTTTGGGGAGAGGGGAGGTTCAGGACTGTGCGTTTAGGAGGACATTCCTGCTCCTGAGGTTTCAATGGATTGGGCTATGATAAGTTTGGAGTAACTGAAATTTGGACTACTTTACGTTTTTCCCTAGCTCTTGGCCCAAATTTATAATTGTTACAGTCCTGACATAACGTAAAACTGTTACGGTCCTGACATAACGTTTTTCTCTCTATCCAATGCTTCCCCCTCTCTCCTCTCTATCTATCCATTAAGATTCCTTTCTTAGCACAAGCGTGAAAGAATCGAGGTCTACAGCTCAATCCTTCATTCTGATCATAGACTTGGTGAGAATTTCAAAACCTTGGCTCTGATTATCCATTGAGCGTTTTTCTTTGTTTTACTTTGTACAGAAGCAATGGCGATCTGATGATTCAGAGAGTTCTATCTGAGTTTCATTTTCCTTTCAAATTAGACTTTCTTAGCATCGTTCTTTCATTGTGAATTTTATTAGACTAATTGTTGTTTTGTGTGGTTATTATATAAACTTTAAACTTGATAGACTTGTAATTTGATTGAGGAGTAAGAGTATAGGTGGAGATCTGAACATCCTGAAGGATCTATATGTGATCTTTTGCAAATTAGACCTTTTTAGCATTTTCTTAAGTGTGAATTCAGATTAATAATGAATTGAATTTAAGCGATATTTGTTTGTTATTGATATTAAATATAAACGTCTATTCTAAGTTGATTGAGCTAAAACAACTGGATGAACTTTAAACTTTTGATTATTTGTAAATTGATTGAGGTATAATAGTATAGGTTAAGATCCAGAGATCTATCTGTGGTCTTTTGCAATCACACTTTTGTAGCATTTTCTGAGTGTGATTGCAGATATAAATTAATTAAAATTTTGACCGTATTTGTTTGTTATTGTCATTAAATTTAAACCTCCATTTCTAAGTTGATTGACATAAAACAATTGCATGAACTTTAAGCTTTTGAGGTATTTGTAAATTGATTGAGGTATAACAGTTTAGGTATTGATCTTAAGATCGAGAGATCTATCTGTGGTCTTTTGCAATTAGACTTTTGTAGCATTTTCTGAGTGTGATTTAAGAATTCAGATATAAATTTAAGAGATTTGTTTGTTACTGTTTTTCAAGTAAAACTTCTATTTCTAAGTTGATTGAGCGAAAACAATATCATGCTGATATAAGAACAGCTTTGTCTCTCTGGTTCAGGACTTTATGGTTATCATTGTTACTCATTTCACTTTCTTTTCCTTCCCTTTGTAGTCATATCATGTTATAATTTGGTAAAACAATATTTGATAATCATGCTCATCTTATACGGTTTTCAGTTAGCAGTGTGCTAGGAAAGATTGTGAAATTACTTTTTCCATTGCAGGGGAAAACTTTAAAACGTGAAATCTGTCATCATGAATCAACAGAGTCAGGGAACGGGCTCTCTATCTTCGCCAGACCCCCCTATGAAGCGAAAACGTGGACGTCCACGTAAGGATGAAAACTTGGCTCCTGCAGAGCACCCAACTGTCATCCCAGGACCTGACAGTTCGAAGAAAACCAAACAGAGTGCAAGTACAAGTGATGATGTTGAGAATGAAATGGTAGGCCAGGTAGTCACTGGTGTGATTGAGGGGTCATTTGATGCTGGATATCTTCTGAATGTTAGGGTCGGAGACAGTGACACTCAGCTGAGGGGTGTTGTGTTTCTACAGGAGAAAATCACTCCCATTACTCCAGCAAATGACATTGCTCCTCATATTATGATGTGCAAAAGAAGAGAAATTCCCATACCACCTCTCAACCCACAATCTCAGCGTTATGAGTCTGCCCGCCCATCAGAACAAAGTAATAGGCAATCTGTTGAGGTGAAACCCCAAATACCTACAGTTCCTAACCAAATTCAATCCTCTGTCCCTCAGTCTGGAATCCTGGAGTCACTTGAAAACAAACCTTTCTCTTTTGTGACTCCTTTGGTTGTGAACTTGCCGAAGAATGATGCAGTCCCGCCCTTGGGAGGAAAAGTCATGCCACAGCAATTTCCGAACCTGGAACTAATAACCAATCTGCCCCTACTGTGCCCAAGCCAGAGCATAATAACGTTGTTGAACAGGAGAAAGTGCTGGAGGAAGTTGAAGCTGCCACAATAATGGAAGGGCCAAATGGTGTAGAGGCCAATAAGGCATCAAAAACAGAAACAGCAGCCGAGCCAATTGCTGACCTACCAGGTGTTGAACCCGTATGTAAGGCTCCTGAAATTCAAATTCAGGCTGCGGGTTCTGAAAAGAGTGCGTCGGCTCCTTTTGAAGTAAAGAGCTTCAGACTTGAACTCAACCAAATGCCTGTATTCGGTGAACCCAGAGTGACCACTGTCATGCCAGTTGTTGAACTCAACCACACGCCTGTATTTGCTGAATCTGCAAGAATCGCTGCCATGCCAGTCATTGAAACTGAAGGTAAGGACAATCAAATTCAACCTCAGGCTGTGGATTCTGAAAAGAGCGCATTGGTTCATGATGGTGCAAAGAGCCCGAATCTCAAGCTCAACCAAACTCCTGTATTTGCTGAACCTGCCCCTGTTGCTCTCATACCAGGCATTGAAACCGAATGCAAGGATTCTCAAATTCAACCTCCAGATGTCAGTCCTGAAACGAGTTCATTGGTTCATGATGCGGTAAAGAGCGTGGACATAGAACTCAACCAAACTCCTTTTGCTGCTCCGGTTACTATTCCATCCGAATCAAAGATTGCTGCAGAAGGATCTATTCCTCTGGGAACTGCCGAACCTCAAATCCCTACTTCTGATGGCATTAGCAACATGGAGTGTGACATCGAAGATGTCATTCCAGCTGCACAATCGTAGATCCATGCGGCAACATCGATCATTTCAGTTGTCAGTATGAGAACGAGACAGTTAATAGTGTCTGAGGTTGTTTTTTTTTTTTTAGTATTCAACATTTAAGGATGTTTTTAGCATCAGTTTATGCATTTCTGCTCTGGTTTTAATTTGTACCTTTCGGATAATGTTGGCAACTATTTATAAGTTTCTGCATGTTTTCGTTACTCTTTCCCAAATATTGTTTTTAATCGGTTTTTGAGTATTCCAACGGTAACCTAACGGCAGCATGACGTCAACTAGCCATTGCTAGCTAGCGTCATGTAGTCGCTAGGTAGTCATTGGCATTCAAATGGATTGAGCTGGAGGACTGGCAAAACGTCAAACTTCACATTTTGGTGTTGGAGGGCTAGCAAAATGTCAAGTTTGACATTCTAGTGCCAGAGGGCTAGGCTATAGGGCTGGCTGCTTTTGACTAGCCATTTGGCCGGTTCTCTTATTTTTGGCTGGATGGGGACCACGAGCCATTTGGCCTAGCCCTCGATTAGAAACGGTTTTCATATCAAAACGGGCTATTTTTAACCTTATGACCCTTTGGCCGGATTGGTTGGAGATAGCCTTTAGACGAGTTGTGACCTCCGTAACTCCATTAGACGTTGGAAGAAAGATCTGGACGTTGCGTGGTTGTTTTGCAAGATCTCGCTTTCAGTTTGTAGAGTGGATCAAACAAAGATGTATTCAGCGCCGGTATAGTCTATTTAGCTAAAATTTAACATCCGCTCAAATTTAGTAATATAGTTACAACTCAAATATCTTTGATCTTCTATCAACTTTCAAATGAAACAACAAATCACAAAGAGTTTACCTCTTTGGGCTTTAGTCATCAGTCAGTTAATAAAAATTGAAGCTGTAGAGATTACAGCCTGCAGATTCTTTGAACGTTTACATAAGACAAGGGACCAAACGAATCGAAATAGCGGGAGAACCATACGTTAGTCACATCGTCGTCTTCAGTCGGGTTTCTTCAAGTTCAAGCAATTTTCTACTGATTGGCCGAACAATTCGCGGACCTCCCTTAATTCTTTCTCTGGCACCAGAATATCATTGAGATTGTTAGTTATCACAGCAGCCAATCAACTTTTATATCATGTGCAGGGAGTAGTTCTCAAGAGCACAAGTATCATAGAATTAGAAAGACGGAAGGGAAAGATACACCTGCAGCTTCGAGTTGTCTCTGGAGTTCTTGGCCAACAGCATCATTTTCAGGCCTAAAAAGTTTCACCAAAAATTGAGAAAGAGGTACCGTATGAACTTATGAAGCCCAGTCAAATGAAGTAACACAGAAATTAAGATCTTGGATGGAGAAACATATGAACCCCATACCTGCAGTTCTGCAATCCGTTTCAGCTGCCCTTCTTCACCTCCATCGGCTAATGGAAGTGCTGCAACTAATGCATCAAACTGTGCAAGAATCAGGCGGTAGTATCTTAGTTGAACAGCACAAGAGCGGAACGAATTGATAAACTAGATGCTATTGACAAATTCAACTCATATCAGCAAAACTTAAGCAATTACGATGCCAATAATTGGGCCACAAACAAGCCTAAACTATCACATTATGCCAAACCCGGTGGAAATGTAAAAGTATACTTTGTATTAAAACAGAAGAATTCATTCAGGAAAAAAGCCATGTGCACGAATGCGCTGTTTAGAATATGGTAACTTGGGTCGCCATAAGTTACAAAATTTTGAATACTTGACATGAGGGTTATCAAACACGGAAACATGCTGCACCTGCTTAGCAGCCTTAACAAGAGCTGCGCCCATGAGCTTGGGTTGTTGGGCAAAATCAGCAGCATCCTCGGTAGGATTAGCTGGCGGTTCTGGGTAATTTGGTGAAAGTCGGACTGGAGGAGAATCCCTTTGTAGTGTCCCAAAGGTATTGAAGGTAAGAGAAGCAATTGTGTTCACTTGTCCCTGTAATTGGGAGATTATATCCATCGAGCAAGCTCGCCCTGCCACGAAATTTACAGAGATAATAGGTTACCCAACTCTAATACCCCATACATAAACTCAAGAAAACCAAATACAATATCCGTAATGTGGCTGAAGAAAACAAAGAATCATAGAGCTAGTCATTACTAAATCTCCAAACTGAATATTTTTTGTTTTTCTCCAACATTACATTTACACCTATCAAATAAGAAGTATCCCAAACACAGGATAAAAGATCGATCCTTCAGCAAGTTACCAACACAAAGGCATGAATCAAGCTTCATATAACACAGATTTCCGACCACATTTTCAAAACCCACTAACGCCCCTACATGAAAAATAAAAAATAAAAAATCTTGACAATGCAGTTATTTTCTACAATGTATATACTCTCTGTCTGACTAGGGTCAATAAAAGGGAGAACCCACAAATTTTAGAGAATCGAGAAATAAACAGCAATGAAAAGAGCCTAAATTTCTGTTTGGAAAGAGAGAAAATTGGAGCTCCGATGAACAAAGAGAGCACGGCGGAAGTGGAAGTGTATGGCGGCAGCATCGGTGAGTTTTTCGAAAATCTATGGGGGCATATGACACTAAATTATACCAATTGTATCAGAGAAGAGAAGAGAAATTGTACCTGGCTACTGAAACGTCGTCGTTGGAAGAGGTGAGCGTCGTAGCGACGGAGGTCTCTGCAACTCAGAGAGAGGGGCTACTAATTGAGAAGCCGGCGGCAAGTGGTAGATTGTAGAAGCTTCGAAGTCTTTGGGCCAGCCCACAAAAATTAGTGATCAACATTTAAGGGCCTTTGGGCCTGTCATGTAGCCCATAAAGTAAAAAAATTAAAATTAAAAAAAAAAACAACGAGCCGTTTTAGGCTTTAGCCCTTGAGGGGGTTTTTGGGAATGCAACAACAATTTCCTAATATGCATGAATGTCCGTCTCCTGTACATTGACATCTCCCTGTCACCGTTGGATCCTCGATCGTTGGGATTTTGCTGCACATCCGACGCTCCATTTGTCGGGTGCATATTGTAACCCAAAATATAGTAGCATTTTACATTTTCTAACCCTGATTCTAACCCTGATTTGCAGTACTATCAGACTCAATTCATCAAAACAAAAGCATAAAGAAAATTGTTCGATTCAATGAACACGTTTGCTCGCCACCCTTACGTTGTAGAAATCATCACCACTACATCGATTAAATAAGTTTAAATTTTAAAATTTATATAACAAAGTAGATTAAATCGCACTCATCTACCGTAATCATTGCGGTGGTGATGTTCACCACACCTGTAAAGGCCGTGGTTCATGAAAAACAACACACGCAATACTACAAAAACCAAAATATTCGAGAAGGCTTCCATGAATGCCGTAACCTCAGCAATACAAAACTACATCCAAAAGTACTTCTCCAAGAAAAAACCAAAAATACTCGGTCTCAATTCAAAAACAGTATCATAATATTATTATCGGTCTCTAGAGTCGAATACGGAAAAAAGCTCAACTCAGCTGTACCCGATTTGTTGCTGCTGCTGCTGCTGTGGCTGCTGGTAATTACCGTACCCGGCAGCAGGATAGCTTCCATAGTACACGTTAGGGTCTTGGGAAACTTGTGCGTACCCATAGCTATCGGGGGTAGGTGCATATCCATAGTAGCCGCCGCCGCCATTCCATTGGCTTGGATCTGCCTGGGGCTGAAAAACCCATCGTAAACATCAGTCGAGTTCGAGGGCATCTACAAAGTTAAACAGCTTTATGTTCAAGTATAGTACGCACCTGCTTGTTTGAAGGACTGCGCCCCCATGAAAGACGGATATTTTGTGCACCCAGCTGAGATCCATTTAGTACACGCAATGCTTCTTCGGCACAGCTTCTGATGACGCATAAGCACAAAACAGAAGGTTTGATTCAGTGATATCCATGAAAACAATCCCCAAAGAGAAGACTAGCAGATCCGCTCACCTGTCTGCAAACTGAACAAACCCACATCGCTTGCCCATTGGTATCTTGACATGTACTAGCTCACCGTACTTGCTGAAAACTTGTCTCAAATGGTCATCAGTAACATTACCATCCAGATTACCTACAAATATCTGCAGCAAAAATATTCAAAGTCACAAGCATGTGGCTGAAAAGTAATTTCAAAAATGGAATAAAACACAAAGTACCCACAGTTGTATTGTTCGGATCACTCTCATTCTTTGCACCCTGAGAATTTTGATATGAAGCTGCATATGAAAAAGTTCAACTAACAGCTGAGATATGCAGAATAACATTTCACAACCCCCTTATGCCATCAATAAAAGAAACAAAAGCAAGTGTAGACAATCAGACATATTTTCTGGCCATACGTTCTCCCAAAAAAAAAAAAATTAAATAAAAACAATGTAATCTATTCACTGCCCATATGCGTTCAGACCAGACAAACAAACTAACCACTGCAGTAATGCAATAATCTTAAGGCTTATCAACAGAATTAAGAACGTCTAACCACATTGTGCCACATGTTAAGGGACCCAGCCTTCTAATCCCTAAACAAACACAATCTGCAAGGTCTAACCAAAATATAGTATGGAAACGCAGATTAATCCTGGTGAGCAATGCCAGTATCAAATCTTACCCAGTAGTTTCCATCAGTGTGGATGATTCTTACGCTCACATTACCCTCACATAACAAACAAATATTACTGACAAAAAAAATTTGGTCACAAATACTTCCCTATGCTAAATCCAAAACAAAACAGACAAAAAAGAGACCATGCTTGGCCTACATGCGAACTGTTTGAGCTGACTGTGCTTTAATTGTAAGAAGTAAAACAAGGAATAAGATTGTTCGAAGGCTGACAAACCATGGATATCGTGATGGTCGTGCCACATTCCTCTGTTCTCCTTGGTCAGAGGTTTGAAATTTAGAATGTACAACATTTGTTGTCAAAGTTGCTTAACTGCTTGGACAGACTGGTCCTTTATCAGTTACCTAAGTGACATTGTTATCTACATGAATTATCAAGTTCACAAATTTAGTCCAATGAATCAATCAACTCGAATTAAGTATATGTGCATGGTTATCCAGTTGAACCAACATCCAGCCCAGTCTGGTTTAAAATATAATGGTAAAACCTAGTCAAATATCATAGAAAGTCTAAATTATGAGGTACTGACAATGATGGCCAGCCAACTAGATAAAGTTCCAGGAAATTCCAATGGGTTGCAACAGGAACTCCTTCCAGAACCTTTCCTCAGGAATTGAAGACAACAGGATTAACCAGCGTCAATCAATATGTGGACCACTAGGAGGAATAGTAAAAGTGAACGAAAATGTAAAGGGCAGATGGGGACGATACGTAAGGAATTAAAGATGTAAATATTTTAGAGGGCACTTTTTTAGCCAAACAACAAGATAACTTAACCACCAGTATACAGGTATCATACTCAAGTCAAACTAGAACAATCACAACATGTAACTTCACTGAAAGCTGAACCACCAGAACGGGGGCTGGAAAAGAAAATTTAAAATTCAAATCAAAATGCAGCATAACAAATGCCACATAAGAATAAAGGCCAGTACAGTTAAATTTGAAACTGACCTAGCGAGGCCACGCACTAAGGGGAGACCATTTCAGCTGAAATCAGTATCTGGCCCTTAGATGACAGAGCCTCCTGACACCCTGCTTTGAGACAACAGGAGTTCTATAAGTTGTCAAGATTTTAATATCATTTACCTTTGCCCAAATTTTCTATTGAAATTATATGAATCAAATGAATTGGAAAGCACTGCTCATCGTCGAGAGTAAAGCTCAAACAAAGCAAACTTAGCCAACTGAAAAGTAATGTTTCGCACATTGGATACCATATCAGAACCGGAATGCACTACCTTACTATGGCGTACTAGTAATTCATATTGGGGAAAACACAAAAGGGAACACACCAGTCATACAGAAATAACAACCAATTAAAGTTCTTATACTCCTCTCCCAAAATGCAACACAAAAATAATTGCATGCAGCCACAACCAAAAAGCCATACGTACATGAATGAAACCATATAGAACATACCATTTGAATACTGCTGACTGCCCCCGGCGTTTTTGTTTGCTGCTGGTCCAATTCGCATAGGCCTTGTAGAGCATAGAACTCCATTCATCTCAGTCATGGCACGCATCTGTTCAGACTCATCTCCAAACTTAACGAACCCATACCCCTTGGTGCGCCCTGTGAGCCTATCAATGACGACCTTGGCACTCTTACATGATGGATAACGGGCCCTGAATGTCTCTTGTAGCACATAATCCGTCACATCAGCAGCCAAATCTCCAACAAATATCGTATAATCCGGGGTATCATCAGAACGTTTCTCGCCGGTAGATGCCCAGTTCAATCTAAAGTTCTGGGCACCATTTGGCATTGGAGTACCATTGAATGCCTGAAGCACTCTTTCCGCAGCAGCACGGCTATTGAATTCGATGAACCCGTAACCCTCTGATTGACAAGTTTGCTTATTGCGGATGACTTTCACAGAAACAACCTACAACACATAATTAACAAGAAAATAAATAAACGCTAACCTCCAATTATATAATTATAATTCCAAGAAAACACTTGTATATCTATATCCTTAAATACACAGAGATAAATATCAGAGCTTTAAACGTATACGTATATGAATGTGTGTGTGTGTGTGTGTGTAATTCGGTGTGATTATAAAGCAAAACAAAAGATCTAACAGACTAATGAGAGAAGCAAAGAACCTCGCCGGTGTGAAGAAAAATATTGAAGAGATAGTTCTCCTCCATCCAGTACTGCAGGTCGCCGATCCAAAGCGTGCGGACCTCGTCGGCGGAGGCGGGCTGGGAGTGCTGGGGGAGCTGCGGAGCCGGAGGGGCCACATGCGACTGCGGGGCCCACATGGCAGGTGCCTGGGCAGTAGGTGGTGGCATCATCATGTAGGGCTGCGCGGGTTGCTGGCCATACTGCTGGGCGGGCTGCTGGCCCAATGCCGACGGAGCCACACCGCCTGCACCCGGTTGCATCATCATGTGAATGTAGAGAGAGAAAGGGAGGAGAGAGAGAGAGAGAGAGACAGAGAAACCCTAAGGGAGAGGACGACAAGGTCCTGAGAGAGAGACAGAGAGAGAGAAGGCGACAAAAAGCCAGCCGGACAGATTTTAAAAGCAGAGGGATTAGATTAGGGATTTGGATTTCCTAGGAGCAGACACGTAAGCCGCTCGCGTGGCAATTTTTTAATAATTTGGGCTTGTCGGTGGATGTGGCCCATTATTGTGGACCCTATTTTATACCACCTGGGCAAAAACTAGGCCCAATTAAATAAGGCCCCCAATAAATGGACCCATGTTACATGTGTCCACAGTGCATCGGCTCCAATTTTTATGGCTCAAATTAATAACTTTTTCATTTTTCTGGTAACAAAAAAGTTTAAGAGGAGATTGGCTACTCTTACCACTCAGCATCAGGCAAACCTACAATCTCAAGGTAGAGTGACTTACTCTTGGCATAGAACAGCTACCATCGATATGGATTTACATATAAATCGCACACCAACAAGAACTGCTGGCAACTGCAAATTATACCTTTTTATTTTAACAAGTACCCTTTTTTATTTCTTGTCCAAATGGTACAATTAAAACACTAATCTGCCAAGTGATGATGATTTATCTCGTCTATTGAGCAATGATTTGCGTCTTACTTTTTTCAAAAAAGTTATTATTATGAGGAGAAAAAGCGTTCGAACTATTACAATAATGTTTTGCGTCTTACTATTTTCCACCACGTAATAGTCCACATCAACGTCTTTTAAATTTGTATGAGACAAAATGAGAGACCATATATCAATCAACAAAAACATTTAAATAAATCTCTTGTATCCACTAAATCAGTGTCATCTCTATTTGTAGGAAATGACCTAGTGCCCAGTTGGTTTGGCCAATAGTGGGTCAAGAAATATTGAACGGTGATCCAACCCGCCTGTTGTCTCATTTAACTACATTTGTTCCTGTAATCCATAGTCTAACAGAATGCATAACAACATAGCAAGTTAAATAATCAAGAATTATCACAACAAATACAAGAGCCGTTATATTCAATTATCATCTAGTCTCGTATAAGTACAACTTGCAATGCACACGGCCCAACGTATTGGACGAGTGGCTTGACCCACCCTTGTGAATTTTAGATTTCGTCATAATTTGGGCCAATTTTCATATGAGCCCGACAACCGTGAATACAGCTTTGACGAATGAAGACCGTGAAACGATAACACAGGTTGCTCGCACGGTAAATTTTTTATCCCAGTTTTCAGCTTCACTCTCACTTGCGAGTGTTGCCCACAAAAAAAACTTCAAATGCTTCAATCTTCCGCGATGCTCTGGATCTGAGAACTCGAAAGAGAGAAGTAAAGTCCTCAACTTTTACTGGTACGATCACTAATGTTTTCATCCATCAAGTTCTGTAAGTTCATTTGATCCCCATTTGCTTAATTTAATTGGGATTTTCATGTAATTTAGTAGCTTTTGAAGTGAATTATCACACCTCCCGTACTTTGGATTTTGTAGAGTTTCTGGGTTTTTTTTTGTCTTGCAAGCAATATGTATGAATGAACAGATATTTTGGGTTTGACTGGATTTGTTGGATTTTTACGTGAAGCAAAGAAAAGGGCAGTCATTTTATGAATTGGGTTTTTACTGGTGTGATCAAGGAGTTGGTTAGATCTTTGTACTTGGGTCGAAATCGAAAATCGAAATGGATTTGCATTTGAAGAACTTGTTCGATAGATTCCAGGAGCAATTTGGGTCCGGTCCGGGGCTTGGTCCCGGATCAGGGACATGTCTTATGAATGTGGAAGGCATTGCTCCAAATTTTATCAAGTCCATCTACAAAGCTTCAGCAGCTCTGTATAGGACTGATCCCTGGAAAAGGTTGTGTCCCGGGCATATTTTTGGTGTCCGGGTTGGGAAAGATACCGATTGGTCTGGCAAGAAACAGCCTTTTCCGTGTGTTCAATTCGTTGGAGGGGATGGTGGCGATATAGGGTTTCATATGTTTCGGTCTCAAAGTGATGCAAAGAAGATGACTGGCTCGAGAGAGACAGTTCAGGTGCCAAATGTTGAGCTTTTACGGGTCACATATGAACGGGAGGCATTGATGTTTCCCTCGAATAGGAAAATGATCAAATCTTTGTCACTCGAAGTGTCAGGGAGTGATCGCTTCCCTGTCATTGATGTTGCCAGATGCACGTCATCAGGGAGTCTTAGGTTTAGGCATCCAAGTTCTGAAGAGCTTAAGTTTGTGTATGCATTCATGAAAGCCATAGCTCTGGTGCACCCATTGCTGCAGGAGGACAAAGAAGGCGGTCCAAAGTGGTCAAGGTTAATGCACTTTGAACCGTTTATTGAAACAGTTGATGTTCAGTGGCCACAAGAAATGGCCAAAGGTTATGATCTTGTTGCAGTTACAATTTCACACCCACCTGGCCAGGCATACGAAGAGAAGGCTAGTACAACGGCTAGCTCAACCCCAACCAAATATGCAGAACTGTCAAAAGAGGAGAGTTTTGTTGATATAAAAGTCTACTTAAATGGCAGCTTGAAGCAGTGTGCAGCATGTGAGAAAGAAATCTACAGTGAACAGGCTCTCTCTTGTGGACAATGTCGAGCTGTGGTCTACTGTAGTTCTGTCTGCCAGAAGCAGCATACGAAAGAAACACATAAGAGTATGTGCGGTCTTTACAAGGCTATGATGGAAAGGGAAGAAGAGCTTGAGATGAACATCTTCATGTTTGCTTGTGATGCTGATCAACCTTGTAAATGGCTTGAATCATTGGGTATCCATCAGAAGGGCATGTGGAGGAGAAAGTGCAGTTGCTATTCTCATTGCCCTTTCGGTCTTCTTCCTGTTAAAGGTGGACTCTGGGATGCTTGGGGAGGGCTCAATGATGAAGAGTTTCCACGCGACTCATCTTTTCAACATCATGTAAGAGATGGTATGTCAAGTCCAATCCTCCTCTCTGGTTGGTCGGAATACTACAACCTTCGGTCACTGCCATTGTCAAGCCCTGTTGCTGATATCCTCTCTCACCCATTGACGGTTTATTACATATTAACGACTCTCAACATCAGCTCAAAGAACTTACTGCAGAAGGGCAAGGAGGTGATTGTTCACTACCTAGGGCCAGAGGGAGAGTTGGATTGGATGCCGGCATTTGCAGAGGTTGGTCATTTGCTCAATGGATTGGGGAACGTGCAAATTGTTATGGTAGGTTCTGAAGTTCCAACAAATTTGTCGGGGACAACTTCAGGTATCGGTAGCAGGGTGAGGGTGAATCTTGTCAGGGGTGTTTATCAGGAGGAAGCCTCCTACCTACCTCCACCCCATGTCATTGTTGCACTGAACTGTGGATTGGATAGCTATGCAAATTGGGGTGGAGCTCTTAATTCAATCAAGTCCATGGCCGTCCCAGCATTCTTCACCGATCAATCTGAACTCTCGTGCGTAAACGCTAAACAGGCTCTACGAAGTGCTGGACTGCATATCACACATCCTGTGACTCCAAATCCTTTCCGCTCGCCAGTGAAACATCACGAGCCTTCCAGCAATCTTCCTTCGTACAGCAATGGTTTTGTGCTTGGAGTAAATACATGAGTTGGCAACCATGAAGTTTCAAAATTCAATCTGAACTCTTTCTTGTCATGATAATTGTATTTTTAACCTTACTTTTTTGTCCCATTGAATTGTAGTAGCAACCTTGTTGCATATTTGATACTCGGAAGATTTTGTAATTTTTCGGTGCGGTCGTTGCCTCATCGTGGTATTACAAATCCGCTTGTGTAACAAACGTGTATCTTTTCGTTAATACTATATCCCAAGATTCATAATATATCAATCACATTGCCCATCTATATTATAACACGTAAATTAACACAATCGATCGATTCTATATGGCAGTCAACATGAATCTTGCTCAAAAACTTGAGGCTTGCCTTTCAGGTAGCTATTTTGCCAACCCATTACAATAAGCACTTTACTAATAAGTACTCTCCACAAAAGCAGATTATAGTCTCTTTAAATTAGCGACTCACAAGATTAAAACTTTTCAGCAACTTACCCAAAAGATGGAAGAACAAGTTGCGTCAAAGCTTGAATACTAGCCAATAAAAAATGACGGCTCAAAGTTAACCTACCTCAGGTCCAAGTTGCCCATAGCCCCAACTTGGCCGCCAGGGTAGGGCCTACAAAAGCTAACCAACCACCGTCCTTTTCCTCCCTATCAAGGCACCTCCTACCGCATCCATCCCATTTTAGGATTGCAGATTTTAACTTTCTGCAAAAGCACTTCTTGTTGGCTCAAAAGCACTTCCTTCTGTAGGCTCTTGTAAACTAAAGCAATGGAGATCCCTGCCTTCCACCCTTACCAATCTGTCTTCCCTTCTCATCTCATCTATCCATACCATTTGGTCCCAGAAAACTACGTGCACTGGACTGAGACCCCCTGAATCTCACATTTTTACGGCTGACCTCCCTGGTAATTTCAACTATCCCTCTTGGTTTCCGAGAGAAACTTACGTACAACTGGATGCCGGATTGTAGCGGCAATATCTCAAGTAAATCACGCACTGTCACGGTGTTGTATCCGTCTTATGTGACAGTTTGAGATTGGCTTGGGATAACACAACAGGCATCCACTTTTGTATGGAAGGGAAGTTCCTTATATTTGACAACTTAACAATAATATTAATCGACCCAATTTTTCTTTTCTTTTGTTGGTTTTTCGTTTTTATTGTTTTTTTCTTGAAGTGATTTTCGCGCATTTTTTTTAATAGCGGTGAAACTTTGGTTTTGGTGGTTGTTATATATGATTTGAGCAGGTGTGAGGAAAGAGGACATAAAAGTAGAAGTGGAGGACTCGGTGTACCTCATAATTCGAACAGAGAGGATCGAGGAGGAGTCCACAGAGCAGCCCAGCAGCAGGACCTTCATGAGGAAGTTCCGGCTTCCGGGTCGGGTCGATATCGAACGGATTTCAGCCGGATATGAAGACGGAGTGTTGACAGTCACGGTGCCGAGATATCTGAGGAGGGCTTTCTTCATTGAGCCAGCTGATGTGCCAGAAAGGCTTGAAGTTCTTGCAAGGGCTGCTTAGTTTTAGTTTAAACATGGCTAATTAAAATAAGATTAATTAGATAATAATTAGTTGTGCTATTTTTCTCTTCGATCGGGTTGAAAACCTTAACAAAGTTTTTATCGAGACCCTCTGTTTGTACCCTATCCTCATTGATGTACATATTCTATTTATTATTAATGAATATCGTATTTTTTCAACCAAAAAAAAAAAAAAAAAAAAAAGTTGTGGGGATTCTATTTTTGTTAAGCTAAGGATTGGTGGATTGTACTTGATTTGAGTTCTCACATTATTGTACAAATGTTTTAAACTATTTTATGTATTCCTCTTTAATTTCTTGCCATCTAAAGTGATGTTGAACGAGTTTATTTATTTGGTTTTATTAATTAGGGTGGTTGAATACAAAATGATGTAAATCAAAGAAGAATAGTCTAACTACTAGAAAAATTGTTACCTATCGATTATTGTAGCTTCAGTCGTCATGATTTGACGCATTTAACTACTACTTACAATTCAATGACGACAACTTAATTAAATGGACTAATAAAAATTGGCTTTCAATGGATTAATAAATAAATAAATATATATATATATATTACGAGCATTGCACGGTAAAATTTTTAAAATGTTAATAATAACACTATCAAAATATAATTGGTAAAAAATATTCAATCTCAAACAAAATATCTGATGTTGGTTAGAAGAAAATTGAAATACCTCTATAAATTTTTGAAACGAAAAGCTTCTGATACTATTCACTCTAACGAAAAATCACATTTTTACATTAAAAAGTCAATCTTGATACTATTCATTTTACTTTTTATTTTATTCTTATAGTTAAAACTCAAAATTTTCAAATATTTTTATTAATTTTTCTTAAATATTTTAACTCTAAAAAAATGTATCATCGTCGTCACCAGCTGATATCTTTCTCATAAATTAAAATAGAATGGACAGCATAAAACTTGTTGTGGCCGCAAAGAGGATAAAATGTGCAGGTCACGAGAATAAAAGACGGTTCATGGGGTTTTGTGTTGGGGATCGAATAATGCGATTAAGATATTTCCAAGGTAGATCCAAAATCTCTTGGGAATGCTATATAATATTATCAAGATAACTGGAGGACCGCAGGCTGCAGGCATAAGGACCACAAAACTCAATAGTTGTCTCATCCGATCACACAATGTTAAGTCAATATACTGCACGTGACATTGAATTATTTAGATATTTTATCGCAAAAAATATTCTCAAAATAATCAAAAAATTATAGTCTAAACAAAATTATATTGTTCTTAATATTAATACGTGAGGACGAGTTTTAACACAACGAACAAATTGTTCTTTTGTAACTAAAATGTCACGAATCTGAATAGTGAAATAATTTTTTGCAAAACAAAAATAAGGTTACATACGATAAACGCTTATTTTCAACCCTTACAAAACTAAGAACCTTGTTGACTTTGAATGGATCTTCAGTTTAACACATAAAAAAACGAAAAAAATTATCAAACGAAACTCATAGAATTAAGCACTCCATAGAAAATTTACAAAACCCATCACATGCACTCCAAGCTAATAATCCATCGCAGCGGAAGGAAGAAAGAAAAAAAAAAAAAAAAAAAAAAAAACCCAGCATTCAATTTGAGGTGCATCACCCAAATCAAGTTGCCCTGTCCTTCTCTCTCCCCCCATTGAACGTGTAAATTCAATGGCAAAATACACACGTCAGCATTACATCATAACTAACCAAGGTAACTTTTTACACTCTGGAACTCAACAAGTTACCCTGGTAAATAGTACTAGTACCTCTGTTTTACCATCTTCATAATTTCAACAGCCTCCCTTAATCTCCTTTCTGTAGCTTCTCTAGCAACTGCAACTTCTCTAGCAACTGTAACTCGGCCGGCATTCCTGCATTAAGATTAAGATGGTACTAATTAGAGCTTATCGATCGTTTAATTTAAGTTTCCGAAGAAAAAACGAGAGATTCTTTGCTTAAATCTGACCTCTTGTCATTGTTGCCAGCCTTCCTACTAAGTTCCTCAACAAGATTGTGTAGCCTTTTCAAAAGAGCGGGTGATTTACGCACAGCTTCAACGCCTTTACGGCTAGCACAAACCTTCTTCAGAAGTTCGGAAGCGGTGAAATAACCCTCTTCCTTGTTCCTGAAGTTAGGGTAAGTTATTAGCCGTTGAACCATGATAACGAACGTTCATTTTGGCAAATCATACTTGAAAGTATATGGCTTACGAACCTTACAAACTCGCATACAACAGTTTCCACTGATCCCGGACTGTCAATTAGCACTTCTACCAGGTGTGGATAGCGGGCAAGGTTCCTTAGAGTTGAGAGCACGTGTTTTTGAACCTCCTGATCGGGTATACTTCGGGTGGCTGAGCCAAAAATCTTCAGCAATGTTTTAATAGCTCCTTCCTCCACAAGTTTTTCACAACATTTCTGAGAATGTGCAGGTGGCCTTGTCTGCAAGTAGGATTATAACGTAAGTACACCATGCTAGGATTACATTTCATGTAGGAATAATGGAAAGACGTGAGTTTAGAATCATGAACAAACCATGGAAATGTTATTGAGTCTATTCTGAAATGTAAAATTAGCGTAATGCATGCAAACTTGGATCAAGAAATGTTGGAAATGAAGTGCATCATACAATCACTGACAACTTACCCAAAGTAACACAAGTGTGAAGAATGCTGCTGATACTTTTCATTGTTTGTAGCTCTGAAAGTGCTGCTACAAGTCTGTTTATAATCCGCAATGCTATCATCTACATTCGTGGCAGACTTTTGCACTCTCAAGCGCAGCTCCAGTAGCTGACCTTCCGTCTCTTTCCTCCTTAGAAGGTAGCCTCTCCAGCATGACTGTCACTCAAAATCGGTTCTTTTAATTTACTGAATTCGGTAATAATTACAAAACAGTAGCTAAAACGATATGTACAAAAATAGCCAAAAATAATTCTACAGACTACAGGTTTTTTACCCTGTTTGACCTTTTGATTCATAACAGAAACCAAAAACAACGGAAGGAACATTATGTGAAAGTAATACATCAATCGAAGGTCCAGCTGCTAGAAAATTCTTTCGACATTTATGTAACTCCTAGTTTTTCATAAATGCAGTGGACTAATACTTCAGCCACATTAACTGGTAACATTAGATTTCTACTGAATAAAAGAAACTAATGAGAACAAATGAAGCATTAAGAGATATATCTTACTTGTATCACAACAATACATTGCCTCTCTCTAGCAGCTTTTTGCCTAGCAAACCACCCTCGAATATGAGACTGAATAATGACCGCAGAATTCGTTCTAAAGTTTAGTGACATAACACTCCTCCACCACCTTTGCAATTTCAACACAGAGCAAACAACTTTATTTAGTTCAGCACCCATATAAAGGGCTCCTGTGCTATTCAAAGGACAACCATTGCGGACGATTGGGCGTAGTGAAGCAGCACCTGCAACAAACCAAGGCCATAAACATTTGTAACTATAAGTTTCTATTCAAAGCTAGAACATGCAACACAAATAAATAAAATGGGTAAGAACCAGTCGGGAAAGGTTGTAGTAATATACCTAAGAGCCTATTTCGACTGATCTGCCCCCTGACTATTCGTTGAATTTCCACTGCAGCTTGTCTATGACGATGAAATGATTGACGCCATATCAAGCCTCGAATAGCGCTTTGGATCTTTACTGCAGCCTGTCTTTGACACGAGAATTGACTTCTGATCAGCCAACCACGGAAGTATCTCTGAAATCATTTAAGCACACTACTGAGACATGATACTTGCACAATAGAAAAGGGGAGAAAATTACAGTCAATCATCTAGATAGTATAAATACCACTACAATAGAATTAAGTTGCATACAAAAGATTGCTTTAATATGACAAGGTTTCTGCTGCCCTATATGCTCAGAAGACATGGAGAAATACTTACTTGGATTGCAACAATGAGAAGCCTATGATTTTCAGCACCTTTCCGGGCAAAACACCCACGTATATAAGATTGAATGACAGTGGCTGAAACAGCTGCAATTTTGTATTGCTGATAAGCCTTCCAGCATTTTGACATTCGATAAACACTTTGGATTTTTATTATTGCTTGCCTGTTAATATGAAACCTCCTCCTCAAAAGCCAACCACGAAAATGACTTTGAATTTTAGTTGCAGCGGAATGCTGATAGAGAAGAGAATGACAGACAGAAAAATTCTTCCATGCAAACTGGATTTTAATTGCTGCCCTTACTTGAAGATCACGCGCAACACTTTCTTCGCACAGATTGCAAGATTTATCTACAAGAGTAACCCCATGAATGTATCTCAACCTTGCAAGCCACCCACGAATATATCTTTGGACAACAATGGCAGCTTTGACTAGATCAGGAGCAGATATATCATGAGTTACAATACTTCCTCCCTCATAATTGCTTTTTTCAGTATTTTCTGCCCTTACTTGAAGGTCACGTGCAACATTTTCTTGGCACAGATTGCAAGATTTATCTACAAGAGCAACCCCATGAATGTATCTCAACCTTACAAGCCACCCACGAATATATCTTTGGACAACAATGGCAGCTTTGACTAGATCAGGAGCAGATATATCATGAGTTACGATACTTCCTCCCTCGTAATTTCTTTTTTCAGTATTTTCTGCCCTTACTTGAAGATCACGTGCAACATTTTCTTGGCACAGATTGCAAGATTTATCTACAAGAGCAACCCCATGAATGTATCTCAACCTTGCAAGCCACCCACGAATATATCTTTGGACAACAATGGCAGCTTTGACTAGATCAGGAGCAGATATATGATGAGTTACAATACTTCCTCCCTCATAATTGCCTTTGTCAGTATTTACTGCAAGTATCAGATATGGATTCCTCCATCAGAAAGAGAACAGTATATACCACGCTTACGATACAAGGACCAGAAATAAATTGACAGAATAAAATTACAGGTAAGCAATAAACTCTCCTCTGAGTGACGGAATACAAATAAGTCAAGAAAATCAGGGAAATAAAAGAAATGAACTCTGGAGTCAGAGAACTGAGTGAAGAGAGAGGAACTAGCAAGGGGTAACAACAAGAAATGGCAACACGACGGACATTACTCTGGCATTGAGCTACAGAAGATAATACAATTACCTTTTTCAGTATTAATGTTATCCTTATTCGTAGAGAGGTTAAGCGAAGTCGGAGAAGTTGGTTTTGCAACAGATTTATGGTTCCTTTCAGCCATATCTTGCCACCAGGCCTGAATAGCCTTAAACTTTCTTACAGAATCTGTTTGTATATACAAACATCACAACAAATGAAAAATACAAATAAGGCAATCAGTTTCAACAAATGAACAAATAAAATTAGCCTTGAAGACAGATACAGAAAACAAAGGAAAGAAACCTTCAGTGTGGTGGTCATATGTTTCCTCTTCGATTTGTGTTGCTTCGGGTCTTACATAGCATCCCATACATGTATATTTTCTGTCTGTACTTTGGCAATCACAACCCAAGAGTTTATGGAAATTTAATTGGTCCTGCCAAAGAGATACTCAATGTTAAAGTATTATGACAACAGCTGAATCCATTCTTCCACCATAATAAAATATCAGCTCTTTTTAAAGGATAAACATCATCTATTGCTATTACCATATTTTTCTTGACAATAAGTTGAGATGAAAGGAACACCAATAGTATCACCACACTCCGGTCATTTCGTGCACCGTTGTATTCAAGAATGTCACTAATTTGCAGAACCTGTTGAAATATTTCAAGATGATTGTATATTAAGCTGGCGAAGGTATTCAAATGGTAGGATTTGGCAAATTTTAAGCTAGATGGGAAGTTCACGAAGAAGTGAAAATGAAGAAAAGACAACCAGCACAAACCTCTGGAAAGTTTCCCAATAACGTCAACAATTTCTGGGACAATAAAAAGTTGTGCACTGCATCTGAATAATCAGTGGCCAACATGATTGATTCTTCGTGACTTGATTTATTACGATCCTGTAACATATAATTTAACGTGAATGAAGAGAGGAAACTAAATCTCTATGTTCACAAAAATTATAGAAGGTAAATTAAACATTTAGTACCTTTGATGACCGACCACAACATAGTTGCTTACGAAAGTAATAGTCCAGCAAGCACCATATGGCTTTTCCATCAACCAATGAAGCAAAACTGTCAACCTTGCAATCATAATTTTCACAAATTGCCTGAAAACCCCAATAAAAACGATTATCAGGAGCAGAGCAGTGATTTTTTGTGTAACTTGGACAAATTGCAGATTGTGTTTGTTAAATTGCAAAAGAATGCTATTCAAACCTAAGAATAAGCTGATAAACTTTCAGCTATATATTAGCAGCAATACCTGAATCCACTTTAAAATCATTTCCAATGAAGAGGAATCAAAACTGATCTGTGAAACAGAAGAGAAATGATTAAAGGTCAATTTTAATTGAAACTCTAGATCATGTAAAAATAATACCACAATAATATTAAAAATAACAGAAAAGGGAATAAAAATAGGACCAACAGGTAAACTAATAAGAAACTCATCCTCATTGAAACAGACATACCACACTGCCACGAATTTTGCAAATTTCCTCAGCTAAGTTTGCTTTCTTGACCAGAAGCGGTAGCTGCAAGTTCAATGACAAAGTTAATGAAGAATATTACCAACAAGCAGATAACGGTAAACTCATAAACAATTCTTAACAATAGGAGGGAGAAAAAAGGAACAGGCCTGCAAATGGACAAACGTGTTCCAGAGCAAGGAAAGAGTAAGTTCCTTGTCCCCACCAGCAATATCATCTGCCACAATCATCATTCCATCTTCATCATGTAAAACAACGCCAGCCTGTTTAAGGTACTGCAGGGCAATGCCACAATTTGCCATGTTCTTCTTAAGCGTATCTGCTGGAACAACCATTTTCTGTTCACCCAATGCAACAGTGAAATCACTTACTAATATAAACATTCTGTTAAACAATAATTGTACCTGCCTATTTATTCAAAGTATAAAGAAAGAAAAATAACAACCGTGAGGATAGAGGCGTCATCTAGCAAAAGTTGAATGGCTCTGCACAGGCGCACCCCATCTTGAAGATCAGCAAATAAATCGGTAACTCGAAAGTCATATTCAACAAGTGGATGCTGCACAATAACAAATATCAATCGTCGATTAGACAATGTAACAATAATTTTGTTGATACTAAAGAATGAAACATTATGCCTCATCATCAATGGAAATGGCCCAATCGTAAACAGATCTTAAAAGACACTTCTTTCGCTCACATCCTGAAAATACACACTTAAACAGAATTCGATGTAAATGAGTGTCACACAGTAAAATGAGCAACCTACCTGCTGATAGGACACTTTGTATCCTAAAACCACCAAATGTGCTGAAATATTACCTTCGCCAAGCATGACATCAGATGACAGAAAATCTAGTTGAGAACCACAATGAAGGAAAAGTCAACCCTATAGTTCAAACAGAACAGTTACAAAACAATCAACGAGCAACAGAGAAATGGAGCGATGTTTACCATGAATCACCTGATGACTTGATTTAATATGAGATTCAACTGTAAACAATAAAGGAGAACCCCCATCCACTCCATCAATACCATACTTAAGAGAAAGACTGCTCTGGCATTTCGCTCTATCAAGGATAAGAGCGAGCATCAGAAATCTCTTCAAAGTGACATTTCCCAGAGCTTCGTAATAACCCGGTCTGTAAAGACCCTCAACCTTCTTGTTGTAAGCATAATCTTTCGCTAGACCCGAATGTGCAAAAAATTGCTTTTCAATGATCATTTTCAGAAACCTGAGTTCTTCATCAGAATTAGCATCTGTGTCAGACAACAAAGAATCACCACCAAAAACAATGTACAATCCAATTCGAAGCCAAATTGGGTTATAACTCATGAGGATTCTAGTGGCCTTCTCCTTCAACCCAAAATCTGTAACTAAAGGGCAATGTGCCTTCATCTTTAATCTCCCTTCATCAATATTCTGCGTAATAAATAGAACAGTCAACATGTTGGCCAAATACTAAAGTTTTCTCTAACTTTCTTAGCAACCAAACAAATGAAAGGTAAATCATACGAAAGATTCTGAGAATCCAAACCTTTGCTACATGAGTCATCGCATCGAAAACCTCCTTGCAACTGCCCATGCTCAGATAGAGTCGCATCCTCTGCGTCAAATCATCAACACTGCACACATGCTCCAACGAAGAACGCAGGTTCAAATACTTGGAGCTCGAAAACGCTACAGCGCTCACGGCCCGCCACGAAGAGTCTCTCTGACGCTTGGGGTCCCGCCACGCCGAATCGACCCCAACCGCACTGCCGGGATCACTATCCCTCTTTCCCTTAGGGAGCGTTCCCGTGCGGTCTCCATCGACGGACAAATTGCAGCCGCAGGATGTAGGGTTTTGGAAGAGGAAATTGAGCCAGATGGAGAGAGACTTGGCCAGCGACTTGAGCGATTGCTCTTTCTGAATTTGGGCCTTGCGGGACGATTGCGACTGCTCGAGCTCAAAGGCCTTGAGTTTCCGGGACGCCGCCTTTATCCGGCCAGAGTTTGATGGAGCGAGAGACGGCCGGCGGCGAAATGACGAAGAAGTACTAGGGGTTTGTTTCGAGGCAGTGAAGAATTTGGGGCCGGGGGACTGGAAATTGGAGATTCGTGAGGAGGCTTTAGGGGTTTTGAAATTGGTGATGTCTTTGAAGAGGGTGGAGGGGTTTCTGTAAGGCGACGGCGACGGAGAAGGCGGTGGCTCTCGGCCTTCCATTGGGGGCTTCGCTGCTCAGTCTGTGGCTGAGTAACGCGAAGAGGGGTTTGAATTTTGACTTGGTTTGAATTTGAAATGCCCAGAAGAGAGAGCGGGGATGGCGATAGACGACACTTAATGACCAAAACAACCCTAACGTCATCTTTTATATTTCAAAACCCGAAAGTGAGCCTAGTGGGCCTAGTGGGCCTTGAGGCCAACAACATGCGAGCCCAATACTATAAAATTACTATGACACGTCAGCCCAACAACGTCGTTGGGTCAATGCAAAAAATGAGGATCCTCTTCGAATTCTCTATGTGAAGATCCTCTATTTTCTATTACTTATATAAAAACAAAAGTGATGTTCCATTTATATTCCGGTAAAATAAAAAAAAGTTCCAATGTCAGGATCTTCACAAAGAAGATTCGAAGAAAATCCTCATTCCAATAGGAAAAGAGAGGATTGGTGCTTTTTTTTTTTTTTTTTTTTACTTGTTTTTACAGAACAAACGCTCGCATATATACAAAATTTGACATGAAGAAAAGAAGAAGGGAAGGCAATGCAATACAGGTGCGTCCGTTAAATCCGATGATAAAATTTATATATATCGATGACATTATCGATTGCATTCCGTAGATTTGCAAATCATTTATTTGCATTATGGATTTGATTGGTACATATCTTTGTATCTGATCATACATTTACCGTATGGATCTGATTTGCAGACAATATTCCTACCACACGTTCTCATGGGCAGAGTTGCGCAGCTGTCCGAGCCTCCCACAAAGGCGGCTTGGGTGGTGGAGCCCAAGCCGATGATCGAGGTCTCCTTGGGGCGGGAAAAGGCACAGGACGCCTTTGTACAAACAAAGGAGAAACAAATGAGGTGGTGGGGCTGGCGGGGGGAGGCGGAGGTGCAGGCGCGTTCAAACGAAAAATCAAAGCCCAGCGCCCCTACGTGAGGGTTCTGCTATGCAGGTGAGCTCATGATGAGGTTATGGCAGTACAGGAGCAGCGTTGACATTGACACATTGTAAATGAGGTTCGTGCAGGTTTGGGAGGATGCAGAGTGACGGACAAGGTCGTGTTCAAGGTCAACTGTGGTCTGAACCTGTAAGTGTGGTATGAACTCGCAATTAGTCAATAAACAACAACAAAAAACTCAACAAGTGTTGTGATAAGTTCAAAAGAAAATTCATGTATAAAAAGAAAGCAAAAACCACATATTATACTATGCTAAAACTCAACACAAAAAAAACACTGTTTATTAACAGTGTTCTTCCTTTTGTGCACTTGCTTGGTTCTTTTATTTCATTTCTACCCGATTTGCACGTTCATCGCTTTTAGGAAGGAGACTCAAAAAGTCGGGTCTTTCCATTGCTTCCCGTACGTTCCATTTGCTTCCGTTACGTTCTTCTTCCTCCTCTCTTCACTTTTGTTCTTTGCTTTCTCTCTGCAACCTTAAAACTCTCAAGCCACAAGCCAACCATAACCAATCCGTCCTCAACTCTTCTTTCCTCTCACTTTTATCTCCGTGACTCACTTAATAGAAAGTGTCGTACGGCGACGATTTTGACGATTCCGGCAATGGCCGACCTCGAGGTTGGTCTCAAACAGTTGCTCTTCACATCAGGTAGCTTCTAGACCTATTGCAGGTAAACGTCTGCTTCAAATTTCTAGGTTTTTAGTAATTTTTCATGCTTTTGTAAAAAAATTCGTTTAAATTTCTGGGTTTTGGAAATATGTGATTTTTGTACGTTTAATGGATTTTGTTGTGTTTTTTTTTTTTTGGAGTGTCTGAGGAATTGGGTTTGGGCTTTTTGTTGGTGATTTGTAGGTTTACGGAAGTGAATCCAGAGGGGAAGGTGCCTGTGGTGAAGTTTGATGACAAATGGGTGGCAGATTCTGATGTCATTGTTGGGATCATTGAGGAAAAGTACCCTGAGCCTTCTCTCAAAACTCCTCCTGAATTTGCTTCTGTGTACGATCTCTCTCTCTCTCTCGATATTGTTATTTGGAGGCCGTTTGGAAAACTGTTTCTCTAGGAAACACTTTTGCTAGAAGTGCTTTTATTATGAGCAAGTTTTTATTTTTGTTAAAAACAACCTAAGAAACACTTGGAAGTGCTTCCCGAAGTTCTCCGTAACCCAGAAGCACGCTTAATGAAAAAAAATTTCGATTTTTTCATTTCAGCCTTTTCTGTAAGAATATTTTTTTAATACTATGAAAGTTGTGTTTTCGTGAAAGTTGAATATGTGGGAATTTTTTAAATAAAAAAAATTAGGATGTCGTTATTGTGCTAGGTGATGAAACTTGTAAAATAGTTGTAGTTTTACGAGAAAGTTACGATTCTTAATAATATTTTCTCAATTGAAAGACTGGAAAATGATTGAAATAATGTTTTTTTTTTTTTTTTTCAAACTTCTCTCAACGTTTTTTTTCTTGGATTTAAAGGTATTTTTTCCTGATTGGTTAGAATGGATTTGAAGGTATCTTTTTCACAAACCAATTTACGTAACAGATTTTGTTTGTTCCTTCCTTCTTTTTCATCTTCCTCAATAAGTATTGTTTAATAATACTAGTTGTCATCTCCTCAATAAGTATTGTTTAATAATACTAGTTGTAACAACCAAAGAAGCCAGTTACATTTTCTTCATTTTGAAACATACGAATTCAAACCTTTTTCGGTTTTTAGTATCTTCACATATTTCAGTTTTTTTTTTTAGTTTTCTGTGTACATATATTTAGTTTTGCATTCTTTTATTGGTTTTGAAATTACAAATGAGTATATCAGAAGACTACCAACTTTCTATAAAGTGGTTCCAATAATATAATTTTGTATATAATACTCTTACGCTATCTTTTACTAACTTTTGCACAATCACTGCAGGTCATGCTATTCAGAAAGTGGTTTGAAGGGTTCCAAGAGCTTGATTCACCTAATTTCTCCTCTTTATGTAAAAATTCTTTCAAAAGGCTTAAACATCTTCCGATTCAAATAACATTAACTTTCTGCAACAATCCTTTATCCCTTTGAATCATAATTTTTCATACAGTTTCTAATTCCGTAAAAACGTGCAATGTGCGGGTACAGTTTCTAGTATTTAACTAAAATCTATTGAAGAAATAGTTGATCAATTGATGTGGATCCAAATGGTCAGTTAAAGTATTACTTACCCAAATCCCCAAAACTCCCCATTCCAAAAAAATATCCAATTTGCCTACGATTTTCTCATCGCAAGCAGCCGTCCTAACCATCATAGCTTAGTTGTCGTCAACGGAATATGAGCTATCATGCTATAGGATTGCAGTTCTGCTATTGGAAGGGTAGTTTGAAGGATGTATTAAAAAAGAGAAAAGGATGGATGTGAAAGATATAGAGACCTCACTTTTATAGTGAAAATATAAAAAATAAAAAATAAAAAAAAATAACAATCCGACGGATGAGATTAAGATAAGAAAATTAATCCAACAGATGCAAAAAGTTGCAATATGGTTTAGGGTTGGTGGAGCTCCTTAATGTGTTCTGAAGGTGGTGATATTGGAGATGCTCTTATGGTTTATGGTTTTAGGTTCGAATATTGTGAATGTCGAACTCGATATCAATTTATTCTTGGACTAGTCATGGATTCAAGTTCCATTTGACTACTAATGTGGCAGGTGGGTTTGGTGAGTTCATGTCAAGTAGATGATCCTTTTCATGGTGATTTGATCTTAGGAAGCCAACAAATAAAATTGATTTGAAGGTAATTTTGGAAACACAAAACGTATGAAATATTACATACAAACATAATTAGTTAATTTTCCTAGTTGAATTCTATTAGCAAGTTGTAGCAAAGAAAAAAGACGCATAGTTATCAGGTTGCAGTCAAGAAAAAAAGACAATGGACTTAAGACAAAGAGAAACATGAGGTTATCTTAATTTTTTTTTTTTTTTAACTTTAGGTTATCTAAATTTTATTTTATGAATGTTTTAACCTAAATAAATTTAAATTCCGACAATTTAGAAGACCGAACAAATCACACCAACCAAACTTCAATACACATATCAACCAAACTTTAATAAACAAACCAACAACCAAACTTTAATACACGCACCAACCAAACTTCAATATACAAACAACCAATCAAACTTCAATACATACACCAGCCAAACTTCAATGTCCACCAGTGAAAACTACCTAAACAATCACCAAACAACAATAAATTTTCCTTCCTCCCTATCCTCTATATAAGGGGAATTTAACAAAATCATAAAACACATCATCCTCATATCTAGAGTGATACACTTTGTTATTTCAACAGCTTTGAGATGTAGTTTACAATCGAGACATAGTTTGGTGATGAAAATAATATTACAATGGGCCTGTCTAAAAAAGTTTATTTTATTAGTTTGACCGTTGGATTTGAAAAACAATACCTAGATCATTAAATCAAATTCAAAAGATTGCCAGAAAAAAGATTGTAATCTAGACTCGTTGGTAACCAACTATCTAAAAATCGAATGGCGCGTAGTTAATCCAAATTACCGTTGGACATACGGCCACTGTCGGCCACCACATCCAAAGTCCCGTGCCCTTTTTCTTCCCTCCCCCAACCACCACTTTACAAAGCTAACACCGGTCATAGCAGGTGGGGGAAGTATTCAAGCTTTCAATGCAAAAGGCTGAAATCGAACTCTTCTAACCTCGACTCCTTGCGAAGGTCGTAAGTCGTATACAACTGAGGATAAATCTTCCCAATCCAATAGTGTTTGTCCTTATACAGGCTTTGTCATGGCTGTCATGACCGGAGAAAGATGACATCTCCTTACACAGGCCTTGTCACGGCTGTCATGACCGGAGAAAGATGACATTCCTGACATATGCATAATACCAGGGACACGGTATATGCATATGTCAGGAATGTCATCTTTCTCCACAGTCGCTGGTATATATTATGGTTTCATCTCCCTCAATTCCCCAGCTTCCATGAAAGCTTCCTCTTTGAGTGTCGCGTCAAAAACCCGGTAAGCCTTTCAGCGTATGAGGCCCAGCATTGTCTGCGTTCTTCCTCCTACTTCTGTCGATCGTTTCGAGAATGTTGTAGTCCAAGATTATAAGAAGAAAACAGAAGCAGGTGAGAAAGAAAACCTAGACGTGATTGAGAACACCAGCAATCTGCAAAACACATCTTCACGGAACAAACAACATGATAACCAAGCAATTGATGAACTTCTCGACCATGGTTGGATTTCACTTTGCAAATGTTCTTTGTTCCTCATATCGCATTTGGTTATAGTGCAAATTTTGCTTCATGAAATAAAATAGCCATACAATCACATGTAGAACAAAGAATTATGTCATCAGTAAAAATCAAGCACTTCTATGACCCTCTTCATTCGGGTTTGAATCTCCTCGATTCCCTTTTTTACCTCAGAAGTCAGAACCCGAACTAAATATTGACAAAATAAAAATCCAACCAAAACATAGATGATTCCAATATATGGGGCCCATGGGCCTGAGAGCCCGAAAACTCAATTCTCACGAAACAGTAGCGATTGTTGAGACCAAGAACAAAAATATACCCGAGCAACACTGTAAAGACTCAAAGTACTGCTGCAAGTAACTCAAACAATCTGGAGGAATGACTTAATTATTAAAAGAAGAGTTTGGCTAATATATAGCCTTTACAGAAATAACAAAGAACCCTAAAAACCAGTTCACGATCCACACTACTCGGAAGGTGACGTGCATGGGAAATATTCTACGTAGAATAAGTCTTCCTAGATAATAGGAACTTATTTAAAAAACAAAACAAACTAAATGGTTGAGTCCTATAACTACGGAAACAACCAGACTTATCAATCCCTCCCTTAAACTTACTGTTATCAAACAGTTAGTTTATATCAGCAATCTCGCAGACTCCTAGCATACTTCGAAGTCTCTGAAAAACATCAGCCTTCAATGGTTTTGTCATTATGTCTGCCACTTGATCTTCGCTTCCACAGTGAATCAACGCAATCGAACCTTCCTTTGTAAGATTCCTCAAGAAGTGATATCTTACATCAATATGCTTACTGCGACCATGCATCACAGGATTCTTTGACAGCTTAATGGTTGAACTGTTATCACATCTGATTAAAGTACACTTCTCATTACTGTACTCAAGCTCTTTCAGCACTCTCTTCATCCATATTGCTTGACACGCACACACTGCAGCTGCTACAAACTCAGCTTCTGTAGTGGACAGTGTAACAATGGGTTGTTTTTTAGAACTCCATGTCACAGCACCCGAGCTCAGCAAGAACACATAACCACTTGTGCTCTTCCTATCCTCCACATCTCCTGCATAGTCACTATCTGTGAAAGCAAACAGTCCACCATCTCCACTTTTCTTATAATGAATACCATAATTCATTGTCCCTTTTAAGTATCGAAATGCTCTCTTTGCAGCTTGCAGATGAAGCTCGGTTGGTTTTGCCATAAATCTGCTTAAAAGACTGGTGACAAACATCATGTCTGGTCTTGTGGCAGTGAGGTACATCAAGCTTCCTACCACTTGCTTGAAATATGTCTCATCCACAGGAATCCCACTTTCATCCTTACTGATCTTAACACCTGGGACAATCGGGCTGCTCACTTCATTGCTCTCCAACATTCTAAACCTTTTTAAAACTTCCAAGGCATATTTTTTTTGATGTATGAAAATACCATCAGTTCTTTGAAGTACTTCAATGCCGAGAAAAAATCTCATGCTTCCCATATCAGTCATGTCAAACTCTCTCATCATGGACTTCTTGAACTCCTCCATCATATCTTTATCATTACCAGTAAAAATTAAATCATCAACATAAATACTTACAATGATGATCTTTCCTGCTCCATTCTTCTTTGTGAACAAGGTTTGCTCACTGTCACACCTCTGAAAACCTTCCTTGATAAAGTGTGCCTCGATTCGACTGAACCAAGCTCGTGGAGCCTGTTTCAATCCATACAAAGCTTTGTGTAGTTTATAGACCAGGTGCTCCTTTCCTTCCTTCTCATAACCCCTTGGTTGCTCAACGTAAACTTCTTCACTCAGTTCTCCATGAAGAAACGCTGACTTGACATCTAACTGGAAAATCCTCCAACCCTTTTGTGCTGCCAATGCAATGATCATTCTAACCGTGTCCATCCTTGCCACTGGTGCAAAGACCTCTGTGTAGTCTATGCCGTGCTTCTGTGAGTAGCCTTTGGCTACAAGACGTGCCTTGTGCTTGTTGATCTCTCCATGTTCGTTGTACTTGGTCTTATAGACCCACTTGACCCCAATCCTTTTAGCTCCAGTAGGCAATTCACTTAAAGACCATGTTTTATTCTTCTCAATTGAGTTGATTTCACTGTCCATAGCTTGTCTCCATTTATCTTCTTTCACTGCTTCTTCAAAAAAGATTGGATCTTCGGTTGGCACGACTTGAACCATGTGTGCTTCATCCTCACTTAGTCCTTCTCCAGTGACATAGTCACTTAAGTATGAAGGAGGACGTCTTACTCTTCCTTCATAAACCCTCCCTTCATCCTCACCAAGTTCATTTGGAGTACAACCCTGTGTTTCTTCACTGCTCTCACCCATACTGCTCTCACCCATATTTCTTTCTTCTCTAGCCTTACTGCCATTTTCATTTTCTCTCACCCCTTCTTCTCCCTCACCATTTTCTTCATTTTCTCCCCATTCTAAGTCTATCATAATCTGTCCCTCATAACTCACATCCCAATCCCACTGTTTTTCTTCCTCAAAGATAACATCCCTGCTCACGATAATTTTCTTAGCTATAGGATCAAACAATCTATATCCCTTGGACTCCTCACTAACTCCCAATAAAATACAAGGAAAACTCTTATCATCTAGTTTACCTCGCTTAACATCTGGAACATGGACATGTGCTAAGCTTCCAAAGACGCGAAGATGCTCAACTGAGGGTTTTATGCCACTCCACGCCTCTTGTGGAGTGATATCCTTCACTGCTAGTGTGGGACATCTATTCAGAACATAGATAGCCCAGTTCACTGCCTCTGGCCAGAGTGTTTTTGGAAGCTTTTTCTCAGACAGCATAGACCGAACCATATTCATAACAGTTCTATTCTTTCTTTCAGCCACCCCGTTTTGTTGTGGCGTGTAGGCAGTGGTTAACTGTCTCTTGATTCCATTCTCTTTGCAGAAGTCATTGAACTCAGTTGAAGTGAATTCGCCTCCTCTATCTGTTCGTAGGCACTTGATACTCAACCCTTTCTCCTTTTCCACCAATTTTTTTAAAAACTGGAAGCAGTTCAGTGCCTCACTCTTTGCTGTTAACAGGTACACCCATGTTTTACGACTAAAATCATCAATAAAGCTTAAGATATACCTTTTCCCACTGTTTGATGTAGGAGAAATGGGTCCACAGATGTCTGCATGAATAAGCTCCAAAGATTGACTAGCTCTCCACATACTTTTTGTTGGCATCTCAGTTCGATGTTGTTTGCCTTGAATGCAATCTGTGCATGTGGTATTTGAGATTTGGAATTGAGGAAGTCCACGAACCATCTTCTTTTGTTGTAGAATTCTCAAACCCTTGTGACTTAGATGACCGAATCTTCGATGCCAAAGATAAGGAAGATCATGTGTGCTTGTTTGAAGACACCTTGCTGGTTGAACATTTGTAGAGACTAGTGTCTGAGCTCGTAGTATGAACATCCTGTTCCTACTCATCTCAGTCTGAATAATCAGACCCTTAGTTGGATGATATATTTTGCAAATTCCCTCTTTAATCAATATAGTCAGGCCTCTTTCTTGAAGTTGTCCTATGCTCAAGAGATTGTTTTTGAGCTCTGGAACATAGTACACTTCATGGACAATATGTGTAATTCCATTTAAAAACAGCTTGACACTTCCTTTACCAACCACATTCATTCTACTGTTGTTTCCCAATTTGACTGAATGGACAAAAGTTTCATCTAGATCCGTGAACATACCTTGACTGCCACACATATGGTTGGAACATCCTGAGTCAAGAAACCAAGCGTCAGTCTGTTCAGGTAACTCAACAAATGCCATCAACAACATATCATCTTCTTCAGTTACATCTGCATAATTAGCCTCCTTTTCCCACTTTGGACATTCATACTGGAAGTGTCCAAGATTGTGACACTTGTAGCATTCCACAGTATCTTTGTTGAACCCTTGGCCTCCCCTTCCACGTCCTCGTCCTCTATAACTGCTTCTTCCACGTCCTCGTCCTCTATAAGTGCTGCTACTCCCCTCAGTTCTGACATCAGTAGTTACCTTCAGAACTTGCTCCACACTGCTACTTCTGTGAAACTTTTGCTCATGTACAGTGAGCGAGCTTTGAAGTTCATCAATGGTGATTGCATCCAAGTCCCTAGATTCCTCAATCGAACAAACTATATAATTGAATTTGTCCGTGAGAGATCGCAGGATTTTCTCACAGATCGTGACATCCGTCATGGTCTCCCCATAGACTCTCATTTTGTTTGCTACGGTCATCACTCTAGCAAAGTAATTAGTGATTGTTTCACCAACCTTCATCTCAAGGGTCTCAAAGTCTCTTCGTAGCGCTTGAAGAGTTGAGCGCTTCACTCGTGCATTCCCTTCATATTTCGTTTTCATGGAATCCCAGATCTTCTTGGAGGTGTCCTTTTCCAACATCGTCTCTAGGATACTTCTATCAATTGCTTGGAACAGATAGTTTTTGGCTTTGAGATCCTTGAGTTTCATTGCATCAAGCTCTTTCTGTCGTGCTTCTGATAGGGGTTGTGCCCCCTTTGCTGGTTCTTCATAACCAGTTTCAATTAAACTCCAGTACTCCTTGCTTCGAAGGAAATTTTCCATAAGCATGCTCCAATGATCATAATGACCATCGAAACGTGGAATGGACGCCTGCACATAGTTTCCTTCAGAACTCATTTTCCTCTCTTTCTCTCTTGTGTTTGGAAGTCACTCAAAAGCTGCAACTTTTCGATTCTCAGGCCCCAGTGAGGGGCTCTGATACCAGTTTGTTGAGACCAAGAACAAAAATATACCCGAGCAACACTGTAAAGACTCAAAGTACTGCTGCAAGTAACTCAAACAATCTGGAGGAATGACTTGATTATTAAAAGAAGAGTTTGGCTAATATATAGCCTTTACAGAAATAACAAAGAACCCTAAAAACCAGTTCACGATCCACACTACTCGGAAGGTGACGTGCATGGGAAATATTCTACGTAGAATAAGTCTTCCTAGATAATAGGAACTTATTTAAAAAACAAAACAAACTAAATGGTTGAGTCCTATAACTACGGAAACAACCAGACTTATCAGCGATAAGCATCTAAGGAATTGGATCTCATCCGGATTCAGTTTGTGGGTATTCTAGGGATTTAGAATTCCCATATCTTAGTCATTCATTGTGTATCATGTAGTAAAAAATTATTTAAATTAAACACAAATAGTATCTGACAAAAACTAACCGCAAGATGAACGATTAAGATGTGAGAATTCCTAAAATTCCGCAAAGTAGATCCGGAGAGGAACCTCTTCCAACATCTATAAGTCCAACATGAGGGGAACAAACATGGTTGGTCCGTGACAGTCACTCGCTCTCTGATTGGCCCTTGATTCAGTTTATGAATATCTTAGGATCTAGGATTCTCACATCTTAATCATTTATTGTGTATCATACAATGAAAAAATATTTAATTCATTTTATTTAAAATTAAACACAAATAGTATCTGACGAAAACTGATCATAAGATGAACAATTAATGTGTGAGAATTCCTAAGATTCTGCAAAGTAGATCCGGAGAGGATCCTCTTCCAATGTCAACGAGTCCAATACGAGAGGAACAACATGGTTAGTCCGTGACAGTCACTCGCTCTCTGATTGCCCCTTGATTTGTCATCCCAGTACAGGCGAGATACACAAGAGCAATACCCGTCTCCCGTGACTATCGTCTCTTCTCTTACCTTGAGTCCCTCGCATCTCAAAAATCTCATCTTTTCTTTTTCCTGCAAAATTTCCAAACCCTCAAAAAAATTGGTCGGATTTTGCTTCGAGCTGTAAATTGATTGCATAATCATGGCTCAGGCAGTCGAAGAATGGTACAAGCAGATGCCCGTCATCACCCGCTCGTACCTCACCGCAGCTGTTCTCACCAACATCGGTTGCTCCCTCGACGTATGCCTCTCTCTCTCTCAATGAAAATTTTCAATCTTTCTCGCTCTAGAATCGTCCCTATTAGCTCTGTGCAAATGGGTTTCTCTGATTTTGTCTAATTTCAATTGGGTTTTGACTGAACTTTAGAAATTTGTTTGTTCTAGCTTTGATTTTTACTTGGGCAGCTGAATGTTATGGCTTTTGTTTAAATTTGTTTGGGAATGATTATTTTCGAAATTTGTGCTTTTATGTAAATATGTTTAATTTTTTATTACTGTTATCTTGTACTTCAATGGAGCTTAAGATCTGGCAGCTGGGATTAAATTTTAGCATTAATTTTATTTTTTTTTCTCTAATTTTGTTCTGGATTTGGTAGTTATTAGTTGATTCTGTGTTGAAATTTTCATGCTTCATAGGATTTGTTGGAAGTTTGGAAGGTTTTAGGTAGTTCTTGTAGTTACTTCTTTCTCTTTGTTTACTGATTGTTTTCGTCGTTTAACGGTAAACTTTCGCAGATAATTTCTCCTCACAATCTGTACTTGAACCCTAATCTAGTGGTCAAGCAGTATCAATTCTGGCGGCTCGTTACTAATTTCCTTTACTTCCGGAAAATGGGTAATTGCTACTATCTACTTTTAAAGTACTTTCAATTGTTGGGAGCGAAATTCATGTCGGTTAGTTGTAACTGGTTGTTTTTTTTTTCTTGAAATGGTTTTATATTTGGCATTGCCAGACTTGGATTTCATGTTCCACATGTTCTTTCTTGCTCGGTACTGCAAGCTTCTTGAAGAGAACTCTTTTCGAGGACGGACTGCGGATTTCTTTTATATGCTCTTATTTGGTGCCACTATGTTGACTGGGATAGTACTGGTTGGAGGGATGATACCTCATTTGTCTGAGTCGTTTGCAAAGATTATATTCCTCAGCAACTCACTAACGTTCATGATGGTTCGATACATTTTCTTTGTTGAGTTTCAATAGATTTGTTACAAAGTTTGGTATGTTCGTATTGTTTTTAGAGGACTCTTATGCATCCTGTTTTACAGGTCTATGTGTGGAGCAAGCAAAATCCTTTCATTCATATGAGCTTCTTGGGCCTCTTTACCTTCACAGCAGCTTACCTACCTTGGGTCAGTAATCTTGAATTGTTTTTTTTATTTCTGTTGTTGAACGTATATCTCCTTGGAATTAATCTTAGACGAGTTATCCTGAAACGGTTCTTTCGTTTTTCCTCCAGGTTCTTCTGACGTTCTCCGTCTTGGTCGGAGCTAGCCCTTGGGTGGATCTTTTGGTGCGTTATCTTTTCTAGGACTCTGCACTGTTATTGATATATCAATTTAGTTTACTGATAGTTTCAAAAACAGTTGTGTTAATTCACACATAAATCACTTATGAATCTGCCTCACCGGTTATACAACGATGCTTTAAGGTTTTGAGGTTTACATGTACTAATCCTTTTCTTTCTGTTTAATCAGGGAATGATTGCCGGTCATGCCTATTACTTTCTAGAAGATGTTTACCCACGAATGACAGGTCGCCGGCCCTTGAGAACCCCTTCACTTATCAAAGCACTATTCGCCGATGACCCTGTTGTTGTGGCACGACCAAATGTGAGATTTGCACCACCACCCGTGGAGGAACTTCACCAAGATTAATCAGATGTCGAGGAAAGCCAGGTTGATGAGGGTTATAGCTTTTGGTATATTTATCTGGCATTTAGGATGGATTTTCGGCTTTGTAATATATAGAAAGATCTTCACTGATATGTATTGTTTTTGAGCGGTGCTACACACCCTTTTTATCCTTCCACACACCTCTCTTTTTCTGCGGTCGGATTGAATGAATTGAAGAAAATCAAATGACAGAAATTAACAAGGAGTGTGTGGATAGCACCACCCTTGGCTTTTCGTCTTACTCGTCAAGGTTGTTTAGGGTTGCACCAATCTCGAAATTCATCTGATTCTACTCTTACTGTTACGAGGTCGTTTAGGGTTGCTACCCTGGAGTACTCCAGTTTACAAACAGGTGTTACTTATGCAGGTTGAAATTCTTGTTAAAAATTCCAAGTGCTTCGAAAAAAAGCACTCGGGCGTGCTCAGCATGAATGCTTTTCCACAGAGCACTTTTCCCATCCATAGACACTTAGGTTTTCTGTCAAAATGCTGCCCGTACGCATTTTTGGTTGACAGAACACTTTTCGCAAACATAGGCTTAAAACAAAAGCATGAAAAATGACCTGCTTACATTATTTCACATCAATTGTCTACCGAGGAAAAGAGAACAAATCGATTCAGCTTCAGCATAACCATGATGTGGAACTCAGAACAAATGGAAACAACACCTACAACAATAAAATTACACGAACATTTCCTTTCGACACAACGTTGATCGAATAAACCGTAACTGTCAAAATAACCGTCGAATCAATTTAACCATCTTCCCTTGGCTAGCTCTACAGAGCTGTGTAATATACATGCATCTAAAAAAACTGCCGGCAGCATGAGCCAAGCCAGAATTCTACATCTGGACTTTTTTCAGGCTTTTCCTCTTGTCGATCAATTTCATTTGCACCAAACTCCCTATCCGTAAAGAATAATCCTAGGGGGGCAAAATTAACATAAAAGAATAAAAATGGATCATACTAACGGATCGGATGATACTGAGCCGATACTCTCTTGGGGGGCAATTTGCGCAAGATGTAAAGGACCAGTGCTGAAGGCAGGATCTCAACCAGCTGCAGATGACAGATTTCAAATTTTAAAGGGGAAAAGTAAAAGAGCTGTAGAATAAGAACGGAAAATTATCCTTAGAAACAGACAAGCTTAGTAGATTACCATGTAGTAGATCACATTCAAAACCGGGTGATCCAAAACATCAAGTGACAAGTCTGTATCGAAAGCTGAAAGGACAACCTACATTTTTCAATCGAGTTAATGAAACTCCGAGCAAACTGAATATATGCGGATAAAAGCAAGACCTCATAAAGCAAATCAAGAAAGTACTGCAACTAATGAAGAAATATTATTGCTCTTTTGGGTTTTCGTTTAATTTATGTACATCTTATTTTGGAAGTAAGGTGTGTAAGACAGGCACAAAGACAACTTTCTTCAACTGGAATGTTAACTGTTCTTCTATAAGAATGCAAGATAAGGGTTCTTCAAATCACTACTGCATTAGAATGGTTTGAACCTTACCACAAAGCATCTTATGAGAAAGCAGGTGAAACATATGCCTGTAACGGATCCGACCTGCAATGTCAACAACTTGTTAGTCAATATAACTAGTTTTAACCAAACAATTTGTTCGCCCATGTTTTCTCTTGCTTTCAGAACCCAGAAACTTGATCTACATGAAATTCACAACGGTCAAAAAGAGATTTTATGATGGAATTACTTCAAGATAGTACAAAATCCTCCCACTTAAATGCTTTGTACGTGTGTTTTAACTGAATAAGGTTTATTATACTGACTTAAGCATGCACATATATAATTGTATTCTGAAGAGTAAACTTTGATAAACAAAATTTCACAATAAAGAAACGAATAAATCTAGCCAAGAAGATCCTATGCCATCAGTCTAGCAATAAGGTCTTCTAATCTGATGACGAAATGTATATGCAAGACACAAACCTCATGAAGTTTCTTCCTTCTCCCTTTAGATTCAATGGGGAAGCGCCTCAGCATGAAAAATAACCTGAACAAATTGTTGATAATAACCCACCCATTAGACATGCACAGGCAGGAGCACAAACACAGAATAGACAAAGCTCCATACACTTTAAATACGATACAGAACACTAACCTTCCTCCGTATATCAAGAAGCCTAGTGCAGCCACAAATGACATGGCTGGAACAAAGTAGGCACCATATAACGAGTATTATTATTAAACAAGAGAAGCATGGACCAGTATGCATGCCCAAACAAGTCATTTTCAATAATTGGATCCTTGTGAAACCTATAGCATGACTCGAAACAGGCCTTACCTGCAACAAATATCTTTCCAATGAACTCCACGACACTGTTGTCATCTATCCAGAGGTATACCCAGATGCAAACCTGAACACAAAACCACATTATTCATAAGGTAAACTAAAATCTGTGTCTACTACAAGTTGTTAAATATGAACAAACATGTGCCAATCCACGTTAGAAAACACTACAAATTGTGTATTAAACAGGAAAACTATAAAAGTTTATCTTTTTTCTATGTAAGTTAGCTACAAAATGGGTGAAAGAGAAACAACCTAGGAGGGTCAACCATACTCTTTTAACAGTTGTAGAACTTTTCCCACCAACCTTCTTGAGAAAAAACATGCGGGATGAAGCTAATAATTTTACAGTTCAAAGAAACGTAAGATCAAGAAGATTAGCACAGAATGAATGACTGGAAGGTGAGCCAGCTGCTTGCGTAAGTAATACTCTCAGTAATGGCAAGGTTTTATAAACAAAAAAATTACACTAAAGCTATCAATGCCCATGTAGACAAAGAAAAATTAGCTACACAATACAAGTTATGTTATCTAGAGAAACCATGTGATGAATGAAGCATGCTAAGAAAGGGAAAATGGAGTGCACCTGTATAAAGTACATGACAGCATTGACCGATATATAAACAATCCTCAGCTTGTCTGTTGGTAAACTTCTCGCCTGTTCAATGATAGTAAGAAAGAAGTCAGAAGTCTTCATTCATTGAAAGAAACGACTGCATTCAAAATTTGTACATCTCAGTGGAATTGAAGTCTGGTTTGAACCACTACTTCAACGAAAACATGCACTTACCTGGTGATATATCTCCGCCCAAAAGAGGACAAGAAGCGTGTATGTAGAGAAAAATAGCAGTCCAGGAAGATCCAGCAAGACCAATATTAGTACCTGGTTCAAGACGCAGCTGCCCAATTTTAGCATACAACCCCAAGGATGTTCCTTTCATTTTGTATTATAGTCTTTTCAATCAACCAGCCTTAATATCCCTTAAACCGCAACCACCCCACAAGTAAATGGGGCTGTGAACAAGATGTAAGTTCGTACGTTTTACAATTATACATTTCAAAAGCTACTACAAGTGTGAAGTATCATACAAGGGTAGGTTTAAGATGTGAACTAATTGAAGCTACACAAGACTAACCTTCGGGTGCAAACTAAACACTTGACCATGAAATCCGAAAACAACTGCTCGTACTGTAATATCAACACCAAAACATTTCAAACTCACAATCAAAGGGCAAAATACTAAAAAGAGACTCTGAATGGCAGTAAGTCACCGGGAATCACCTCCGTTAACGATGAAGTTCATAAGATGAAAAACCTTCTGTGTCGTCCACCCATATTCCGGCACTCTCAATTCAATCCTTATTAGTTGAAACTGTGCACCACAAGCACAATCACTCAACTTAGCACCATTTCACAAATTTTTCTATAAAAAACAGGTAGAATTTTAGTAACTTGTGAAGTGAACGGATCCTGCTACTTTCGTACATCAACAGCGATAGTTTTCGCAATCGATTTATCCAAAATTTGAACCACCAATATAACATAAAATAAAAAATTGGTTGTAATCAACAACTGTTTGATGTAATTTTTAGGATAATTATATAAATTTCAGTTTACTGAGAGCTCCGATCTTGAAACATTACTCGAATTCATGGAAAATCAGCTACTAGTTTACCAAATAAGAAGCATGAAATCGAATCATATACACTAAATATATGAAGTTAGAGAGAGAGAGACCAGAGCGACGGAGGAGACGAGGGCGTAGGCGGCGCAGAGAGCGTAGAAGATGCCGTCCTGCCACCGGGAGGACTCGTTGATCTCGTCCCACCAGCTGAAGAACATGGAGACGACCTCCATGGGCGCAGAGCTCAATAATGGCAGTGGCATTCTCGTCATTTCGCGACGGAGCTTCCTCCGAAAGCGCGAGAAGCTCAGCGAGCGAGCCAAGGTCAAAACGCTTGAGAAGCGGAGAGCAGAAGAAACCCAACTCGTCAAACTTCACAGCTCAGCTCAGAGAGAGAGACAGAGTGGTGAGAGAGAGGAGGTGGAGGGAGGGGTAGTCTACCAGTACTGCCCCTACCAGACGGTCCAAGAGAGACGGAGAGGGCGAGGGCTCTTTGGGGGTTTTGGTGCCTCTCACCTAAGCTTCTACGCTGACGACTTACACTGGGAGTGGTGCGGTTGTAAATTTTCGCCCTTTATTATTAGTATAACCGCCCTCTTATCCTCTCTTTCTATTATTAGTATATAACCGCCCCCTTGATGAGCTCTCTCCCACTTTCTGCTCCTTTTTTGTATTTTTCATTTTTGTTGTAGAATATTGTTTACATACCCATTTTTACTTATTAGTTTATTTTTAATTTTTGACATCAGCGAATTAGATAAATTATATTAGCGAGGGTATGTAGAAGATAAAAATGAGAGCATTGTACCTTCCTTTTTATTTTCTGACGAACGCTTACTTGTCTCTTGCTTGATTTTCTTTGCTGCAAATCAAGTGCATTAGACAGAGTTGTATATTAGATCAGTTAATTAAGTATTAGTGAGGAAACGTTGTTTTGTTGTAGCCTCTTGCCGCACGCCAATTGAATTTTTTATTTATTGATTTGTTGTAATTTTTGTGTCAGCAAATTGGATAAATTGTATTAGTGAGAGTATGTATAAAATAAAAATGAGTGTGTTACACTTTTCCTTCTATTTTCTAGAGGATGCTTACTTGTCTCTTGCTTGATTGTCTTTGCTGCAAATCAAGTGCATTATTTTTTTTTAATTTTAATGGGAAAAGGGCAATTTGGGTATTATGAAAGCTTCACACTTTTTACATTCTCCCTTTATACATATACAAGTTCAAATGTCTCTCTCTATGGAGTATGATAGTTTAGTTATTTTACTTTGCTCACGAACGTATGAGTTAATGGCTCTTGTAAATTAGAATAATTTAAAACTTAATAACTTGTTTAGACTATTTGTTCTTTTAAAAAATACTTTTCAAATTTCCAATACATGTCAACAGAAAAGACAACATATACAACCAGTTCCAAATAGTTTACCGTTTTTCTCTAATTACTAATCTATCCGAAAGCTATCATCTGGATTTTTATAATAAAATTGACGAAATACGCAAACAAAATTATATATTAAAACCTCCATATGAAGTTGATTGAAATTAGAATAGAGTGTCGATAAAACAAAATATCGGCCCTTAATCTAATTTGATTTCTTTTAAGACCTAAACACTTAATCAAACTGGCCCTGTTGGTAATGACCTAGACTGTAACCAATCGAATAAGATCGGTTCGATTTGGTTTACTAAGACAATTTTCAAAGAAAATATCAAATTATAACAGTCAAATTTCAATTGATTGCTGATGCGATAATCTGAAGTCTTATATCAAATTTTTTTACTTTTCCAAACGAATTGTTAAATGATATTTTATTATTAATATAGATTTTTAAATGATTGTATTTATTGGTAGAAATGTTACCGGAATAAGGGACTCACCATAAAAAATAAAAGGTTAAATTTGACTTGTAATCACAAATGTTTCAAATTCAATCAATAAAAAACAGTTCGGTTGAGTTTAATGTCAAGATGCTCTAAAACATTTTTCATTATAAAAAAAAAATCTATTTTGTTTTGTTAGTTTCAAAAACATCTTTCATATTTTCAGAAATTAATAATATGCCAAATTTCAATAAAATGGGCAAATTATTAGTTGGGAATTAGGCGCCAAAGAAAGTTGGCAGGGGGCGCCTAAACCTGGGAATTGGTTTAAAATTTTGAGAACGTGGATGGGGCTGATGACCACGTGATGCGAGTGCGGAGATGCGATAGCAGATTCGCTTATGCCGTGGGGTCCCCCCACCTCCCATTCCAGACAGCCGTTGATTGGCCAGCTGAATAATATTAATTTTACTTGAAGGTGACGCGAAGTTTCTTGCCTGGATTACGTGGCGTGGCCGGTTTGGCCGTGTGGTTTGTGCCAAATTTCCTAATTTGGTAAATTAAAATGAAATTTGTTGATTTGATTATTACTTAAGTATTGATTAATATATTTTTTTTTGTAACATGTTATTTAGTATGCAAATTTAGTCTAAAAATTTAATTTAACTAACATTATCCTTTTCGAATTTCATAAAACTCGCCACAAAACTAATCTAATTTACTTACATACATAGCAAATATTGCCTTTGTTTAGACATGATTTTAAGTTAACCAGTGCGAGTTGAAACACATTTACATGAAAAATAATATTATGGCCCATTAGTTGGTTAACTAGAGTTTTAATATATATTAGCATTTTTGTATTTGATGAGCCTCTTGTTTGATTTAAGCCAGCCATCATAAATGATGTTGCTGGAGTCCCTCGAACCCGTTTTGTGTTTGCTCTTTAGGTTGTATTCCCCGTTCTTCACCACAAAAACAAAAGAAAAAAATACATTGTTATGTGTAACTAGCTTTATGGTTAAGAGAGAAACTGCTTGAGTTGTTTATACTAAGCATGACTAATTTTGAGATTCATTTTTTTTTTTTAACAAACAGTATTATCTATACTATGGGGATAGATAATTGGATTATGTCTCACATTGGACTAGTAAAAATATGGGTCAATTTGCCTTTGATAATAATTGAACTTAAGATCTCTTACTTACAAGTGAATAAAAATACCACTAAACCGTAATACTAAGTGACCTAATTATTTTGTCTTCTTGTATGTATACTTTATTTATATAATTAAACGCGCGAAACATTATCAAACATTGGTCAAAAATGACATTGTGGATTTGAGTCCCACCTCTCAACAGTCAAAATGTCAAATGACTCGTGTTCATGCAGAATTTGAGACGTGTGGTACTTCAACAAGAAAAACCGATGCGCAGACGTCGACAAAACTTACAAGTTCCTCGCCAATATTTGGCTTGCTTTCATGACTTTGACATGCATAAGATACATATAACTCGTATACTTGGATACCAATCATGCCACCACACCAACTTATATGTTACTCCTTCAACTGCGCCCTACCACCTAACGTTATTTCTTAGTAGGTGGGTCAATGACACTCAATATTTCTTAGTTTAAATTTCACTTACAATTATAGTAAGTTTTATTAGAACTGCATACTTGTTTTGCAGATGCTTAAAGTCTTGAAATCGTAAGAGATTAGGGTTAATCAAAGTCATTAAGGGAATAGATTCCTATTTTCTTTTACGAATGGGGATTAATCGTGAGACCCACATCACATCAAACTTCAACGATCTGAACCATCTATTTTTCAAGTTATACCTTATGGATCATCTTTGCAAAATATTAACTAAATCGACAATATTTGAGGCAATAATTAAAGTATATAATTTTATGAGAATTGAATTACAGCGGAATAGGCACTTAACCTAACTTTTTTGAATGAAGCATTTAGGCATGTTGCTTACTCTCTTTAGGCATGAAAAAGATATTTGAATAAGACCTAGCTAGTTGTTTGGGTACGAGATAAAAAATCATTTTTGAATACAATACAGAATTAGGTCTGGCAACCTAATTTCGAAGTGTTCACAAACGCATGACATGATACCAACAAAAATGAAGAGATTTTTCAGTGTGTCAGAAACACGATTCGGTAAATCAAGTGTAATAAAAATTCAACAAATTGTACTATGACATTTGATTTAGCAGACTGTATTTACAGTACGCTAAAAAACTACTCCAAAAAATGATACGCGCATATCCAAACATGCCTTAATCTATAACATTTCTCTAGTAACCATCACCACTTTAGCTAACTCGAGGGCCTAATGTGAGTTGGTTTAACTAAACACATGTGAATTGTGGATTGTGGATGCCATTTTTCTTGCAATACTTTATATATACAAAAAATGTAAAATTTTCATTTAAATGCTGTCACATTCCGATGACCTACTAAATAAAAGTTTAGATTTAAAGGCCCCATGTGTTCAGGTGATATTTATAGAAATATGGACTGTATAGCGGTGTCGGGCCTGTCGACCGTGATCTAATTTTTTTGCGATTTTATTTTGTTTGGTCTTACACCTTGTGTCTTGTGAGTTCCTACTTTTATTAATACTACAATCTAAATCACATATTAATAAAATTCTATTTGTCAACTAAAATTTTAATAAATGATCATTTTAACTCTCTTATCATAAATGAATAAAAAAAAAATATGGACAATTTAGTAAGCACACCTAACACAAATTTTATTGTTTTTATACTAATATCACATCCATGCAAATATAGCATATCCTATTTAAAAATTTAAAAATAAATAAATAAACTCCACTTTTCTCATCTTCTTCCTCTCTAGTCTCTATACATTCCCCTCCTTTTCTCTTCCTTTTTTTTTATTTGTTTATGGGAATTGTTATTGACACTCAAAAAATCTCATTCTACACTCCAAACTTTCTATATTTGAAAAGAAAAATACATTTGTGAGGAGTGTAGAATGAGATTTTTAGAGTACCAGTAAAACTTTCCTTTTTTATTTGTCTTTTTTTTTTTTTTTTTGAGTTGTCACTTGTGCTCATTAATGATAAGTCATAGTAAAATAAAAACAAATTTAGTTGCACACGTGGAGCATGCGTGCCGATTGCTAGTCAATAATTAATATAGCACAATTAAGTTAATTGTAAATAAGTCACTTAGTATTACGGTCCGGTGATTTTTTTTTCATTTTAATTAGAGAGGTCTTCAATTCGATTTTTTTTTCAAAAATAAATTCGAACTAAATTATTATGGCTAACCTATTTCGAGACTTTAGATAAGTTCGTTGGAACAAAGGAAATGCGTTCGTGCGTCGGGTTTGTGTCGACAATAATAAGATACAAACATAACTAGAGTTAACCTGAACGTGAAACAAATATTGTATTGCTAATCCTATAAGTAATAACATGATTAAACCGCTTAATATTCATAAGCAAAAAAATTGCCCATTTTAAACAAATGAACGAGTTAAATTTGTACTTTCACATTGAATTTAGACCATTTTGTACGGAATAAGAGTCGTATGCGAGTTAACAGCTTACATGATTCTTTAGACATGTTAAAACATGTCACATGTTTTACTGACCATGCGAACTGGGTCAACAAATCGAATTATAACACAAAAATTATGACCAAACAGAATCCTTTTTTTTTTGTGTTGCTTTCAAGTGGACTTATATATACGACTATATAAAGCCAGAATCTTATTTGGGTAACGGGCTTTACAAAAAATAATGGGACAACAATGCTCTTCAAACAAAAAAAATTAAAAGCAACTCAAAATAATGAATCAAATAATACATGAGTGCTCTTGTTATATAAATAGTGTTTTTTAATAATTAATTTTTTTTGTACAATTTTTTTTAATTAGTACTTCACAATAAGTTAGCAATAATGTGATTCAATTATTTGTTTATTAAATATTATTTTTTTTATTTTTAAACATGTTCAAAACATTTTAAGAGGCGCGTAGTGCCGGTTATAAAAATGGTTTTTCGCACGTGTGTAATAATTTGATTCAATTAGTTGTCAAATGATTTTTTTTTTTTTGAACAAACAATATTATCTACACCAAAGGGAGGAGGTGAGCTTAGCCTCAAAATGGGTTAGCAATAATGTGATTAAAAAAATGTGTAGTCGCCCGTAGCACGCTGTGATTCAAAAAAATGCCTTTTACGACAAGGCTAGTTTATATAAATAAGACGACACGTCAGAAACAATCAGCCGGGGATCCGTGGCGCAATGGTAGCGCGTCTGACTCCAGATCAGAAGGTTGCGTGTTCGATTCACGTCGGGTTCAAAACCCCTAACCCCCGAATTTCCCTTCTTTTTTTTTTTTTTCCACGACGGAGACGGACTCACCAACGTCACTCACACCGGATCACAAACCCAAAACTTTTTTCTCTGTCACTGTCCCTCTCACCCCCTTTCCCTCATCCCTCTGCAAAACCCTAAACCCAGCCTCCATTTCTCTCTCTCTCTCTGAAAGCCATGTCTCTTCTATCTCGCCTTCGCCACGCCGCCCTCACCAGCCATGCCCGCCACCTCTCCACGGCGGCCCCACTCTCCTCAAAGGACAAAACTAGGACCGCCATCGCCCTCCTCAAATCCGAGAAAGACCCCTCCAAAATCCTTGAAATCTGCAAATCCGCCTCCCTAACTCCCGAATCCCACCTCGATCGCATTGCCTTCTCCGTCGCCATCAACCGCCTCCGTGACGACAACCACTACGACTTCATCCGCCAGTTCCTCGACGACCTCTTCGCCTCCCGTTCCGATCTCAAAACGCAGCGATTCGCCTCCCACGCCATCATCCTCTACGGCCAGGCCGGCATGCCCGACCACGCCGTCCGCACCTTCGAGCGCTGCCATGAATTGGGGATTCCTCGGAACGTCAAGACGCTCAACGCGTTGCTGCTGGCCTGTATATTCTCCAGGAATTACAAGGAGGTGAACCGGGTTTTTATCGAGTTCCCGAAGATTTACGGGATCCAGCCCGATTTGGAGACTTACAATTACGTGATCAAGGCGTTTTCGGAGGCGGGCACCACCAGCTCCGCCTACTCGGTGCTGGCGGAGATGGAGAGGAAGAATGTGAAGCCGGATGCCAATACTTTCGGGCATTTGCTCACCGGATTTTACACCGAAATGAAGTTTGAAGACGTTGGGAAGGTGACAAATTTGATGGAGAAGCACGGGTTTCAGCCAGGGCTTTCTACTTACAACATTAGGATCAAGAGTTTGTGTAAATTGAGGAGGTCTTCCGAGGCGAAAGCGTTGCTGGACGGGATGCTTTCGAGGGGGATGAAGCCGAATGCAGTCACGTTTTGCCATTTGATTCATGGGTTTTGCAAGGAAGGGAAATTGGACGAGGCGAAGAACTTGTTTAAGAACATGGTGAACCGCGGATTTAAGCCGGATGCAAACTGCTACTTCACTCTTGTGTATTTCCTGTCCAAAGGTGGGGAGTTTGAGAGTGCATTGCAGTTTGCTAAGGAGAGCATTGAGAAGAATTGGGTTCCGAATTTCGGAACAATGAAGTTGCTTGTGGACGGGCTGGTGAAGGCTTCCAAGGTGGCGGAGGCAAGGGAGGTCATCGGGCAGATGAAGGAGAAGTTTTCGGCGAATCAAGATCAGTGGAATGAAGTTGAAGCTGGATTGCCGCAGTGAGAACTCAGTGAGGAAGAAGATGGTTTACTTCTTGTTATGATTTTCTTGTTTCTTGCTCGAAATACAATCTTCTGTTTCAGTGTTTTTTTGTTGAAGAAATTTTGTTGCTGAGTTGCCCTACACAATCTCGTGTGTATAAGAATGTTTGAACAACCATACATTGTGCCTTGGCATTCACTTCTCCGGTCAACTTTTGTGTCGATAAATCCTGCGCACAAGGTCAACTTTGTGCTAGCAAAATGTATCAACGATACATTGTCGACATTATTCCGACCAATGACGTTATCAATACAAAATCCGTCGTTTTAATGGATCAATGGCAAAATGTCGTACCAATGACATTATCAATGCAAACAAAATCCGTCCTTTTAACGAATCAAGGGCAAACTGTCAACGGGTAATCAAATCATTATTCAAATTGCTGGTACAAAATCCATCCATCCGTCCATTTTGTAGAGTAAATTGTAACCATGGTCTCTCAACTCTAATCAAATTAGTCCCTCAACTCATTAAAATGTGTACCTATGATCATTTTCATCAACTTCGTTAGAATTTTGTCAAAATAAGTTACGTTGGAAGGACTATTGCTACAATTGGGGTCTCTCAACTCATCAAAACATGTAGATATAGTCATTTTCGTCAACTTCGTAAGAATTTTGTCAAAATGAGTTATGTTGGAAGGACCATTGCTATAATTGAGTTAAAGTTGAGATACCATTTCTCTAGATGGATTAAAGTTGAGGGAGTAATGGTAATGGATTTTTAGTTGAGGGACCATAGTCGGACGTTTTGATGAGTTGTTGGACAATTGCTTCAATTGAGTTAAAGTTGAAGGACTATTGCTACAATTTACTTTATATTTACGTCTAGCACAGAGAATTTCTACGTTGTCATGGTTCAATGCACGACGAGTGCATTACATATGTAACAAATACATGCATTCGATCGGCTTGGAGTTGACCCTTACCTGGGGTAAAAGTAAATACGGATTTACAGTAATGTCGATCAAATTAAATATTTACACTGAAGCTAAAAATTGTGAAACTCCATAGAAAATTCTTCTGTAAAACTTGGCCCAAAAAAAACACTTTGGTTAGTCTGATAAGTTAGTATTTTACATCTGCATGAAACTTCGGCCAGCTTTGCGAACTAAACAGCGCAGGACTCCGGGCAGCTGATCCTGTCTATGCCGAGTCCTTTTGACAAAGGGGGTGCAGCAAGATTCGCATCGTTAGAAGAGTTGAACCCGAAAAAGCAAGTTAGCAAATTGCAATCTGAAGAAGGGTAAAAGATCACATTTCCGGATTCTCCATACAATGAGCTACTCGATCAAAACTTTCGTAATTCAATCTCCGAGCAACTCGATCCTTGCTTCATGTTTTAGCCCTCTTGTTCTGCCTAACCTCGTCCTCGTTCAAGGCTGCCTCCGCCACCTAAAAAGAGTCGTGAATAGTAGAAGTATTATGTATATGCACTCATATTCAACTGAGTTAACACTCATTCAGAAAGAGCGAGTGCCAGAGAGAACAGAATTACGTACCATTTTAGGATTGTCGAGCAAAGACTTGATACCGCTGGGAATTGTAACTAGATCATGAACTGTATTAACCAGCTCTTGAACAACAGCAGTAACATGACCCAATTCAGCATTGGCACTTGCGATTAATCTGTTGTGAAGTTTTCTTAGAACATAGACATTCTTTGCTCGTTCTTTCTCTTTACGGTACATCAATCTCAAATCTCTTAAGTATGTTAATTGGTTCATATTTTGTTCATCCAATGAATGTCCACAATTTGCCCAGCTGTAGGACAAGTGGTTTGTCTCCACCGAGGCTTCAATATAAATGATAGACAACTCATTTAAACCGGTCTTCGCAAGCTTCTCAAACAGCAGCGGAACCAAGTTCTCTTCAAGCCACATCCTTATTCTCTCTCCACCTCTCTGTACAATAACAGCAGCAATCAATATTGTACACCACAGCACAATTACTATCAGAAAAAATGCTTATTGCCATGCGTTCAATCAACGTTGCACATAATTTGTAAAAGATCTGTTAAGGAAAAGTAAAGAGTACTAATTTCTGTTGACTTACTCGAAATGACTTTTCTCATATAATGTTCATTATAATTTTCTTGGAAAGCATTATTTGTTCGTATTTACAAAGAAGCAAGCTTTATTCAGTGTTAATATGGATATGAGAAATCTAGAAGATTGGGGGACACTAGCTCCTTTCCAGCTCTCCACAATACATCTGAACTAGTTTACTTGGTTAACCTAGCTGTTTGTTTCCTTTTTTTCTGATATAAATAGTTAATTTTTACTCCAGGTTTTCACAGTTCCAGTAGGAAAGATCACCACTTATGAAAAACATACGATTCTATCTCCAAGCCAAGTTGACCTCTGGATGATAATATCTAATGCAGCTTCAGATGGGTATATAATGAGGCCCTTCTGCGTCATGCAGCTGGCAATGTCCCTTAGCTGCAGTCTAGCAACCGCCTTCAACTGCTGAACAGATAGAGACCTAATTCCAATCACATCATCCAAATATTCAAGCAACTGAGGTCTGAAATGCTGTTTTGCCTGCAAAAGAGAAGATCCAAAGGTGATTTGGGTAAACATGATAATGGTTTCCTTTCAACAAAATAATATAGATATGAATTTCCCAACATTTACCTCCCTCAGAAGAGAAAGGTAACATAAATTGTGTTTTGTTTCCCATTCATCATCATATAATCCTTCTTTGACGGGAAACTTCTGAACTTCATCTGCACATTTGCAATTCCATGGCCAGTATTTATCACATCCAACATTTGTTGTCATGATTATCAATGTTTTAGTGAAGTCAACAATGTTCCCTTGACCATCTATTAGATGACCAAAACCTATAATCTCGGTCAGAATGTCAATAACAGATTCATGAGCCTTGTCAACATTGTCAAACAAAATGACACCTATAGGCCTCTTCTTAACAGCCTCTGAGCGCTCCCTCTTCATGCCCGGCTCCACATGACTACAGGAGCAAAAGTCCAGAAATAATGTAAAAATAAACTTACGAAAAATTCAAACTGAAAAAAAAAAAAAAAAAAAAATGTTGGAAAGCATCACTCAATTGACAAATTACCTAGAAAGAAGTCCAACGAGGCGTGAGAAAGAATTTGGACCTGAGTATTTTGCCAGGTCAAACTCTGCTATCATGTCTTTGTTATCAAAAAGTAGTCCGGCTACAGATTTGGCCATTTCTGTCCTCCCATAACCGGAGCCGCACATGAAGAGGAAGGATCCAATAGGGCGTTGCTCAGGCCTCTGCTTTGATAGAGCAGCAGTTATTGCAAGTAGAACATGTTCTTGCCCAACTACCCTCTTAGCAATTCTTTGTTCAAGGTTCTTAGGCAGTGTTGGTTCAGAAAGCAACAATGGCGGTGGAGCATTAATCAAGGGGCTTGCCGCCTACATATGATGCAAAACTATTGAGACCGAGAAAGTGAATCACTTTTCAATTTCTAATAAGAATAAAAAAGGCCAGTCACCTAGAGTGTCATGTCATATGTCAGTAAAGGAAGCAAAAGTCTAGCACAGGAGTAAGTAAAAAATATATCCACCTTCGCAACAACATGCGGGCTAACGGTTAGCTCATGCTTAAAATCTTTGCGAGTTGTATATAAAAGCTCGGTCACATGGTCATCAAACCATTGCAACATCCCAGAGAAACTGTTCACCATCTTTAGTCTTGCCTCATTTATACAAAAGACCAACCTTTCATGCATCCTTTCCAACAACAGCGCCTCTCGAGCTCTGATGTCATATCTCTGCCGTGAAGTTTTTACTTGCATCCAGTTCATCTCCAACTGGTTCCACATAACCTTCAATTCTTCATGTTCCTTTGTCAACTGAGTGACATGAACCCAACATTGCATATTTCTTAGGAAAACAGTGAATACCGAAAAAGAAAAAGTGAAAAAATACCAATGTTGCTTGTAACTAATAAGTGTAGCTTACACGATCACTCCACTTTTGTGTGGATGGATCTCTTTCTTTCTTGATTTCGTTTAACTCAACTAGTGTGCGATGCAACTGGTACTCACCAACATCTAGATCATCCTCTTCTTGTCTAGAATACTCAAATTTATGCCTCAATTTTCCACAAGCTTCCTCTAAAAGCTCAACAACCTTATTTTGCAAAATTTCCTTCCGGGTGTCATCGAATTCTCCTCCACTACTATTGAACTGAAAAACTGAACAACAAAAAAAATGACAAAACCTTAACTAACATGGCATTTTCACACTAAAGATTGAGAAAAGAATAGCGGTACCAATCAACTAACCATCGGGGTATTGCATGATGATGCGGGAAGCAACTATCACTGCCTCGGCTTCGATTTCAACACCATAAGCCAGCTCCAACTTCTCCTGATCTTCAACCTGGAGCTTCTTAACAAACTCCCCCATCCACTGCTCTGTACCCATCTCTGCCACACCTACAACTTCATCACAATTTCTCTGTCAGAAACACAAAACTTCGGATTTTCGGTCATTTAACCAAAACCCATAATTGAAAACACACTAATTATTCGAAAAATCCAGAACCCTTCAAACCTAATTTACAATTTTGTTGGGCAGCCCCAAAGTAATTTGATTTTTGTTTAATTAAATAAAGAACAAAGATTAAACACAGTATAGTTTCCTACTGCAATAAGAAGTATTCCTGAAACTAACTTCTCCAACCAAAAATTTCAATTCCAATTGAACTAGACTTACTGTGGAAGTGGGCTAAAATCGAATTTACTTAATTTTCAGGGACTGTCGTGAAAACCCCAAACCACCATTGTCCCCGACAATTAACGTGCGATTGCGTTACATTGGAAATTCAGAAGCTTCAAGTTCCTACCTTTTCTCAGCCACGAAACGAAATTTCACTCTAATCCGACAGAAATTACGCAGACGGATGTTTCAATTTTGGTTAATGAACAAGGAAGAGGGGAGGGACGAAGGGAAGAGAAAGCCCTAATTTTTACGAAACAACGTTAAAATCTCAAAAACCCTAACCTGGTTTTTCGCAGTGTCGGAGAGTTGATGTCTCGCCCGCGAGAGATCGCTCAAAGCCCTTTAATTGTTTTATTTTTTTTTTTTGGGGAAAAGAGCGCAAATGAGGAAGGAGGGAGTGAGGTTTTAACTGCCAATTGCTAACCGACCTCACCCGGTGGTTCGAACCGGCTGAAACGAAACCACCGAGACCGATGTGGTCATTTGGGTCCTACAAAGCGCATAGGCCCACCGTTTAGAGCATAGCTTGATTTGGTATTGAGGTGATTCTGAAAAAAGCTGGTATAAAAAAAAATTGGAAGTTGTTTTTGTGTTTGGTAAACATTCAGCTTCAGCTTTTTTTCACAATTTTGGGTGAAAAAAAGCCAAAAACAAGAAGCTGCAAAACCCAGCTTTGAAAAACTGGCTTTTTTTCACATCTGTTTTACATAAAAGTTTACTAAACATTATAATCCTGCTTTTTTTTTTCAAAAGCACTTTTACAAAAAAGTTTACCAAACACTCTGCTGCTTTATTTCACAGCTGCTTATTCTCACAGCACAGCAGAAGCAGTTTTTTTTCAAAGCACAGCAATACCAAACCAGCCCCATTTCCAGTGTTGGAAGGTCCCAAGGCAATTGCCTATTAAATCTTATTCGTTAAATGAATAGTAATTATCTTTAATGAACAGTAATTACTTTTGACATTTCCACTTCTAAATTGAATAACCATGATAATAGGTAATAAAATATTAGTATTTTTTATTTTATAAAATAATAAAAAATAATTTTATTTGTAATTTCGGATAAGATTTTTAATCGGTCTCGTTGCACCACGTGTCATTAAATAAGAAATTACAACCCAAAATATTGGAGAAAATATAAAATTATGATGTAACGTGGAAGATAATGATAAAATATTTATAGAAAAATTTTTTATTAATTTTTTTACATTTTTTATTAATTTTATAATCTGGCTGATGTCGCCTTGCATCAACGCCCTTAGCCTTAGGTGCTTGGGCCTTGGATTTGTGCCTCCCCTCTCACATAGGCCCCCCTTTAGCCCAATCGCTTGCATGGGTTGGAGCAAGAAAAAGAGGGGATTGCGTTGAAAAGGTCCCCTATCCACAGGGCCAAAGCTTCCGCTGGACTTGCTTGCTCTTAAAGAAGACCAAAAATGCTTCGATAGGATATCCGACCACGTCATTTTAAAATAAGTTCCACAAAAATATAAGTTTTGTATACTTTAATTTCAACCGTTAAATCTTTGATTAAAAACATAAAAATGCATGTTTTATGTACTTTAATCCCAACCGTTGGATCTTTGACTAAAACACAAAAGTAAGATCTAAGGTTTACAAGTCTGTACCATCGTATACTCAGTAAAAACACAAGTCTTATGTTCTATGGTACTTTCGACATCACACTAATCCTGTTTAGCGTGGGAGAAGCCTGTTTAGAGCGACCTCTCGAGAGATCGTTCTGCTTCTTGATTGATTTAGAATACCGTCAAAATCACTTTGGTTTTTTGTTACTTTTCAAAATTTAGGAAGCTTCTATAAGCCTATAAGCCAACTGAAAAGTCATCACACACTACTGGAAGGGTAATTTCTCATTTATACCGTTACGAGTTCCGGCATGGCAAGCAGTGTTCTGAACCCGAAAAGGTTTCGAAAAGCTACGAAGTTTGGACGTCAAGAACTTTAACCCGACATCAGTATATCTGTTACATTTCTCTTTTCCAAAATTTCTCTAGGGCTATACAAAGGTAAGGGATCTCTCATTTCTACTGTTCACATCTTCACCGAGTTGACATCCCGTTGCAATTTTCTTTTACGCAATCCGCGTCTGTAGCTCACAAAAAACTGCGGGCGTGATCGGTTTCCCAAGTGTGAAAAACGAGTAGCTTGTTTGTCAAAAATTCTTATTTATGCTGCGCATTGGAACTCCATGATGTTGCAGGCTGAAAGAGTTACAGCGTTACTTAAATTAGGATTTCCGAGCGGTCAATGCAGATCTCCCCAAGTGTTGTGCCCCGTACGCTGCTGTGGAAGCCACTGTTGTTGATGCAACTAACCAACTGCACCAATTCGAGATGAACAATGAGCTCTCTGAACATATATAATACCAAAGAAAACAAGTTACAAGACAGCTGATTTCTGCGTCTGATCACCTCAAGTATGTAATGTATGACTGAGTTTCTTGCGTTCCAAACTCTGGTTGAAGGAGAACTGCCGCTACTAAAATCAACTGGAAGACCGTGTTAAGCTGTAAACGTCCATAGTATTATTTGTTAGGAAACAGAAGGCACCTTAATCACAACCAAACAACAACCGCAAGCACCACAGAAATTTTATCTCAATCTCTAGCCTTGAGCACTGTGTGATACTTGGTAGAGAATAAAGCTTACCTTACTAATAAAGAGTGGTTCGACCTTCTCGGGACGGGTTCCATCAAGGTTGAAAAAGTCGGACCAACTATTCCACTGAAAAAAATTCAACATTGTCAAATCAGATTTTGGCAACATGAGTAACCAAATCATTTGGGCCAAGACGTTGATAAGAAAAATGAACAAAAGATCTCACCTTCCACCCCAAGCTACTAGCCCTTTGATAAACTGCACCACCAACAAGACCAACATCCCGGAACACAATGAGTCCAACCAGCCCGGCTTCAGAATCCCAAAATCAAACGCAATTAGTTCCAATGGCAAACTAGTTTCCCAACACACAAGTCTTTAGAGTAAACCAATAAAGGCTTCAGATACCAAAGATAAACTAAGAAACTAACTGAAAAAAGCAAACATAGGCAAAGTATTTACTCAGATAGGTAGGCCGAGAATGTGGCTGTGAACAAAATTTCTTTGTGTATAGTGCAATCTAAATACAGTCTCTGAATCAATGTGCATGTGTGGAGCCTGTGTTTGTATTAACGACAATAGCTCAATCATCGATGTGATATGAAAATCAAATATGTAAACGGACTATTTGGTACTTACGGTGAAGAAGACCCTTATGCACCAAGGCCAAAGCAACGCATCCTATAAGAACCTGTATCACAAGGACATCACAAAGCAACACACAATGGCACATCAACAACCCAAACCACAAGCAACTAGGAATTCAAAGGCACCACTTTTGAAAGAACCGAAAACTGAAAAGCACTTATACCTTATCAGCAAGGGGATCCAGATAGGACCCAACAACAGAGTTGATCTTCATCCTCCTAGCCATGTATCCATCCAGCTATACAATCAACGCACAAGTAAAATAAAATCTCACAAAAAACTAGAAACCGTGTCCAGCTTAAAATTCCTGTCTCCGAAAAGGCTTCACAATAACTTACCCAGTCACTTGCCCCAGAGACTGCCAATCCCACCATTGCAGAAGAGTACCATTCATTTGTGATCATCCTGCATACCATACCAGTTCCAAATTACAAATTAATTAAACTAAAAACACACACCCACAAAATAAAATAGAGGAATTGTGAAAGAAAAAAAAGGTTTTACCATCCAAGCAAAGGACCCGAAATCAACCGACTCATGGAGATCATATTGGGCAAATTGACGAAATCGTCACTGACATCTTTCAACCCGACACCGCGATCCACCACCGTCGGAGCCGGCGAGAGTGACCCAACCTCCAATGGGAGCGAGAAGCTCGGTCTCCTCCTTAGCAGGTTCGAGTGCAATGAAGCTTCGATCTTTCTGAGGACGACGCCGTTTCCGCCGAGGTAGAGCGGAGTGGAGGACTGCGAGAGCTTCCATGGAGGGCGGGAGAGGAAGAGCGGTCCGTGAAAAGGAACGATCCAATTGGAGAGCGGAGAGAGGAAGGTCCTGGAAATCTGAGACGGCAATCGGAAGAGGGGGTAAGAGAGAGGGTAGGATAGAGGAGAGTAGTGAAGAGGGGCGGAGATGGAGGAGGAGGAAGCGGTGGCGGTGAGGAAAGTTCTGGATGATTTCTTAGGGTTTTGGATTAGGGCTTTCAGGGACCGGAAGACCGCCATGGCTGCATTGAAGCATCCTGGGGAAGGAAAAAATATTGGCGGAAAACTCAACTGTAAAATTTGGGTTTTGCTAACAATCCATGAAACGAGCCATCTGGCCAGCCTTTGGTTGGAGATGACCTTAGGTCAGCCTGGCGGTTCGATTGACATGTGGCGATTACATGTCACTCTTGTCTTTTACACGTGGAATTTCCTCACTTTTGTGTTTTTATTCACTTTTAAATGGTTTGGGCTTCTTGCAAATGTAATCCATGAACAAAGGCCCATCCCAATTTTTATTGGGCTTAGTACTTCTAATTTTTTATTACTTGTTAATTTATTAATACCATCAAAGTATTATAACCAAATCTCAAAAGTTTAGTCACATTGAGGGTGATATTTTCTTCATTCAAACTCTAACGTGGTATGATATACTCGTCTGAGTTTTCTCGAAAGTGTAGAAGTTTGTTGACATAATTAAACAACATTAGCAAAACTGTGTTCTAGAGAACGCGTCTGTTGAATATACGGCTCTAACTCAATGGTTCCAATTTTGTCCGAAAACACAAAAACTCAATGGTCTTTACCAATGTTGGTTTCAAACTTCCAACTTCAAAGCTTTTTCTTCACATTTGTTGCTGCCAATTCCTGATGTAGTTTTTATGCTTGCCATTGGCATTCATTGAGAGTTTGCAGAACCAATGACGGCTCTGCCAGTGGCAGAGGCGCCGGGGAGGGAGGAGAGCAGGATGACTTGCTTCTCATGTTGCAAGGTGGACGTCGACGAGCCTGACGAGTCTGCGAGGAGGGCCAGAATAAGAAGGCCATACTGCAGTGGTGGGATGAGATTGAACTCGCTTTTAGCAACTTTTTCGGTTAAGTCAGGTCCAGAAAACGTTACTGATTTCTCATTTAGTTTTAGTTTTAATGAAATGCAATGAAGGTTTTGGTAGGTGAAGATGTTTGCTAACTGGAATTTATGTAAAACGATGCAGGGTTGGTTAAATTGCTGGAATTTATAGACTAGATTTCGATTTTTGACCATATTTTTGCGTTGAAACATACGCATTATGCATGAAAAGAAAACTGTAGTTGTGGAAATATGATGTTTACATAGGCAATGTGATCAATGTGCAGGTAGCAGCCAGTGCAGGAATTTACAGAAGGAGATACTAAAGACGGGACACGCGAAGAAATCTGCGCAGCTTTTTACATACGAGGAACTGGCTGCTGCAACTGATAACTTCAATCCTGATTCTCTGCTGGGAGAAGGTGGATTTGGGAAGGTGTACAAAGGTTACTTGGACAGCATTAAACAGGTATGTTTCTCTCCCCATCTCTTACGCGTGTGTGCGCGCTTCTGAGCTCACACGCTTTGATGACAGTCATAAGAAGATCTTGCTGTTCATGTTTTCAATTACATTCATTTCAGATTGTGGCGGTAAAGAAACTTGACAGGAAAGGGTTGCAAGGGAGCAGAGAGTTCTGCTCTGAAGTTATCATGTTGAGTTTGGTTCAACACGCGAACCTCGTCGATCTTATTGGCTATTGTGCAGAAGGAGATCAGAGAATTTTAGTGTATGAATTTATGGTCAATGGATCTTTGGAGAATCACCTTCTAGGTATGCAGAAACACAATGTGTAACCCGAAGATTTTCGCTCTTCTTTGGCACAAAAGTAACCACATTTTCTTTGTCTTTAGATATATATCCAAATAGGGAGCCTCTTGATTGGTACACAAGGATGAAAATAGCCGAAGGAGCAGCAAAAGGGCTCGAGTACTTGCACGAAACTGCCAATCCGCCAGTGATTTACCGTGATTTGAAAGCTTCAAACATTTTGCTAGACGAAAAATTATGTCCAAAGCTCTCTGATTTTGGACTTGCTAAGTTAGGTCCAACCGGAGACAAGGACCACGTGACTACTAGAGTGATGGGGACTTATGGCTACTGTGCACCGGAGTATGCTTCAACAGGACAGCTGACAATAATGTCTGATGTCTACAGCTTTGGAGTTGTGTTTCTCGAGTTAATCACAGGAAGGAGAGCTATTGATGATCAAAGACCGGTTGGGGAGCAGATCCTAGTCAGTTGGGTATGCTAACAATCCTGGAGTAGCTAAACTACTTGTAATTGGAAACTTGAAAATCTTTTTACCTCTTACCATCTTTTTATTTTCATCCTATAGCAGTCCGACTTTGTACAAGGCGTCCTGTCTTTCTTAAAGATATGACGTTTTGAGAAAACCTCACTTTTACTAGTAGAAGAAAATTGAAAGAAGTGAGGTTTTCTCAACGCATTCCTATCTCTAAGAAAGACTAGACGTGTTGCACAAAGAATTTCTCATCATATAAGACTACATGTTCCTTGCAACCCTAATACTGGTCCCTTTCCATTCATGCAGGCAAAGCCAAAGCTAAAGGACAGAAAGAAATACGCATCGATGATTGACCCGTTACTTCGAGGAAGATATCCGGCGAAGGGTCTGAACCAAGCTGTTGCAATTGCAGCAATGTGTCTGAACGAGGAAGCTGATTACCGGCCTTCGATGGGTGATGTTGTGACCGCTCTCGGGCACCTGTCGTTGCCAGTGTACGACAGAAAAAGTGCCAAGGGTGCATTGGGAAACAGAGGCGCGCACGTTGAGTCGGTAAGCAGAGGAAGTTTCGGAGGTGACAAATAGCTATAGCAATAGGATCCATGTGCAAGCTGAAGAATGTGCCATGCAGCTATTCAAGCTATATCTAACTGTAATGGAAGAAGGGGATCTTTTATTTATAATTTTCCTTGCAAAGTATAACAATTTGGCAATCACGCACTATCATACATTTTAAATTTCCTCACACAACAATGATTGATTGGCTAAGGATATCGTCACATTCTGCATTGCCATCCATGAAAACCTTTTCCACTTCGCTAATTAGCCCTCTCTCTCTCTCTTTAGGGGTATTTTAGTGATGGGTTCTATAGCAACTGACGATCCAGTTTGATCAGATACCGAGCAACAAACTTCTTCCCTATATCTGGGAATAGCAACGTGATCCAAATGTCCGGTCCAAACAAAGGAACTCACTCCGAATAGTCCTAACAAAATCATGATTCAGACGAGATTTGGCAAAAGAAAAACTATTAACAAGGTCCTATAACAAAATTGTACAAAAAAGCTCAATAAATTTAAAAAAAAAAAAAAAAAAAAATTCAAAAGCGCTTTTGAGAATTTGCCTTAAGTTAAATGCTCAAGTTGTTCATGTCATCCTTGAGGATCTTGTAACTAAACCCGGGAACCCCATTTCGCCGATTGGTTTCCGCAACTTCTGCAGCAAAACACATACTTGACAAGAACCCTCTGCCGCTGCCACTGCCGCTGCCGCCTCTCCTCTTCCTCCTCCTCCATGCCATTAACAATAGCCGGAAACCAGACTTGCCACAATGACTACCACTACCGCCAGAAGTCAAGCCGAGTATCTGTCCCAGAGGCTTCATTGAGCTTGAGCTACCACGCCGGTCGAGCTCAATCTTGCTGAAGTACTCGATCTCCTTCAGGACAAGCGATCCAACCGTGCCTCGCGTGCCTATAGCGATCGGAGCTGTTGCTGCAGCCATGGGATTTGTTTGAGGGAAGCTGGTTCCTGTTGCGCTGCCGGCTTTATACTGCATGATTTATTTTATTTTCATAAAAAGGTGTGGAGAGTGATGTAAGAAGAAGCTTGTGGGTGAAGAAAAGTTGAGGGGAAGGAAGGAAGGATTGCTTTAAAATTAGGGCATCTTCTGCTTCCATGTTTATAAAACTCTTGATGCAGTGTGCTTTAGGTAAAGTGGACAGCCTGCGATTCTGCATAATTGGCGCATCGGTTAAGACATCATATGATCCGGGTGGTTGCAGTAAAAGCATGCATAATCTCCGGATTAATTTTTTGCCCTTTTGACTGTGGAACTCCAATTCACTTCCATGGTAGGGTTGGTTGATCAAAACAGTGGGTAATTTTTCAGTTTGACCGTCACACCGGCATGCATTATTTAGAAGAAAAAAAAACTAGTTTAACGTGTAAATGTGCGTCAACCAAGTAATGGTAACACAATTGGTTAATTAAAAGAGAGTTTTGGTACTTTTTGCAACGAAGAGTAGAAAAATTCGCATTGAGATTCTCTTTGGATATCACATTTCACAGCGCGCAGATCAAGCAATCCAAACTGTTTGAGGGAGAGGCATATGAGTGTTGGACAAAGAGATTATGTGTGAGGTGGGTCAGTGAAATGAACTAATACGGACCGTATGATTTAAATTGAACAATCCAAATCGGTTGATCCGCGGGCTTCGGAGGCAGAGTGTCAATCCGAAAAATTCCGCCATCTTTATACTTGCAATCTATGCGAGGTTCTACGTTCTTTCGATCTAACCAATGAATAGGGGTAATAAGAAGAGAAACATTATAATCTTTACTTCTTATCATCTGTTTTTCGTGTTTGTTATTTATTTTGGATGAGAAGTAAAACAATAAATTTTTTTTTTCTTATTTTATTTGGGCAACGTTATAAATTTATAACTTTAATCTAAATTATAAAGAAACAAATTAAATTTATATGTATATCAGAGAAACACTATTCAAACCAACTTGATTACGTTCGGGTTTGCAATAATGCAATTGTTAAATGCTGATGACTTTTCATATAAAATGTTTGAGTTCAGGCATGCGATTGATTGATTTTGTCCCTGAACCTCAGCAGAATAGGCATGAATGGAGGGTGCCAAAAGGACATATGCAATTGATTAAACTCACAAAAGCTTTAGTGACATACATCATTTCTTTCGGTTAATAATTAAATAGGAGGCCCTGTGATTTTTTTATAATAATTGATTAGTTTTTTCTTTGTTTCCGAGATTGGTGGTCGGCCCAATTGCATTTTTATGGGGTTTTTTTTAGTCAAAATGGTCTCTGAAATTTTTATAACACATAACTTTGGTTCTTGATATTTAAAATTAATAGAAATGGTTATTGAGATTGTCCACCATCCTATTATTTTGGTCATTTCATTAAAAAAACTCCGTTAAGTGGTCCCGTTTTTTAACGGAATGATCAAAATAATGGATAATAGACAATCTTAATGACCACTTCTATTGATTTTAAATCTTAGGGACCAAAATTATGTATTTTGCAAATCTCAGGGACCAAATTTATGTGTTACACCCTCAACTTAATGGAGTTTTTTAACAGAATGACCAAAATAATGGATGGTGGACAATTTCAGGGAGCACTTCTATTGATTTTAAATCTCAGGGACCAAAGTTATGTATTATGCAAATTTCAGGGAACATTTTGACTAAAAAGCCTTTTTATGGAGAAGAGTTAAAAAGATAGATGAAGGCACTTATGGTTGTGCTCCAATTAGGTTTTTTTTATAACACTTTGCCTATCTAAGATTTGCAGACTGGTTAGAGATGTGATTATAAAACAGAGGCTCAGACAAAAAGAGATGAAGATCTAAGAGGACTTCGAACGAGGCTCTAAGAACATACATGAAATATTTGGAGCTAACATAAAACTTGGACACAAAACCGAGCATAATCGCGTTTTAGGGTTCATACAACAAACCCCTTTTAGTGAAATAAGACTTTGATGTTGTTGTTAGGTTTCTCTTTTTTCAGGCACGGTTTGTGAAAAGAGCGCCTAACCCCTAAACTGGAATGCGATGGTGGCTGTATCTCAAGCAAGCACTGCGCTGTGTTTTAACTTCCACGCACAAGTGTGCGAATGAATTGAATTTAGATACCGACGTTGTGGCATCCAAGCGCATGGAAGTTCTTCTCCGAAGATTGAGTTGTGTAAACGATACAACGACATTAACCTTTTTATTAATGAAGCAGAGGAGATGGCTAACAAGTTAACATTGGAAAAAATGAGAACATCTAAGCTCATATATATAATACCATAAACGTTACAACACTTCACTCTTCTTTTCTGTTTGTAAGCCTCAAAAAGGGAAGTTACCTCTTATTTCCTCATTTCTCATTTCTATTTTCCTATCATTTTTGTTTCAATTTTCTTTATTTTCCTGTGTGAGATCTAGTTAACAATCTAGTGTATACTGGGAAGATGGCATGAATACCTCAACTTCCGATGTGAGGCAAGAGCTTGTCGTAGAGCAGCATCCACGCTCGCGCCCTCTCGAAACAGTGACTCGTATAACTGACAAACAAATTGCGACACCTCTTCCTCATCGTCATCCCAAAAACCTGTAGATGGGTCCCCGTTTTCACTATCTTCCCAGTCGCTCAGCGGACTGCTAGGCTCAGCCTCCTCATCTTCGATTTCATCTTCAGCGTCTTCCTCGCCAATCTCAAACTTCCCGTTTTCAAAAGCACTGAACTCTGCAGATCCGTGGAGCGCTGTCAGCTGTGTTTCCGGGGGCTGAGCTAAAGAACTTATAACAGCTTTAGCGCCAGAGTCTAAAAATGCTTTAATCAGTGGTGGCGTAGGTCCATATGTCCCTGTGCAAACAATGATTCTATCTCTCCAAGCTCCGACCTATAGTTATCAAAGACAAAAAGCATCAGTTTGATCACGAAAATCATGCGCCCATATGCATATTTAACTTAACAAACGTAAAGGTGATGGTGTACCATCCAGCGAACATCATCGGGTGTTAAATGGATAGAAGGGACAGTTCTACGAAACAAATATGCTCCAATTTCTTGGCCGTTGTCCATAACCTTAAAAAATTCCATCATCCAACAAATCAGAGTTAGTAGTTTGGCAAACAATCCAATAAGAAGCAAAAAATAAATGGTTTCAATGCTAAAGTAATATACTTGAGTTTGGCGTCCCATATAACGGTGAACGATGCCTCCAAGTTGGAAGTATGGTCTACATGCAACCAAATCAGAAATAGTTGAAATATTGGCAAACGATGAATCAGCCTTCCTGCGGCGGTTTCGCATCACTGATATCAAACTCAGTTTCACACTCTGAAGAAAATTATCTGCAAGCTCTCCGGGTTCAGCAACCACAAAAACATCATTCTGCCAACTACAAAAACAAACAGCTGGTAAATTAGGACTAAAGCTGAAATAACATTAACTTGCAATTATAAAAGATCAGTCCAGCAACACTGACCTTAATATCGAGCCAAGTGAGTCATTTTGAAGGGCTAAATGTACAATGCCCACTTGGGGCGAGTTCTGTAACTTCTCGTGCAATGACTGGACGGGTAAAGAAAGCTGTCTAGATCCTAAAGGAGACGCAGGTGGTGACACAGTTCCTTTTCCAGACTGCGCATCTAAGCTTAAAGGTGGGACCATATCGATTCGGCCAACCCTCTGTGGGCCAAAATCAGGACTGTAGAAAAGTGGACTTGATGGGATGCTTGGAGGAAATAAAGGTGATGCAAATGGCGTTGGGAATGTTGTTGCTGGTACTGTTTTCAAAAATCCTGATATGCCTTGCATTAGCGATAATCGTATTCCATTACGAGCACAAAATGACTCAAGTGCATGAGCATGGTTCTGAGTGCGACCAGAATTGGGGCTATGTGAAGCTTCAACAAGTAGTACATTACGCCTCCAACCTAGAGACGGGCCTTTTTCCCCTGTTACAGAAAAGTATCAACAAAAAACGAATAAAAACTAAAATTCACAGAGGCAAATTAAGAAAGATGTCAGCATCAATACCGTCACTTGATGCCTTTGACTTAGGGACATGTTGAGATCTTAAATTCTCGGACCACTTCTCATCATGTTGGAATGGCATAAGTAGTCTCTCACAGGCATCCTTAAGTACAAGAGAAGTTTTCTGAATATATTCCTCAACTGCATCTTCCAATTTCATCCAGACTGCAGGATCAGTCTCATCCAGTTCCATATCACAGCGTTCATCAACTGCAGGAGAAAAGATAGAAGTGTGCTGTTGAGAATAGTACTTCAAATAAAACACCACATCAGAGAAAAAATCAATGCATGGAAGCAAAAATAGTCGGTTAGAAAAATGTTAAGACTTTATCCAAATTGGTTTTGCATGCAGTGGGTTGAAATTCTTGACATTTCATGCTCATGTACATATTACTCACACTTAATGCATACCTGGATTAAACCGAAAATATTGTATTCCAGGGAGCATGGGTAGCAGTGTGCTCAAAGCTTCCTCAACCCGTTCCACAGAGCATGCACTTTCTATCAATACCTGACCAGTATCCAGATAACGCCAACCACCTTTTCGCACCTACACTAGCAGATTTTGAGTGAACCAATAAAGTGGAGCAACCACTCTGTAATATTACACATGTATTACAAAATATTACATAATTGACTCTTCAAAAACATAGGAGATGTTATGATTTTACCTTCGTTGGAACAGAACCACAGCCAATGGAAACTAAGCAGTCAATTTTTGTGTCTGGCCATAAAAGTTGTGCTTCTCTAATGGAAAAGATCGTTGGATTGTTTGCCACTATTGCACCATCTTGCCAACGATTCACATCTGTAGACATTGTAGGATAGAAACATTTACAAACAAATTAAAATGAAGAGGTAACATGCATGCTCAATTTAATCCCTAAAAGCCTACTGATGAGATTTCCAAAACAACATAAGAGAGTACCATCTGAGAAATCATCAAGATAATACGGAGCAGCAGATGATGCTCTTATAGCTTGCCATACTTGATGCTTACAGCTTCCTATAAAGGCACTGCGCTTATAGCCTTCAGCACATCCAGGAGGTGGTCCAGTTATTCCTGAACTCTCTGAAATTGCAGGAGGCACTTCTAGTGTTCCCGCAGGATACTAGAAATGAAGTACAAAACACCAAGTTAAAGTGTAAACAGTAAATTGATGACGTTTCAACAAAGGAACAAGTGGTCTCAAACCTGATAATTTCGGAATAGGAAAGGCTGAGCTGGCATCACACTCACCAAAGTTGATACAACAAAAACTTTGGGAATGTTTTTCACTGCAGACTCTATTAACAGATCCCCATCCTCATCGGCACACATTTCCTTCAACAATCTCTCAAACTGATCTGCACTATGCTGCAAGACAATATGTCACACCTATCCTTTAGAACTCAAAGCAACAGGGCAGCAAAATATAAATAAATAAGAGAACAGACAAAAGTGATTGCAGTAAAAATCAGAAACCTCCTGAATTAGATACAGGAAGGACAAAGAGGAGGAGAGAGGAAGAGAAAGGGGGGGGGGGAGAATCCTCCCTCTCAAAATATTCTTGCGTGAAGAACATAAATTTACATATCAATCTTGAAATCCAAAATAAGTAAGGGAAATTGAAAGATTATACAAACAAAACAAATATAAAGCATAGAGAACATACTTTAGATCCATGTACAACAACTCTAAAACTCTGGGACGAACTTTTATAGAGCTGATCCAACTTCTCTCTCCAAGTTGCAGCTTCATTATCCTTTGGAGCAGGTTCAGCAAAGACAAGTTTTCCTACAAATCATGATATCAGACATGTAAAGAAGGGAAAAAAAAACATGATTGATGAGCAAGCTTTGTGCACACTAATTCCTAATACAGCATACTCACCAAGATTTTTGTATATTTCTTCACATTTGTCTAATGACATTAGCTTAATGCCAAGTGCAACAGCAAGCATTCCACCCGTTGATGTGCCGCATATGAGGTCAAACAACTCATGTATCTGTTTTCCAGTTCCCTTCTCAATTGCTTTAAGAATTTGCACAGTTGCCAGACCTTTCATACCACCACCATCCATTGAAAGTATGCGCAGTCCTTGCTTTGGCACTGGTCTCCCCCTTATGGCACGTCGCAGCAGTCCATTCTCCCCTGCAAAAGGCATGGCATTGAACAAAGCTTATAAGGCTTGGAATCTAAAGAAACACCCGAAAACAAATTAAACTTAAGAGACAAACCGAGAATCGCCAAAGCACGAGCCGCAGCTTTATGCACACGGGGCTCAGGTGCAGCCGTCAAGCGCATTAGAAGTTCGCACAAGCTTTCAGAAGTAACCAAAATACGGCGATTCTCCAAACAGAAGGCCAAATTACCTACTGCCAACAAAGCTAGTCTTTGTACCTAATGCAAGGTCAACTTTACTTACATGACAATACTAACAAGAAGAGTAAGATAATCAGTGCCTTACGGAAAAAGTAAAGAACTTGCCTCAGGGGTTTTGTGGGCACACAATAATTTCAAAGATTTCAATACATCCTTGGTCAGCATCTTCTGAGCTACAGCATCAGATGCAAAAGCCAGCTTCACCACAACTTGCAACACAGAAATTACTTCCCCCTGGGGCATAGATTTCAACACTGTCTCAATGGGTTGCATAATGTCGGATTTCATCAACTGCATGGCAATTGAAACATCTGCAGCAAGAGATGAAAGAGCAGAACATGCTTGTTCAACCTGCCAGAAGTTGGAACTCTTAAACCATATGCAGCAGAAGAGTGATAAGCAGTGAAATCTTTGTCAGGACAGCTAACCAACATACCACATGACAGTTGTCACTGCTTATCATACTTATAAGCTGCCTCACTGCATTCTCATCTTTACCAACAACTGCGCGATTTCCTTGGTCTTGCATAATCTTTGCAAGTGCAGATGCTAGTAAAGGGTGATGACAAGAAGAAAACCGAAATATAAGAGAGAAAAAAGCGCTTAGCTTATGCCTAGACGCACCAAAATAGGAACTATTTTCCATCTGCAATTACCAACAAATATTTTTCAATGTAAAGTCTGAGATTATAAATTGTAACGAACAAAAACTTCTATAGAAATTGCATTAATCACTACCTCTATTTGCACATTCACTGATCTCAAGTTATCATCTGCCACAATCCTGATATTTGCAAGAGACAAGTGATGAAGTTTGTGGAGAGGCAGGATTTCAGGAAGAAATTCAAGAGGGTTTCCAAATAGCCTAAGAACTCGTAGCTCAGCCATAGCCCTGCCATAAATTTGGACGGAACCATTAGACCCTAGAGAAAATCATGCTTTACAAAACTTAGAAAAAAATATACAGACAATTAACTATGTCCAAATGCTGATGAAATGACCTGAAATCAAGCAAAGGCCGTACAAGCTTGTTGTGTTCCAATGAAAGTTCCACTAATCCAACACACTGTCTTAACTCTACTGTTACAAGTCCAACAGAAATAATAAATGAATATGAAACATTTGACCTCCAAAATATGAACTTCATGCTGATTAGGTTTACAAGGGGAATCCAAACTTACAAGGTACTGAAACCAGCATGTTGTAGTCTACCCTGAGGACTTTTAAGCTTTTCAGTTCACCAAGCTCAGAAGGCAAAAGTGACAACTTATTGTTATCAAGGTACAGCTTTTCGAGAAGAGGCAGTCGAGTTAGCTCTACTGGTAAAACCTGCGAGTAGTATGCAAGATATAGAGATATAAACTCAGAACTAATCTCAGCATTCCTTAATCTCACCCAATCATCAAAAAGAAAACCGCTTTCTTGAATTTTAACAAAGCACACACTAGGTGTATTAAAAGATACTTATAAAACAAATCGATCTTGGTATTGTTAGAGAAACTAGTACCATAAACTCCTGGTTTTGCTAAAAGATTAAGAAAACTACACCAAGAACAGTCGTTTCTTTCAAAGACTACACAGCAATCAATCAAAGTCTAATAGATCGATTACATATTTATACAGACAATCAGAAATACAATAAATGAACAAAAAGATTAAAGAAAGACTCACCGACAACCCACAACCACTCAGATTGACGATGGTGACGCACTGCCAATGCACACCGCAGGCCGCCTCGCCGTCGGCAACTGCAGGCATTGTCGAAGCGAAATTGGAGCGCAACAAACGAGTCAAGACTCCAGTGCCATCGCTTTGCTGGCTGGAGCCGGCCGTCTTGGTCATGGTCACGGCTCTCAAAGGCTCTCTGCGCCTCACCACTCTCATGTCCACACCCACATTAGCCTCCTCAGCTTCCTCGATCCTCAATTCAACCACCACCGTGTCCTGAGGCATCGGTAACGCCACCATTAGCTGCGACTTGAGCCTCAGAGCCACCTGCTCCTCATCATCTCCAGCCTGCCATTCCAAGTCGATCCGAAACCCTAATTCCTGATCCTGATTCACCACGGAAGACAAGGACGACGATGACGAAGACGACGCCGAAGACGTACGGTCGAAGGTCTCCGGCGGACCCTCGGTGCCGTAATTGAGCATGAGATGGAAGATCTCCGAGGGCCGCTTCCATCCCAGTCCCCAAGACATTGTGATCAGCCGCAACTAGGGTTCAAGTTCAGCGGCAAACTTGATCGGACGGGTGGGAGTTCAGCTGGAGTGGCATTTGGAAATTCACGGCGCGATTGCGATCACGCCGGCGAGAGAGGGAATTGTGGGCCTGACTGAAGTTGGAGGTTGGATTTGGGGGAGAAATGTGAGGGTTGAGGGTTGGGGTTTTATGAGGAAGTAGAATTGGGATTAATGGCGGGAGAGAAATGCAGGCGGTCTGTGTACGTCTTGAGCTTTGGAATTTTCGGAGAGAGACACAACAAACCTGAAAGCCGGAAACGAACCGAAGGAATATGTAATTTTCTTCTTCATTGTCAAACGACGTCGTACCTTGCCTTGTATCTTGTTTTGTTTTGTTTTTTTTTTTTTTTTATTTTTATATTTTAAATATTCGATGAGGTGAGAATTTTAAATATTCTTCTTCGTTGTAAGTATAGAACAATACTGTTCATAATCGTTCACATGTGTATGTATTAATCATAACTACGCCATCGACGCACGCAATTGATCCTGTCGCTCCTCGTTGCTTTCTTATTTGACTAGTATGCCTTGAGCTTTTCACACCTAAATGTTGTTTTCTTGAGGGAGAAAAAGCATGTCCACATAGTAAAATGGAAAAAGCACCACAGAAATTCAATACACTCACCTGCTCTTCAATTCATTTCCCATGGCTCTGCAATTTTTGCTCCTATGGCGACTGGAAATGCTATTTTCAAACATGAGAAACAAATTCACTTATACGAAAGTTCCGTCACGAAATTCGTTATATTCAATCAAGATTGTAAATTCATTCAAAGCAAAGATGAACCATTGTAAATCTACCAGCTACTTCTGACTACACTAGGACATTCTAATAACTAGATAAGAAATCTGCAATGTTGAATTCCGGCGCATCAGTTGGTGCCCGGCTGCAGTTGAGAAACAAATTTTGCTGGCGGAAATGAGTAGTTCTAGGGACTGCCAGCAACTATACTACGTGCAGTTACACATGCCTTGTAACTGCAATGGTAAATCATAGATCTAGCTTCTTTTCAGCGGAATTGACGATTTCCTTCAATTCTCTCTTCACTCCATCATCAGCAAATACAAAGTCGATTGAATTTCTTGCTAGTTGAAATAGTTCCCTCTTTCCAAGTCCTAAGAAGTCAAGAAAACAAACAAGCAGCGTTTATCAGCCATCAGTTTAATTCACGTTACACGATCCAATGAAATCAGACCTACCAAATGCAGCTGCAGCGAGGTTGTACTCGTTGGAAAGACTAGTAGAGAACACCCCAGAATCATCTGTGCAGATGACTAAAGGATGTTTTGCATTATACAGATCAGCTGCATCACCAAACAAAAGAGGTTTGTTTAGAAGGAAAATTTAACAATATTTTTAAAGTATTTCCGATTTCAGATAATTAAGCCACGATAAATAGAAGCAGAAAGCCTAACCAAAATGATGTACGTCAAGTGACGGAATTGTATTAGTCCTAATGTTGGACGTCAAACAAATCTCAACCTGAAACACAAACAATGATGATCATACAAAGAAGTTAGCTATTCTAACCTACTAAAGTTTCAAACTGTCAACAATTTTAAGGAAACAACCTAAAAGTTACAACAACGAACATAAAAAATTAGAAAACTAAAAGTTGTATCTACTTTTTCTGCTCGTGTGTTTATAAGCAAAGATGGAACTGACCAAAAACTCAGTACCCTATTGGGAAATAAGAACTTAGCATTGATGTTTAAATCCCAATTATGAATCGTCATAAGGATATTCTGATCGAACTGCCAGAAACACCAGACCGAATCATATTTTGGACGTCTCCTTGGCATCCATCCTATGGCAGTCAGAAAGACAAATATCTAGAATTCCTTGGTAAGGAAAGTTATATACAACATAGTGACTGATTGCACAATTATCTCACCGGAATACTTAAAGATTTCAAAGTCTTCCATTCCTCATCCTCGAAGCAACAGGCATGGCCAATCCTCTGTGGTTGAAAATCTAGCATCGCCCGTATCTCCTTTGGATTAGGCACCTACAAGCACTTAAAGAAATAAACAAGTAAGGGTGATCATAAGGGCAGACGCTGCAGGCATTAGAAGAACAAACGCACCTCTCCACAATGAAGGGTTACATAAAGACCCTGCTCTCTAGCAAATTTTAAGGCTGGAAAAAATGTAACCCTGCCACAGAAACAATATAATACGCATATAAATACATGTACCACGGTCGGGTTAAATGAAACAGTCTTCTGCAACAAACTCAGGATAGTGCTTTAAGTACCATTCTCCCACAATCGGGTTTCCAGAAAGGTCAATACCAACTACCCCTAAATCTCTCATTTCCAGAGCAAGCTTCACCTACAGTAAATGACAAAACTAGTCAAACTTAAAAAAAATGCATGTGCTCAAATATTTCTTCATAATACATTTCATCACATTACAGTTTCCATTGCAGCCTCTGTGGTTTCCCGGCGGTCAATGCTCAAAAGAATCCTAACATAAATCTTTTTTCTTGTACTTCCGCTACATGTATGGTTTATAAGTGAAGAATTCTTCTGACTGCCAACGTCAGAACTGTGAGGCCTAAAAGCGACATCAACTGCAGTGACTGCCTTTATACCCTCCAGTACTGCTCCCAAGTAAGAGCGCTTGCTCATTCCTATCGACGCATTATTCTACATAGAATGAAACACAACAATATCGTATCAATGAAATGTATGACATAAGTCATTTTAGTATGAATACTTCACGCAGTCGGCTAATCTTAGAAAACCACCTTCGGAGTTGTTCTTAGCTCCAGATACACAACATTCTCAGAAGCAAAATCTTCAATAACCTGTGGGGGAAAATGTAGTAACAAGTATCAACATGGAATTGTTGGAAGTAAAGACAAACCAAATTCGAAAGTTATCATACTTCTTTCGTAATTCTTGTGATAACTTTGTGGTCAGTTGTAAGAATGTGGATCAAGTCAAACAACCTGAACACTTCGGTTAAAGAACGGTCATCTGAGTGCAAGAACAGACATATTTCCAATGTTAGGATTCAAGAAAGAATTGAAATTACATTGTTCAAAAAACACATGTCCTAGTACAAATCAACTGAAAAAATTTCAAACTACTCTGACCGACGGGAATTATTCTAAACTACAGTAACAGAGATTCGAACTCAGGTGCAAGCGAGCGGGAATCCCTGCCCAACTGACCTAACCCTCATCTGCTAAAATCACTAAACATCATTAATTGACATGCAATGCGGACAATTCGGTTGAGGATTTGGAAATACAAGGCATGAAAAATGTAAAATTTAAGATGGGTAAGAATCGTAAGACTAAATTTTCCTTCTTGACCCTACATTTTCCCGGCAACCAAACAGAAAACAATCAAGAAAGAGAAAAAGGGCATACTTTTCCGAATAACGTGCTCCACATCTGAGAAAACTATGACACCCTTCTCACCCAAAACACTAGCAAGTTCTCTGCACACAAAACAAAACAAAACACCAGAGATTAGATTGTGTTTCCTGAAAACAAAGCGAGAGAGAGAGAGAGAGAGAGAGAGAGAGAGAGGGAAGATAAGTAACAGTAAAGTGGAGTCTCTGACGGATCCGTTGAGGTGGGCGTGAAGTTCCACCTTTGGCATTGACAGCCAGTCCTCCATTGTTAACTCTGTTTCTTTTTGTTCTTATCTTGCTTTAGCCTGCCTGGACCTCTACAGCTTCAAGCAGTAGAAATTCCCCATCTGAGCTGTGTCAATGACATGATAAGCAAGCCAACGTCAATGCTGATTGCTGACGGTAGAAAGAAGACAAAGCCCATAATGTTTTTTGTTTCGGTAACTTTTTAATAGTCCAGATTAATTCAGTTTTATATTTATTGTTTGGGTAATATTAAGAAAATCAAATTTTTTCAACTAAATTTATAATCAGTAATGTGATTATAGATTATTAGATTTTTAATTAAATGTTGATTAACGTGTTTGATTCTTATTTGGTTTGCAAAGTTGGTTTCAAAATTTGGGCTCCCTAACATTATTCTTATTGTTTTAGTGCATACAGTTGTCCACACACAAGACCTTTTTAATCTAGAGCTCGTTTAGAAGTACTTTTAAAATGGTTAAAAATGTTTTTGGTGAAATTATTTTTGGAACCAATCATTAGTTAAATTGCATGTGAATCTTGGAAAATCTTTTGAAGGATTTAATGGTGCTTTTTGCTAGAAATGCTTCAAATGCTTTTGGATCCCAAATAAATTTTTATTAAAAGCGCTTTCAGTTATTTTAAGTACACTTCTAAACGAGCACCTATAGGGTAGAAAAAAAGCCTAAGAACTTCATCGGGCCCAACTCAAGGGTAGTTTGGTAGCGCAGGCCCAATCACTAGTGGACTGGATCGAGCTTGGATAATGTTTCATGGACCCGGTCCATTACTCTGCAAAAACCCGACCCACAACCCGGCTTTTAGAAATCAAAATCTCAGTTAAACCTCACCTCAAAGGCTCAAATAGCAGCTTGTACCATCCAGCTTCAGCCTCCGGAGGAAGAAGATGGGGCCGATAAGCTTCTCCTCAATGTTGGCCAATGGCTGCCGGAGTTTCAGTGCGCCTGCGGCCCTTGTGCGCACGTTAGCACTCACCCACGTTGCTCTTAGTGAACACTCCAACAGCTACAGGCTTTTCTTGGAGTTCGAATAAACGAAAATCTGCACGTCAGTCCCTGAAACAAGATGTTTCGCAGCCAACTACCGTTTCTTCTGCAAATGGGTACCTTGAATTTTCCGACTTTGATGCTTTTTTGTTTGTTTTTGTTTTTGGGTTTCTGAGATTTTGGCTTAATTGTTGGTATTTATTTGTTGAAAGTGAGAGTTCGAATAAAGGTCGAAGTTGGAAGCAGTTTGTTTGGTAACCGAGAAAATGATCAGAGATAAAGAATGTGGAATGGAAATTTTGGATATTTATTGTTTTAGAATACCAAAATCTTTCTTTGTAATGGAAATGGAAGCTCTGAGATTTTGGCTTAATTGTTAATATCTATTTGTTGAAAGTGAGGATTGGATTAAACTGGTCGAATTCGGAAGCAGTTTGTTTGGTTACTGAGAAAATGAGCAAAACAAAAGAATCTGGAAATGAAAATTTGAATCTCTATCGTTTTAAAGTTTTACAATTTTGATCGTTGTGATGGATAATGTGTCAATATAATTGTCGCCAACAACAAAATGTTACATATAGTTTCTGCCATTTTGTGTTCTATGGTTTGCCAACTTTGATATCATATCTTCTTTCAGCTACCCTGAATATACTCGGTTGCTTCCATGTCCCTCAGACAATGGATCATCAAGAATCGAGCACTTGGTTGTTTCAGAAGGGGGCCCTGTACTAGAATATACCTGCAAAGTTCTGGATCTTCCTCTTCAGTGAGTGCTGCTCCTTTTGTCTTTAAATTGTTTTTTTGTTGATGTATGGCATATGATTTCCGTCATTATCAAGTTCGAGTTGATAAATAGAAAAAAAATTTCATTCTTTGAAGGTTTGTTGCAGATCTCATCCATTTTGGAGCTGTATATTATGCCCTTGTCTGTCCACGGCCCCCTCCAACTGCAACCCCAGAGCAGATGAGGGTATTTAAAGAAGTTACAGCACCATCAGTACTAAAAGATAGAGCTTCCATGGAAGGAAAAACTGTAAGAGAAGCACAGAAGACTTTCCGCATAACACATCCAGACCAATTTGTTGAAACTGGAACCTTCATGTACACCCAAAGCGTTTTCCTAGGTCAAACACAATGTTTTACGCATCCTTCTTATAATTTTTACTAGTGTTATTCTTGTTCACATCAAATTTTGATCAGGTGCTATGAAATTGACTGGAAATCAAGAATTGTAGCTGTGACTGATGAATTCGTGGTTTTGGACAAACCTGCTGGTACAACAGTACGTATCATTACAGACACATTTCGATATCTTTCATCTGGCACTATCAAATGTTTTTTTTGAGTAGTTAATTAGTTGTTTACACCAACTATGATTCGATAACAATTTTTGTCCAGATAGGAGGAACTACAGACAACATCGAAGAAAGTTGTGCAACCTTTGCCACTCGTGCCTTGGGACTAACAATGCCCCTGATGACTACACATCAGATTGATAATTGTACAGAAGGATGGTATGTTCTATTATACTAGTTTGTTGTCTTTCTTGTTGTTGAGACTCGAGACAGAGAGGGTAATGCTACTCACTTACTTGCAGTGTTGTCTTAGCTAGAACCAAGGAGTATTGCTCAGTTTTTCACGGAAAAATCAGAGTAAGTTTTGCAATTTCATGCTTTGGCATACATAATTTTGATAGCCATAATTACTGGGAGGGGGAGGGCGGAGTGTGATAACTCAGAAGCTTAGGGGTTCCTTATTACTTCCTTCCAACACGGAGTTTGTTTTCTTTAGGTCATTAAGTTTATTTATCTTTTCTTTCACCCAGGAGAAAATGGTGAAGAAGCATTATCTTGCTCTTGCCGCTGCCCCTGTGCCAATTGGAACAATTACTCACTACATGCGTCCAATTAACATGGCTCCAAGACACATTTCAGAAGGTAATAGTCTATGTCAAGCACTGCATAGAAACTAGTTTGGTGTTTGAGGAGTTGCATTTTGAATGTATCAAGTGCCTTGAGGGATTTACATCCTCACCACATCGTTTTGCCAATATCTTTCCTTTCTGTTTTCCTATTTGGAGCTGAAATGACACCTCCAGCGTGTGCTGCTTGTTTGTAGAACTAAAAACCATTATTTCTCACGACAGGTATTTGGTGGGATGATTCAAACAGACAGGACATAACCGTTGTTTGAAGCAATTTCAGGATTATGTCTTGTTCTTTCGGTTTTTATAAATGTTTTTAAAAGCCAATTTAAAGTTTTAATGAATTGAAGCCCACCCATAGAAAGCTTTCTTTAACTTGATGTAACATCTTCACAACCACAGTTGAAGAAACAAACTTTGTGAATAGAAATACACTCTGTGAAATTTTTACACTTAGTAGTAAACTCCTTCTGTACGAAGCTAAACAATTATTGGCAACGCAGATTTCATGGAACGGTGGAGTTTGTATCAACTTGAGGTCATGGAATGCAAGGAGGTTCCCTGGCCAAGTTCTGTTGTTGAACAGAAATATTGTGTTGAAGACTGTGGGTGGCCTTCAAAAGAATATGCATATGAGTGTAAAATCAACCTTCTGACTGGGCGGACTCATCAGGTTAGGAGCAAAAATCTACACTAATACATGAATTCAATTAGTTTCATTTCTTTTCGGACTCTGATTTGGAGCGAGATGGTGATCATTTTCTCAATTTGTTGTTTTTCTGAGATCTCTGAGATATGGTTTTATTAATATTGGCTTTAAATTGGTCTCAATTTGTTGTTTTTCATGGACCCGGTCCATTACTCTGTAAAACCCCGACCCACAACCCGGCTTTTAGAAATCAAAATCTCAGTTAAACCTCACCTCAAAAATCAACTCAAATAGCAACTTGTACTATCCAGCTTCAGCCTCTGGAGGAAGAAGATGGGACCGGTGAGCTTCTCCTCAATGTTGGCCAATGGCTGCCAGAGTTTCAGTGCGCCGGCGGCCCTTGTGCGCACGTTAGCACTCACCCACGTTGCTCTCAGTGAACACTCCAACAGCTACAGGCACGTTAAGGTGGCATGGTTTTCTCGGAGTTCGAATAAACGAAAATCTGCACGACAGTCCCTGAAACAAGATGTTTCGCAGCCAACTGCCGTTTCTTCTGCAAATGGGTACTTAAATTTTCCGACTTTGATGCTTTTTTGTATGTTTTTGTTTTTGGGTTTTTGAGATTTTGGCTTAATTGTTGGTATTTATTTGTTGAAAGTGAGAGTTCAAATAAAGGTCGAACTTGGAAGCAGTTTGTTTGGTAACCGAGAAAATGATTAGAGATTAAGAATGTGGAATGGAAATTTTGAATCTTTATCGTTTTAGAATACCGAATTCTTTCTTTGTAATGGAAATGGAAGCTCTGAGATTTTGGCTTTTAATTGTTAGTATCTATTTGTTGGAAGTGAGGCGTGGATTAAACTGGTCGAATTCAGAAGCACTTTGTTTGGTTACTGAGAAAATGAGCAGAGCAAAAGAATCTGGAAATGAAAATTTGAATCTCTATCGTTTTAGAGTTTTATAATTTTTATCATTGTGATGGATAATGTGTTGATATAATTGTCGCCAACAACAAAATGTTTCATAGAGTTTCTGCCATTTTGTGTTCTATGGTTTGCCGACTTTGATATCTTATCTTCTGTCAGCTACCCTGAATATACTCGGTTGCTTCCATGTCCCTCAGACAATGGATCACCAAGAATCGAGCACTTGGTTGTTTCAGAAGGAGGGCCTGCACTAGAATATATCTGCAAAGTTCTGGATCTTCCTCTTCAGTGAGCGCTGCTCCTTTTGTCTTCTAATTGTTTTTTTTTTTTTTTTTTGGTTGATTTATGGCATATGATTTCCATCATTATCAAGTCCGAGTTGATAAATAGAAAAAAAATAATTTCATTCTTTGAAGGTTTGTTGCAGATCTCATCCATTTTGGAGCTGTATATTATGCCCTTGTCTGTCCACGGCCTCCTCCAACTGCAACCCCAGAGCAGATGAGGGTATTTAAAGGAGTTACAGCACCATCAGTACTAAAACATAGAGCTTCCATGGAAGGAAAAACTGTAAGAGAAGCACAGAAGACTTTCCGCATAACACATCCAGACCAATTTCAGTTTTCGAAAAAGTGAAAACAAGAACTGAAAGCTGAAAACAAAATAGTTATCAAATGCTCTTATATATCTTGGATTGTTGCGATGCAGCATAGCAGCAGTAATGTGTACTATAAATAAGTCTTTTATTTCTCAAAGAAAAGTACACTTGATTAACGCAGAAAGCGATCAACTACATTGGAGAAAAATTCGAAATATGCATATCGCCATGACCTGCTCAAAGCTAAAGGGCCACAAACTCCCCAAAACCCTACAATGAAACCAAGAGTCGCTGAAATTTGAAGCCATGGAATTCCATTCCCAGAGTCGTGTACATCTTCCTGGTCCTTAGTCGTATCACTATCACCTGGACTCTTCTTCGGGCACTTATTTGGAAGCGGGAAACCACAAAGTCCCGGGTTACCCTCAAAGGCAGTAGCATTGAAGCCTTGGAGCTGAGTGCCTAACGGTATTTGGCCGTGGAGGTTATTGTAGGCAACACTAAACTTAGACAAGAAATTAAGACTTGTTAGTGATGCTGGGATTTCACCCGAAAGATTGTTTCTTGAGAGGTCTAACAACTCCAAGCTTCGGAGGTTCGAGATTTGGTGTGGAATGTTGCCAGAGAATTTGTTAAAACTAACATCCAGTTTTTGGAGACGTTGCAATTGCCCAATATCGCGGGGTATATTGCCACTTAGACTGTTGTTGCTGAGGCTGATTGTTGGCGGCATGTTGGAGAAATTCTTGTACTGTAACACAATTCCATTATGGCTTATGTCGTAGATGGGCAACTCTAAATAGTCGTCACCTGTTTGAGTTGCAGCCTTTTCTGATCTGAGCGCTTGTAGTCTACAAAGCTCCTTTGGAAATTCACCTGAAATAAAGTTATCATCCAAGTTTATATAGGAAAGACTTGGAAGAGTCCCCAACCAACCAGGTATTGGTCCCGTGAGTCTGTTAAAAGACATAATCAACCGTTTCATTTTCTTGAGCTTCGACAGCCATACAGGTACTTTTCCTGTCAACTGGCACCCTGACAAACTGATAATGCGGAGATTTTGGAACCCTGATGAATCAACCATGAGATCACCATCTGGCATTTCTTCACCTTGAAAATTATCTGATAAAAGGAGTACCCTTAAACTTTTGGAATCCTTCAATATCTTCATTGCCCCTGTGACATTGGTCAATCTGTTAGAAGAAAGGGAAAGGAATGCCAAGGATTTTAAAGAAAGAACTTCATGCTGTAATTGTCCCTCCAGATGATTGGTGCTCAGTCGGAGTGCAATCAAGGACTTGCATGAGTAAACACTTATTGGCAAGGGACCGGTGAAGTTATTATTCACCAGGTCGAGTTTAATAAGTTGAGTAAGTTTGGAGAAATTAAGCACGGAGAGATCTCCTTCCAATTGGTTGAATCCTAGATTCAGTTCCGTAAGGCTTGAGCAATTCATCAAAGACGAAGGCAGAAAACTCTCTAGATTGTTGATATGGAGGATTATGAGCTTCAATCTGGAGAGCTTCCCAATATGAAGAGGAAGTGTGCCACTCAGCTGATTAGAGTAGAGATCCAAGATTGCGAGGTTGGTAAGATTGGCAATGTTCTCACCAATGGCCCCGGAAAGCTTATTGGAAGGCAACGAAATTTCTTCAAGTGCTCGAGCCTTGTGAATATCACTTGGAAGTGTCCCCGAAAGATTATTGAAGCCTGCACGAAAGAGCTCCAATTTTGAACAGTTACCAAGTCCAAGGGGAATTATGCCACTGAAATCATTGTGGGAAAAATCCAAGCTTCTAAGAAAAGGAGAATAAGAACAGTTGAAAGATGGTATTTGGCCCTCAAGGAGATTGTTGCTGACATTTAAGTTGCTCAAATTCCATGCACGCTGGAGGAACGATGATGGAGTGGTTCCGTTGAATTGATTGCTGGACAAATCCACTGTTCGGATATAACTTGGCGATGGTGGTGGCGATGGGGGTAGTTCTCCAGAGAGAAGGTTGTAGCTCAAATCAAGGATCTGAAGACGACCCAAGGACAGAAAGAATCCAGCTTCCAGGTGACCAGAAAGTATATTATGGGACAGATTGAGGTGGGTGAGATGCGTGAGATTTCCAAGAGATGGAGAAATGACTCCTTTGAGGCGTTTGGAGGGCAACAACAGATGGGTGACCCTACCAGCCATATCACAACTGATGCCCTCCCATCGACAACAATCGCTGGAAGACCAGTTTAAACTAGAAGAAGCGATATCAAATGAAGAAAAAAGAGACTGTTGGTCCATTTTGCTGCAAGCAGCATGGGTTGCAGAAATATCGCTTGTGATAAACAAGACGAAAAGTGGGAGGACATATGATTTAGGTAGATGATTAGGCTGCACCGCCATGGTTCTTGTTGAAAGTGGCATACAAGTATATTAGATTGCTCAAAAGGTGTATACTGTATACTGCTTTTATAGACAAAAAGATGTAGAAACAGCATCGGAAGAAATTGCTATGCGTGCTGGAAGGTGCATATTTGTAGAAATTGCTGACATATCAAATCGTTGTATGGGCGCGGTCGTTTCTGCAAGTTGTTAGCTATACCACATCGGTGGGGGCAAAGAAAATGATGGGTTTAAATATGATTGCCCTACTTCAATTATTAGCAAGGTGTTTTTGTGATAAAATTTCACACATAATTGATTGGACTACGATAAGTACCAAGTTAGAAGCAGTTTCGGTCTCGTTAGAGTGGGGCATTTGGGCCTGTTGATCTAACAAATTCCAACATGATATTGGACCACACAGTTATGGGCCTATGCAAGCCCAAAGCTTATCAGCAGTAAGTGTGGGTTTGGAAACAAGCACTTCCTGAAAAGAGACTTTGGTCACCAGGAAGTGTGGGTCCAGCCTTTGCGTTTTTCCAAAGCATTCAAACACGTAGATCTAAAAATTCCACGATATTAGTCTTGGTCTATGGTAACGTGGAAGAAGCTTTGGTCACCAAGAAGTGTGGGTCTGGCCTTTGAGTTCTCAAACACGTAGATCTAAAAATTCCACGATATTAGTCTTGGTCTATGGTAACGTGGAAGAAGCTTTGGTCACCAAGAAGTGTGGGTCTGGCCATTGAGTGCTTAAGAAGCATTTCATAAAAAACAGAAAGTGTCGGTCTCGTTAGAGTGGGCCCTTGGGCGTGTCTGGTTATAAAAAATTCAAATATGGTATCAAACCACATGGTTATGGGCCCGTGCAAGCCTCACCATGAAATGTGTGTTTGGAAACAAACACTTCTTTTAAAGAGGCTTTGGTCATCAGGAAATTCTCCATCTGAGTTGTATCAATGACACGATAAGCAAGCCAAGTCAATGCTGATTGCTGACGGTAGAAGGAAGACAAAGGCCATAATGTTTTTATTGTTTCAATAACTTTTCAATAGTCTGGACTAATTCAGTTTTATATTTATTGTTTGGAAACAAGCACTTCCTGAAAAGAGACTTTGGTCACCAGGAAGTGTGGGTCCAGCCTTTGAGTTTTTAAGAAGCACTTCCTGAAAAGAAGTCTCACTCCATTGAACCTCTAAGTGGGGCCCAGGAGACCTATAGATCTAAAAATTCCACGATTTTAGTCTTGGTCTGTGGTAACGTTTTTCCAAGCATTCAGACACGTAGATCTAAAAATTCCACGATATTAGTCTTGGTCTATGGTAACGTGGAAGAAGCTTTGGTCACCAAGAAGTGTGGGTCTGGCCTTTGAGTGCTTAAGAAGCATTTCATAAAAAACAGAAAGTGTCGGTCTCGTTAGAGTGGGCCCTTGGGCGTGTCTGGTTATAAAAAATTCAAATATGGTATCAAACCACATGGTTATGGGCCCGTGCAAGCCTCACCATGAAATGTGTGTTTGGAAACAAACACTTCTTTTAAAGAGGCTTTGGTCATCAGGAAATTCTCCATCTGAGCTGTATCAATGACACGATAAGCAAGCCAAGTCAATGCTGATTGCTGACGGTAGAAGGAAGACAAAGGCCATAATGTTTTTATTGTTTCAATAACTTTTCAATAGTCTGGACTAATTCAGTTTTATATTTATTGTTTGGAAACAAGCACTTCCTGAAAAGAGACTTTGGTCACCAGGAAGTGTGGGTCCAGCCTTTGAGTTTTTAAGAAGCACTTCCTGAAAAGAAGTCTCACTCCATTGAACCTCTAGTGGGGCCCAGGAGACCTATAGATCTAAAAATTCCACGATTTTAGTCTTGGTCTGTGGTAACGTTTTTCCAAGCATTCAGACACGTAGATCTAAAAATTCCACGATATTAGTCTTGGTCTATGGTAACGTGGAAGAAGCTTTGGTCACCAAGAAGTGTGGGTCTGGCCTTTGAGTTCTTAAGAAGCATTTCATAAAAAGCAGAAAGTGTCGGTCTCGTTAGAGTGGGCCCTTGGGTGCGTCTGGTTATAAAAAATTCAAATATGGTATCAAACCACATGGTTATGGGCCCGTGCAAGCATCACCATGAAGTGTGTGTTTGGAAACAAGCACTTCTTTAAAAGAGGCTTTGGTCATCAGGAAATTCTCCATCTGAGCTGTATCAATGACACGATAAGCAAGCCAAGTCAATGTTGATTGCTGACGGTAGAAGGAAGACAAAGGCCATAATGTTTTTTTTGTTTCAATAACTTTTCAATAGTCTGGACTAATTCAGTTTTATATTTATTGTTTGGGTAATATTAGGGACATCAAATTTTTTCAACCAAATTTACTATTCAAATAATGTGGTTGTAAATTATTGGATTATTAATTAAGTGTCGATTAACGTGTTTGGTTCTTATTGGTGACACATCATTTGGGCTCCCTATCATTATTCTTATTGTTTTAGTGCATACAGTTGATTGTACACAAGAACTTCTCAATCTACCGCTTGTTTGGAAATACTTTTAAAATGGCTAAAAACGTTTTTGGTGAAAATATGTTTGGAACCAATCATTAGTTAAACTGCAAGTGAAATTTGGAAAAGCACTTGAAGGACTTGATGGTGTTTTTTGCTGAAAACGCTTCAAATACTTTTGGACCCCAAAGATATTTTCACTAAAAGCATTTTCAATTATTTTAAATACACTTCTAAACGAGCTCTCAGATGATAGAAAAAAAGCCTAAGAACTTCATCGGGCCCAACTCAAGGGTAGTTGGGTAACAGAGGCCCAATCCCTACTGGACTCGATCAAGCTTGGATAATGCATTTGGACGCGGTCCATTACTCTGTACAAACCCGACCCACAACCCGGCTTTAAGAAATCAAAATCTCAGTTAAACCTCACCCCAAAAATCAACTCAAATAGCAGCTTGTACTGTCCAGCTTCAGCCTCCGGAGGAAGAAGATGGGGCCGGTGAGCTTCTCCTCAATATTGGCCAACGGCTGCCGGAGTTTCAGTGCGCCTGCGGCCCTTGTGCGCACGTTAGCACTCACCCACGTTGCTCTCAGTGAACACTCCAACAGCTACAGGCACGTTAAGGTGGCATGGTTTTCTCGGAGTTCGAATAAACGAAAATCTGCACGTCAGTCCCTGAAACAAGATGTTTCGCAGCCAACTACCGTTTCTTCTGCAAATGGGTACCTTAAATTTTCCGACTTTGATGCTTTTTTGTTTGTTTTTGTTTTTGGGTTTCTGAGATTTTGGCTTAATTGTTGGTATTTATTTGTTGAAAGTGAGAGTTCGAATGAAGGTCGAACTTGGAAGCAGTTTATTTGGTAACCGAGAAAATGATCAGAGATTAAGAATGTGGAATGGAAATTTTGAATCTTTATCGTTTTAGAATACCAAATTCTTTCTTTGTAATCGAAATGGAAGCTCTGAGATTTTGGCTTTTAATTGTTAGTATCTATTTGTTGAAAGTGAGGCTTGGATTAAACTGGTCGAATTCGGAAGCACTTTGTTTGGTTACTGAGAAAATGAGCAGAGCAAAAGAATCTGGAAATGAAAATTTGAATCTCTATCGTTTTAGAGTTTTATAATTTTGATCATTGTGATGGATAATGTGTTGATATAATTGTCGCCAACAACAAAATGTTACATAGAGTTTCTGCCATTTTGTGTTCTATGGTTTGCCGACTTTGATATCTTATCTTCTTTCAGCTACCCTGAATATACTCGGTTGCTTCCATGTCCCTCAGACAATGGATCACCAAGAATCGAGCACTTGGTTGTTTCAGAAGGAGGGCCTGCACTAGAATATATCTGCAAAGTTCTGGATCTTCCTCTTCAGTGAGTGCTGCTCCTTTTGTCTTCTAATTGTTTTATTTTTTATTTTTTTGTTGATTTATGGCATATGATTTCCATCATTATCAAGTTCGAGTTGATAAATAGAAAAAAAAAAAATTTCATTCTTTGAAGGTTTGTTGCAGATCTCATCCATTTTGGAGCTGTATATTATGCCCTTGTCTGTCCACGGCCTCCTCCAACTGCAACCCCAGAGCAGATGAGGGTATTTAAAGAAGTTACAGCACCATCAGTACTAAAACATAGAGCTTCCATAAAAGGAAAAACTGTAAGAGAAGCACAGAAGACTTTCCGCATAACACATCCAGACCAATTTCAGTTTTCGAAAAAGTGAAAACAAGAACTGAAAGCTGAAAACAAAATAGTTATGAAACGCTGTTATATATCTTGGATTGTTGTGATGCAGCATAGCAGCAGTAATGTGTACTATAAATAAGTCTTTTATTTCTCAAAAAAAAGTACACTTGATTAACGCATAAAGCGATCTACAACATTGGAGAAAAACTCGAAATATGCATCTCGCCATGACCTGCTCAAAGCTAAAGGGCCACAAACTCCCCAAAACCCTACAATGAAACCAAGAGATACTGAAATTTGAAGCCATGGAATTCCATCCCCAGAGTCGTGCACATCTTCCCGGTCCTTAGTCGTATCACTATCACCTGGACTCTCCTTCGGGCACTTATTTGGAAGCGGGGAACCGCAAAGTCCCGGGTTACCCTCAAAGGCAGTAGCATTGAAGCCTTGGAGCTGAGTGCCTAACGGTATTTGGCCTTGGAGGTTATTGTAGGCAACACTAAATGAAGACAAGAAATTAAGATTTGATAGTGATGCTGGGATTTCACCAAAAAGACGGTTTCCTGAGAGGTCTAACATCTCCAAGTTTCGGAGTTTCGAGATTTCGTGTGGAATGTTGCCAGAGAATTTGTTAAAACTCATATCCAGTTTTTGGAGAAGTAGCAATTTCCCAATATCGCGGGGTATATTGCCACATAGACTGTTGTTTCTGAGGCTGATTCTTGCCTCCATGTTGGAGAAATTCTTGTACTGTAAAATAGTTGCCCCAGTAAAGCTGTAGTAGACAGGCAACTCTAAATCGTTGTGACCTGTTTGAGTTGCAGCCTTTTCCGACCTGAGAGCTTGTAGTCTGCAAAGCTCCTTCGGAAATTCACCTGAAATGAAGTTATTATCCAAGTATATATGGGAAAGACTTGGAAGAGTCCCCAACCAACCAGGTATTGATCCCGTGAGTCCGTTAGAAGACAGGTCCAGAACTACCAATTTCTCGAGCTTCGACAGCCATACAGGTACTTTTCCTGTCAGTTGGCACCCTGACATACTGAGCATGCTGAGATTTTGCAACCCAGATGAATCAACCATGAGATCACCGTCTGGCATTTCTTCACCTAGAAAATTATTTGTCAAAATGAGTACCCTTAAACTTTTGCAATCCTTCAATATCTTCATTGCCCCTGTGACATTGGTCAATCTGTTGTAAGCAAGCGCAAGGAATGACAAGGATTTCAAAGAAAGAATTTCATGTTGTAACTGTCCCTCTAGATCATTTGCACTCAGTCGGAGTGCTATCAAGGACTTGCATGAGTAAACGTTTATTGGCAAGGGACCCGTGAAGTGATTACGCATTAGGTCAAGTTTAATAAGATGAGTAAGTTTGGAGAAATTAAGCACAGAGAGATCTCCTTCCAACTGGTTGAATCCTAGATTCAGTTCTGTAAGGCTTGAGCAATTCATCAAAGACGGAGACAGAAAACCCTCTAGATTGTTGAAATGGAGGATTAGGAGCTTCAATCTGGAGAGCTTCCCAATATGAAGAGGAAGTGTGCCACTCAGCTGATTAGAGTAGAGATCCAAGATTGCGAGGTTGGTAAGATTGGCAATGTTCTCACCAATGGCCCCGGAAAGCTTATTGGAAGGCAACGAAATTTCTTCAAGTGCTCGAGCCTTGTGAATATCACTTGGAAGTGTCCCCGAAAGATTATTGAAGCCTGCACGAAAGAGCTCCAATTTTGAACAGTTACCAAGTCCACGGGGAATTATGCCACTGAAATCATTGTGGGAGAAATCCAAGCTTCTAACACAAGGAGAATAAGAACAGTTGAAAGATGGTATTTGGCCCTCGAGGAGATTGTTGCTGACATTTAAATGTCTCAAATTCCATGCATGCTGGAGGAACGATGATGGAGTGGTTCCGTTGAATTGATTGCTGGACAAATCGACTATTCGGATACAACTTGGTGGTGGAGATAGCGGTAGTTCTCCAGAGAGAAGGTTGTAGCTCAAATCAAGGGTCTGAAGGCGACCCAAGGACAGAAAGAATCCAGCTTCCAGTTGACCAGAAAGTATATTATGGGAGAGATTGAGGTGGGTGAGATGCGTGAGATTTCCAAGAGATGGAGAAATGACTCCTTTGAGGCGTTTGGAGGGCAACAACAGATGGGTGACTCTACCAGCCATATCACAAGTGATGCCCTCCCATCGACAGCAATCGTTGGAAGACCAGTTTAAACTAGAAGAAGCGATATCAAATGAAGAAAAAAGAGACTGTTGGTCCATTTTGCTGCAAGCAGCATGGGTTGTAGAAATACCGCTTGTGGTAAACAAGATGAAAAGTGGGAGGACATATGATTTAGTTAGATGATTAGGCTGCACCGCCATGGTTCTTGTTGAAAGTGGCATACAAGTATATTAGATTGCTCAAAGGTGTATACTGCTTTTATAGACAAAAAGATGTAGAAACAACATCGGAACACAGAATTATGCGCTGCTGGAAGGTGCATATCATATGACATCGTCGTATATGAACGGCCGTTTAAAGGGATGCGGAGCAGGTGCATATTTGTAGAAATTGCAAACATATCACATCGTCGTATATGCACGGCCGTTTATGCAGGAAAGGGATCCTCTCCGGATCCCTTCTTCCATATCTACCAAATCAAGAGATCCGTGCTATTAGAATTTAATCCAACGGCTACAAACAAGGCCCACTTTAAAAGTTATAATAACTTCAGTCGTTGAATCAATTTTCAACGGCACGGATCCTTGATTTGGTGGATTAGGAGGAAGGGATCCGGAGAGAATCCCTTTCCATTTCTGGAAGTTGTTATCTATCCCACATCGGTGGGGCAAAGAAAATAATGGGTTTAAACATGATTAACCTACTCTAAATAATATTGCTGTTTTTTGTGATAAAACCACACTTGACGAATTTGGTAAGTGGTAATTACCAAGTTGGAGACTCTATTGGTCTTGTTAGAGTGGGGTCCTCGGGCTCGTCGATCTAAAAATTCCAACATAGTATCAGACCACACGGTTATGGGCATGTGCTGGCCAAAGGCTTGTCATCGAGAAGTGTCCTAAAAAGAGGCTTTCGTCACCAAGAAGTGTGGGTTCAACATCTGAGTTATTAAGAAGCACTTCCTAAAAAAAATTGAAAAAGAAATCCGGACTCCATTGGACAAATCCGGTCTATGGTAACGTTTTTTCAAGCGAATGGGATTGAGGGGGAGGTTTGATATTTTGGTTTGGAATGTTAGAATTTGGTGACACTAAGATTCAAATCTTGAAAAAGTTTCAGGTGGCCAATCTCAATATGTACGTATATTGCGGCTTAGACTGTTTTTTTTTCAAGGGACAAGGATTGTCTGTCCTTTCATTTTCCGTATCCTCATGTTTTATGCGATCACGGTTAAACTATGTCAACATTTTATATTGTTTTTTTATATAAAGATAATAAGATAAAGATGAATAGTAATATAAAATGTTGACGTGACTTAACCGTGACCACACAAACAGAAAGGCACAGGAGGACACGAAAAGTGGGAGGGCAGACAACCCTTGTCCTTTTTTCAGAGTTAAATTTCCTGTGGCATGTTGGACATAAACTTTTACTGTAAAGTAAAGTAGTTAAATTGCCTGTGGAATGTTTGAGTTGCAGCCTTTTGCGATACTAGCCCTCGTGGTATGGAGAGTATGGAGAATAAATTGGTTACAGATTCATTATTTTTGAAATTCGAACTTAACACATCTTATTTATAAGTTAAAGAATATCAATAGATCGTTATACTAAATGACTCTAATTTTAGATATTTTGCTAGCCAGGCATATGTTGTTAGATAATGTTTATAATTCATTGGAATGTGGACCGTGCATATTTAAGTAAAAATCGTATCATTAATAGGCGATATTTTTCAATGTGTTTGAAACACAGAGTAGTACATCACGTATCACTAACTATGCAAATGGTGAGATACTTATATTAAAAAATTAACAATTTAAAAAAAATAAAATTTCCTTTCATTTATATAATAACACATGATATGCTACTTCATGATATGCTACTTGTATTCTAAGCATAATAAAAAATTTTGCTATCAATAGCGTTTTTCATAATAATTTGGCAGCACAATTATATATACAGCAGCAACTTTTTGTATTGTACATAAGTGTGTGTGCGCGCGCATTCCCATTTGCGAAAGAAAACATTAATCCGCTTCAACTCCTGAGTCATATATTTGTCCAACTTTTCAGTGTCGTGGTATGTTATTATTGGAGTAAATATATTTTTATTTAAATATTTTAAACATATTTATATTTTGGTTTATTCTGAACACCAAATATAAAACGTAAATTGTTACTAACCTTATAAATTATTATTAACCTATGATTTGACAAGGAGCACTCTCCTCCGCAAAAAGCAACGTGGGAAAGCTTCTCACCTTAAAGTTGTGATTCCTTCTCCCAACGGAGATAAATATCACCTTCAAGATGGGATTTCTTCTCTGAATAAAGATAAAGATTAAGTCAATAGACATAAATCTGTTCCGTTGTGATTTGGACGTTTTGACTTTGTCCGTTTTGTTTTCTTCTGCTATAATTCCTTTTCAAGTCCCTAAATTATTTAGCCCCACAATTTTTATTTCATCTCTCTATATAAATTGATCTCATGCACGAAAGACCCAAAACATAGAGAAACAAACAACGGTTTATATAATTTTCAAAACAAAAATTGAGTTTTGAAAGCAACATATTGAAAATGTGTAATGATAGAGGTAGAAGAGGAGGGCACGATTGATGATAGAGAGAAAGAAGGTAGGATTTAAAAATTGAAAAGTTCTTTTATTTTTTACTGTTCATCCGTGTTTTACTAAAATAAGCTGTTTTGTTGAAGCTGTTATTTCCAACTTCTAATTTTCAGTTTTTTTCTCACCTATAACTTTGAAAAAAAAAATTGATTTAAAGTGTTTACCAAACACTTAAAATGCTCCAATTTTTTTTATACTCGCTGTTTTTAAAAATTAAGCTAAGCCAAACTAGGACTTATTGGGAGGAAGAACCCAAGTCTCATCACCATCATCATTACGAGGTTGTTGTCCAAACTGCTCCATAACCCCTGTCTAATACTTTGCATACAAAGTTGTTTGTCTGCAAAGTTTTTATATTATTTCAATTAATATGTCATGATGAGGGTAACATAAGAATAAAGCAAATAAATTCAACAGATACAAGAACGAGAGTTTAGCTAAAAGATATCAACTTTGCTGAATTCATACGCTGCTCCTTGTTATATATTTTATTTGGTGTATAACTATAAGTCTTAACTTAACTTTTGTTTCCTTTTGAAGAAAAAACAATTGCTTGCAAAGAGCTGAGCAATGAAAAAGCCGGACACACTACCCTGACCAACTAGCTAGCGTAATCCACATTTGTGGGTTGGTTGGTTCATAAATATTGACGGAATGAAATTAAGCACAAGTTTGTAAGTAATAATAAAAGAGCATATAATGTACCTCACATAGCTGGATGGCTGTGATATTTTTCTTCCGTTGCTGGTACATTATTGCAAAAGCCAAATATATGAAGATAATTACGGTTCTCGTCAATCTTGATCGTAATATTTTTGTTTGGATAGCTGCATGAAACACTGTTTTGTGAAGAGAGACAGATAGAGCTACCTGAGTCGGTTTTTAGTCATGAAAAATTTATCTCAAAATCTGAAGTAGAAATTAATCATGAAGTTTCTCAAAGTTGCTTTCAAGACTTATATGCTCTTACCGTCTGTATTCGGTGTCAACGATACCAAGAGGAAACAGAGAAGCAGCTGCCTTAGTAGTTACAGCCATCCGACCAAATGCTTGTTTGCGATCAGGATGAAATCTGTGCGGTTTTTTTGAGCAACGGGCACTGTTGGTGCACCTCACCTAATGAACCATTAAGCAAAACTAAATAGTATACGTGACCAGAAACAAATAACCCGTGCGCGTGCACACATATACTCATATCTTCGTGCTTAGAATCGTGCATTCTCACCTGGTAACAAGTACCACATCAAACACCATTGCGATAAAGGTCAGAGGCACCTGAGACATCCCCACCATTGATCGTTGCTCCAAATGAACCAAACCCACACGCACCAACTGCAGTTCGATACAAAAAAAAGTATCAGTAAGCATGCCTGCCGCATAAAATATTTCTGTTAATTTTTTTTGGGTAAAGTACAAAAAACTATCTGAACTATTGGTTTTACGACACTTTAATATCTCATTTTTTTAAATTGACAATATCATACCTCATCTTTAGAATTTATACCAATGTTATACCTTCCGTTAGCTTGGCCGTTTATTTCTCAGTTAAATGCTGACGTAACTTGATCGGAACCCATTTTCTATTAAAAAATTATTAAAAACTAAAAAAAATTATTTAAAGAAAAGTAAAAAAAATTAAATTAAAATTAAAAAAAAAAAAAAACCCTCACGTCCCCTTTCCCCACACCCCCTCCCCCGTCTCTCTCTTCTCCCCCATCTTCATCTTCTTGCCCTTCTAGCGTCCATCCTGCAACCCAGAAAAAAAAAAAAAAAAAAAAACCAATTTATCCCCCCCGGGGGAAACTTGCAATTTTTCCCCAACCCCCCTTCCTTTCTTCCCCCCCCTCCCGTCTTCCCTAAACCCGCACCCACCCTCGCACTCACTACCTGCAACCCAAAAAAAAAAGAACCCAATTCCGTCCCCCTTCCCCCGTCCCCTCCTCTCCCCCCCTGCAACCCAAAAAAAAAAGAACCTAGTTCCGTCCCCCTTCCCCCGTCCCCTCCTCCGCCCCCCCCCCCCCCCCCCCCCCCAACCCAACCTGCAGAAGAAGAAAAAGAAGAAGAGAGAGAAAGAAAACAAAAACCCAGTTCACTCGTTCACCCCCCCCCCAAAAACCAAAAAAAAAAAACCTTGCAGAAGAAGAAAAAGGAGAAGAAGAGAGGGAAGGAAAAAAAAAAACCCAATTTGCCCGTCACCCCCCAAAAAAAAAAAAAACTTGCAGAAGAAGAAAAAGGAGAAGAAGAGAGAGAAGGAAAAAATAAAAAATAAAAAACCCAATTTGCCCGTCCCCCCCTTCCCAGCACCCACCCTCTTCCCTCCACACCCATTCCCCCTATTTTCTCCACGCTCAAGTTCTCAACCTTCAGAATTGGTATGCCAAAGGTTTGAAGGGGGACGAACTAAGTTTTGGTTTTTTTTTAATATTTTTTTATAACTTTTCTTTATTATTTTAATATTTAAAAAATATTAAATGATTTTTTTTAGTTTTTAATAATTTTTTTAATAGAAAATGGGCCCTGGATCAAGTCACGTCAGCATTTAACTAAGAAATTCATGCCAAGTTAACGGAAGGTATAACATTGTCACAAATTTGCAAGATAAGGTATGCCATTGCCAATTTTAAAAGATGAGGTATGAAAGTGTCGTGACACCAGTATTTGAGGTAGTTTTTTGTACTTTACCCAATTTTTTTTTTTTAATTAAAAGGCCAAATGTTTGATATACAGAGGAGTCCATAATGTTGTGCACATACAATATTTCTGTTAAATTGTTTTTCTTTAAGGTTAAGTTATAGGTTGATATACAGAGGAGTCCATAATGTTGTGCAGATCATTGTATGCTGCAGTAAATGATGAAGACAAGAAAGGAAAAACTTGACAATGTAAATGGGATTCCGCCTGATTTCTTGGGAGGTCTAATCTTTCCAAGCTTGTGAGTTCCGAATCTGTTCTGAGAAAGTGAGAGGAAGGACACAGATTTCAGTCGAAAAAAAGAGGTATTTGGACACAAAACCTCGATTGCAGGAATAAACATTGTTATCATCCATTTGAGCTGCCCCTTGCAATTGAACAAGAAATTAAAAGGACAAAAATAAAAACTCAAACAAGGAAAACCGAAACCAAGCAGTAATCAATGAAGTAGATAATTTTGTTATTGTGATGTCGAAGCAAGAGGAGGTTTTGCCAAAAACAGAATGGAGTCTGTCACTGTCGAAATTTGAATGACATAACCAGCTAGTTTCTTGTTCGGATGGGGGGCGTACTAGTTCAAGGGCTTCACCAGCTCTCATTTTTGTGGATAGTCTGAGCTTTCTATAATCTTCATAAGTAAAAGGGACACAGAGTCGAGGGTGCTCTGAATCCACAAATTCTGGAAGAGCTTCAACTGCTTCTTCCTTGGGTCCCAAGAGAAATGTAGCGATCGAAACTCGGATGGTTGCCTCCCTGCATTGTTTTACAGGTCCTTGTTATAATTTATACTATTGACTGGAAATCAAGAATTGTAGCTGTAACTGATGAATTCGTGGTTTCGGACAAACCTGCTGGTACAACAGTATGTATCATTACAGACACATTTCTTCATAGTACGTTTCATCACATACAGTTTCCATTGCAGCCTCCGGTTTCCCGGCGGTCAATGCTCAAAAGAAGCCTAGCATAAATATTTTTTCTTGCACTTCCGCTACATGTATGGTTTATAAGTGAAGAATTCTTCTGACTGCCAACGTCAGTGACCGCTCAAAAGAAGCCTAACATAAATATTTTTTCTTGCACTTCCGCTACAAGCCTACATGTATGGTTTATAAGTGAGGAATTCTTCTGACTGCCAGCGTCAGAACTGTGAGGGAGAGAGAGAGAGGGAGAGAGGGAGGGAGAGAGACAGAGGGAGAGAGGGAGAGAGAGAGAGAACAAAACACTAGCAACTATATAAACCCTTCTCACCCAAAACACTAGCAAGTTCTCTGCACACAAAACAGAACACCAGAGATTAGATTGTGTTTCCTGAAAACAAAGCGAGAGAGAGAGAGAGAGAGAGAGGAGAGAGAAGTACCAGTAAAGTGGAGTCTCTGACGGATCCGTTGAGGTGAGCGTGAAGTTCCACCTTTGGCATTGACAGCCAGTCCTCCATTGATAACTCTGTTTCTTTTTGTTCTTATATTGCATTTAGCTGCCTGGACCTCTATAGCTTCAAGCTGTAGAAATTCTACATCTGAGCTGTGTCAATGACATGACAAGCAAGCCAAGTCAACGCTGATTGCTGACGGTAGAAAGAAGACAAAGCCCATAATGTTTTTCGCTTCGGTAACTTTTCATTAGTCCGGACTAATTCAGTTCTATATTTATTGTTTGAATAATATTTGGACGATCAAATTTTTTTAACTAAATTTACTAATTAAATAATGTCATTGTAAATTATTGGATTATTAATTAAGTGTCGATTAACGTATTTAGTTCTTATTGGTGACACATAATTTGGTTTGCAAATTTGGTTTTAAAATTTGGGCTCCCTAAGATTATTCTTATTATTTTAGTGTATATAGTTGTCCGCACACAAGAACTTCTCAACCTAGAGCTCATTTGGAAATATTTTTAAAATAATTAAAAGCGTTTTTGTTGAAAATATTTTTAGATTCAATCGGTAGTTAAACTGCAAGTGAATCTTGGAAAAGCTCTTGAAAGATTTCATAGTGTTTTTTGCTGGAAACACTTCAAATACTTTTGGACCCCAAAGATATTTTCATGAACAGCGCTTTCAGTTATTTTAAATACACTTCTAAACACCCTCCTAGAGGGTAGAAAAATAAAAAGAAAAACTAATGAAAATGGCTTGAAAACTTTGAGTTTTAATGATAAGGACAAAATAAAGAGTAAAGTGAATAGTACTAAGATTGACATTTTAGTGTAAAAATATAGTTTTTCGTTAAAGTGAACAATACGGAAGCTTTTAATTAAAATTTCCAAAAAAAAAAAAAGCCTAAGAACTTCATCGGGCCCAACTCAAGGGTAGTTGGGTAACAGAGGCCCAATAACTAGTGGACTCGATCGAGCTTGGATAACGCTTTTGGACGCGGTCCATTACTCTGTAAAAACCCGACCCACAACCCGGCTTTTAGAAATCAAAATCTGAGTTAAACCTCACCTCAAAAATCAACTCAAATAGCAGCTTGTACTATCCAGCTTCAGCCTCCGGAGGAAGAAGATGGCGCCGGTGAGCTTCTCCTCAATGTTGGCCAACGGCTGCCGGACTTTCAGTGCGCCGGCGGCCCTTGTGCGCACGTTAGCACTCACCCACGTTGCTCTCAGTGAACACTCCAACAGCTACAGGCACGGTAAGGTGGCATGGTTTTCTCGGAGTTCGAATAAACGAAAATCTGCACGTCAGTCCCTGAAACATGATGTTTCGCAGCCAACTGCCGTTTCTTCTGCAAATGGGTACCTTAAATTTTCCGACTTTGATGCTTTTTTGTTTGTTTTTGTTTTTGGGTTTCTGAGATTTTGGCTTAATTGTTGGTATTTATTTGTTGAAAGTGAGAGTTCGAATGAAGGTCGAACTTGGAAGCAGTTTATTTGGTAACCGAGAAAATGATCAGAGATTAAGATGTGGATTGGAAATTTTAAATCTTTATCGTTTTAGAATACCAAATTCTTTCTTTGTAATGGAAATGGAAGCTCTGAGATTTTGGCTTTTAATTGTTAGTATCTATTTGTTGAAAGTGAGGCTTGGATTAAACTGGTAGACTTTGGAAGCACTTTGTTTGGTTACTGAGAAAATGAGCAGAGCAAAAGAATCTGGAAATGAAAATTTGAATCTCTATCGTTTTAGAGTTTTATAATTTTGAACATTGTGATGGATAATGTGTTGATATAATTGTCGCCAACAACAAAATGTTACATAGAGTTTCTGCCATTTCGTGTTCTATAGTTTGCTGACTTTGATATCATATCTTCTTTCAGCTACCCTGAATATACTCGGTTGCTTCCATGTCCCTCAGACAATGGACCACCAAGAATTGAGCACTTGGTTGTTTCAGAAGGGGGGCCTGTTCTAGAATATATCTGCAAAGTTCTGGATCTTCCTCTTCAGTGAGTGCTGCTCCTTTTGTCTTCTCACTGCTTTTTTGTTGATGTATGGCATATGATTTCCGTCATTATCAAGTTTGAGTTGATAAATAGAAAAAAAATTTCATTCTTTGAAGGTTTGTTGCAGATCTCATCCATTTTGGAGCTGTATATTATGCCCTTGTCTGTCCACGGCCTCCTCCAACTGCAACCCAAGAGCAGATGAGGGTATTTAAAGAAGTTACAGCACCATCAGTACTAAAAGATAGAACTTCCATCAAAGGAAAAACTGTAAGAGAAGCACAGAAGACTTTCCGCATAACACATCCAGACCAATTTGTTGAAACTGGAACCTACTTACGTGTTCATGTACACCCAAAGCGTTTTCCTAGGTAAAACACAATGTTTTACGCGTCCTTATGATAATTTTTACTAGTATTATTCTTGTTCACATCAAATTTTGATCAGGTGCTATGAAATTGACTGGAAAGCAAGAATTGTAGCTGTAACTGATGAATTCGTGGTTTTGGACAAACCTGCTGGTACAACTGTACGTATCATTACAGACACATTTCGATATCTGTTATCTGGCACTATCCAATGTTTTTTTTTGAGTAGTTAATTAGTTGCTTACATCAACTATGATTGGATAACAATTTTTGTCCAGGTAGGAGGAACTACAGACAACATTGAAGAAAGTTGTGCAACCTTTGCCACTCGTGCCTTGGGACTAACAACGCCCCTGATGACTACACATCAGATTGATAATTGTACAGAAGGATGGTATGTTCTATTATACTAGTTTGTCGTTTTTCTTGTTATTGAGACTCGAGACAGAGAGTGTAATGCTACTCACTCACTTGCAGTGTTGTCTTAGCTAGAACCAAGGAGTATTGCTCAGCTTTTCACGGAAAAATCAGAGTAAGTTTTGCAATCTCATGCTTTGGCATACATAATTTTGATAGCCATAATTACTGGGAGGGGGAGGGCAGAGTGTGATAACTCAGAAGCTGAGGGGTTCCTTATTACTTCCCTCCAACACGGAGTTTGTTTTCTTTAGGTCATTAAGTTTATTTATCTTTTCTTTCACCCAGGAGAAAAAGGTGAAGAAGCATTATCTTGCTCTTGCCGCTGCCCCTGTGCCAATTGGAACAATTACTCACTACATGCGTCCAATTAACATGGCTCCAAGACTCACTTCAGAAGGTAATAGTCTATGTCAAGCACTGCATAGAAACTAGTTTGGTGTTTGAGGAGTTGCACTTTGAATGTGTCAAGTGCCTTGAGATATTTACATCCTTACTACATTGTTTTGCCAATATCTTTTCTTTCTGTTTCCTATTTGGAGCTGAAATGACACCTTCAGTGTGTGCTGCTTGTGTGCTGAACTAAAAACCATTATTTCTCACAATGGGCATTTGGTGGGATGATTCAAATAGACAGGACATGACTGTTGTTTGACGTAATTTCAGGATTATGTCTTGTCCTTTCGGTTTTTATAAATGTTTTTAAAAGCCAATTTAAGGTTTTAATTAATTGAAGCCCACCCATAGAAAGCTTTCTTTAACTTGATGTAACATCTTCACAACCACAGTTGAAGAAACAAACTTTGTGAATAGAAATACACTTTGTGAAATTTTTACACTTAGTAGTAAACTCCTGTATGAAGCTAAACAATTATTGGCAACGCAGATTTCATGGAACGGTGGAGTTTGTGTCAACTTGAAGTCATGGAATGCAAGGAGGTTCCCTGGCCAAGTTCTGTTGTTGAACAGAAATATTGTATTGAAGACTGTGGGTGGCCTTCAAAAGAATATGCATATGAGTGTAAAATCAACCTTCTGACTGGGCGGACTCATCAGGTTACGAGCAAAAAACTACACTGATACATGAATTCATTTAGTTTCATTTTCTTTTCGGTCTCTGATTTGGAGCGAGATGGTGATCATTTTCTCAATTTGTTGTTTTTCTGAGATCTTTGAGATATGGTCTTATTAATATTGGCTTTAAATTGGTTCAAATAAAAGGAGACGTCATGCTGCTTCAAGCATATAATATTTCAAAAGGAATAAGATTTTCAGTAGTTTAGAATTCAAGATTTTGGGAAGATGACTTATAACTAGATATCTAAAAACTTTGACTTCTCGTTCTTTGGCACAAGGAATGTATCACTTGAATCTTACATGGTTACTGTATTCTGTTTCCGTTAGTTATGTCATTGGATTCTAAGGAACTAGGAGTTAAAAGAATATCGACGATTCTCTTAATAGTTTGTGTTGCAAGTAAGGTCAGATAATGATAATTTCTTTGGAAATAACTACATTGATGATGCAGGTTCGAGCACAACTGGCAGCGCTTGGTGCACCAATAGTTGGCGATTCCATGTACATGCCAGCTGCAGTTGCAGAAATGGCAAGTCCTGGGCGGAACCCCTTTGGCAAATATAAGAAGCATTATACTCATGTAACTGATAAAGAAGTAGCGATTGAAGAGTGGAGTGCACAGCATGGGAAGGAACCTGGTGTTGCTATTGGTCTTCAAGCATGTCAGATATCATGGGATGATGGGAAGTACACTTTTGAGGCTGGAGCTCCTTGGTGGAGGTGCAATTAAAATTAGAAGAGGTGGATGCGGATTGATTGCATGGTATGGTATTCTCCTTTTGGTGGAGTTAGGGTGTCTGCCTGGATCATATGCTTGATTTCTATAATTACAAGGCACAATGTAGACATACTTTTGCTTATAAGTTCATAGTTGGATATGCCTGCGGCCTGCCCTTGTATTTTGGTAATCTCTCTCTCTCTCTCTCTCTCTCTAATCGTTTGCATTCAAAATGGGTGTGGCCTCAATTATTGATTGACACCTGTTTATAAACTCATTTTGGGTGCAAAAGATTTGATCTCGCAGCAGGACGAGGACAATACTCTCTGCAAACATATATAATATTGCATCGCTCCTTCCAAATCACCCAACAGTAAATGCCCATGAACCTAAGGAATTGAGCTTCATGAGTGGTGGAAAACTCCCACAAAACCCTAGCTAATCGTATGACTAAAACATGGTATTACGTCGGAATGAAAACGGACTATCGGGTTACCGAATCCGATTATTATCAGATCATATTTGCTACAAAAGACACCAGATTTGAATCATTAACGAATTGTCAGATTGAAGTCTCAAATCTATATCCTATTAATACATTGGATTCGGATCGAAATCCAATTAAAGTATAGGTGTAAAACCAAGAAGAAGAAGAACAAAGATAAATAAGAAACAAAAGACTCAAGGTCAAAATGTAAAAACTCAAGGTCAAATTGGAACTGAAAGCCAAAATGTGAAAACTCAGGGTCAAATTTTGAAAACTCTAGGAAGTAGTTTTCAGTTTTTCATTTTAAGTTTTCAATGTTACCAAACAAAATTTCAGTTTTTGGAAAAGTGAAAACAAAAATTGAAAGCTGAAAACAAAATGGTTATCAAACGCTATTGTATATTAGATTGTTGCGATGTAGCATAGCAGTAGTAATGTGCACTAGTAAATAAGTCTTTTATTTCTCAAAGAAAAGTACACTTGATTAACGCACAAAGCGATCTACAACACTAGAGAAAAATTCGAAATATGCATATCGCCATGACCTACTCAAAGCTAAAGGGCCACAAACTCCCCAAAACCCTACAATGAAACCAAGAGACACTGAAATTTGAAGCCATGGAATTCCATTCCCAGAGTCATGTGCATCTTCCCGGTCCTTAGTCGTATCACTATCACCTGGACTCTTCTTCGGGCACTTATTTGGAAGTGGGGAACCGCAAAGTCCAGGGTTACCCTCAAAGGCAGTAGCATTGAAGCCTTGGAGCTGAGTGCCTAATGGTATTTGGCCTTGGAGGTTATTGTAGGCAACACTAAATGAAGACAAGAAACTAAGACTTGATAGTGATGCTGGGATTTCACCAGAAAGATGGTTTCTTGAGAGGTCCAATATCTCCAACTTTCGGAGGTTCGAGATTTGGTGTGGAATGTTGCCAGAGAATTTGTTAAAACCAATATTCAGTTCTTGGAGAAGTTGCAATTGCCCAATATCGCGGGGTATATTGCCACTTAGACTGTTGTTCCTGAGGGCGATTAGTATCGGCATGTTGGACAAATAGTTGACCTGTAACCTAGTTAGAGACCCATTAACGCTTTGGTAGTAGACGGGCAACTCTATAACGCCGTGACGTGTTTGAGTTGCAGCCTTTTCCGATCTGAGCGCTTGTAGTCTGCAAAGCTCCTTTGGAAATTCACCTGAAATGAAGTTACTTTGCAAGTTTATAAAGGAAAGACTTGGAAGAGTCCCCAACCAACCAGGTATTGGTCCCGTGAGTCTGTTAAAAGACATAATCAACCGTTTCATTTTCTTGAGCTTCGACAGCCATACAGGTACTTTTCCTGTCAACTGGCACCCTGACAAACTGATAATGCGGAGATTTTGGAACCCTGATGAATCAACCATGAGATCACCATCTGGCATTTCTTCACCTTGAAAATTATTTGCCAAAAGGAGTGCCCTTAAACTTTTGGAATCCTTCAATATCTTCATTGCCCCTGTGACATTGGTCAATCTGTTAGAAGAAAGGGAAAGGAATGCCAAGGATTTTAAAGAAAGAACTTCATGCTGTAATTGTCCCTCCAGATAATTGACGCCCAGTCGGAGTGCAATCAAGGACTTGCATGAGTAAACACTTATTGGCAAGGGACCGGTGAAGTGATTATTCTTAAGGTCAAGTTTAATAAGTTGAGTAAGCTTGGAGAAATTAAGCACGGAGAGATCTCCTTCCAATTGGTTGTATCCTAGATTCAGTTCTGTAAGGCTTGAGCAATTCATCAAAGACGGAGGCAGCAAACTCTCTAGATTGTTGAAATGGAGGATTATGAGCTTCAATCTGGAGAGCTTCCCAATATGAAGAGGAAGTGCGCCGCTCAGCCCATTAAAGTTGAGATCCAGGATTCTGAGGTTGGTAAGATTGACAATATTCTCATCAATGGTCCCAGAAAGCTTATTGGAGGGCAACGAAACTTCTTCTAGTGCTCGAGCCTTGTGAATATCACTTGGAAGTGTCCCCGAAAGGTTATTGAAGCCTGCACGAAAGAGCTCCAATTTTGAACAGTTACCAAGTCCAAGGGGAATTATGCCACTGAAATCATTGTGGGAGAAATCCAAGCTTCTAACGAAAGGAGAATAAGAACATTTGAAAGATGGTATTTGGCCCTTAAGGAGATTGTTGCTGACATTTAAGTTGCTCAAATTCCATGCACGCTGGAGGAACGATGATGGAGTTTTTCCGTTGAATTGATTGCTGGACAAATCCACTACTCGGATACAACTTGGCGGTGGAGATAGCGGTAGTTCTCCAGAGAGAAGGTTGTAGCTCAAATCAAGGATCTGAAGACGACCCAAGGACAGAAAGAATCCAGCTTCCAGGTGACCAGAAAGTATATTATGGGAGAGATTGAGGTGGGTGAGATGCGTGAGATTTCCAAGAGATGGAGAAATGACTCCTTTGAGGCGTTTGGAGGGCAACAATAGATGGGTGACTCTACCAGCCATATCACAAGTGATGCCCTCCCATCGACAACAGTCGTTGGAAGACCAGTTTAAACTAGAAGAAGCGATATCAAATGAAGAAAAAAGAGATTGTTGGTCCATTTTGCTGCAAGCAGCATGGGTTGTAGAAATACCGCTTGTGATAAACAAGATGAAGAGTGGGAGGAAATATGATTTAGTTAGATGACTAGGCTGCACCGCCATGGTTCTTGTTGAAAGTGGCATACAAGTATATTAGATTGCTCAAAGGTGTATACTGCTTTTATAGACAAAATGATGTGGAAACAGCATCGGAACACAGAATTATGCGTTAAACAGACGCCATTGAACGAGATATTTTTCAATGTCACAAGTACACTGAGTGGTATATCACGTGTTGCTATATAAACAGTGAAACATATGTATTAAAAAGTTAATAACTTAAAATATAAAATTTCTCACCACTTACATAAAAATACGTAGTATACCACATATGTTTCCGTTACAATAAAAAGTTTCTTCCATTGAACAGAACTCTAAGTAGGGCCCTGGAAGACCCGTAGATCTAAAAATTCCATGATTTTAGTCTTGGTCTATGCTAACGTTTTTTCAAGCTTTAATTATGAAGTGTTGATTTTATGTTTCAACTATGTGCATATTTCACAATAAGATCAGTACAAAGACGTGTAAGAGAATGGGATTGACAGGGTGGGCATAAATTGCCGGACAACACAAACAACACGCCTCACTTTCTCGTCAAGTCAAAGATAAGGAACACCAAATACAAGGCACAATCAGCTGCCATAAATCAACGGGAAAAGGTGGTAATCACAACTCATCAGAAGATTAGGGATGGGGAATAGGGATTTGGATTCTCGGATCCATTTTATTCGTTCATCGTACAACATGCGATCAGAAATCATTATGATTTTTTTTTAAATTAAATACAAAAAGTACTTAACAAACAATAACCGCACGATATACAATGAATGGTGTAATTGTAGATACACACACACTTGAATATTCAACAGCTAGTTAGATCATTGTATGCAATAGTAAATGATGAAAAGAAATGACGACTTGATAGCGAAACTGGGTTTCTGCATGACCGAGAGATTTCTGCGCAAAGAGGTCCAATCTCTCCAATCTTGCGAGGTTTGATATTTGGAGTAGAATTTTCTTCTTTCTTTTTTTTCTTCCCCTTCCATACCCTCCCATTTGAATGGTCACAATTAAGCCACATCAACATTTTATATTAATTTTTCACTAGAAAGAGAAAAATAAAAGAGCTCCAATTTTGAACAGTTACCAAGTTCAAGGGGAATTATGCTACTGAAATCATTGTGGGAGAAATCCAAGCTTCTAACTAAAAGAGAATAAGAACAGTTGAAAGATGGTATTTGGCCCTTGAGGAGATTGTTGCTGACATTTAAATTGCTCAAATTCCAGGCACGCTGGAGGAACGAAGGTGGAATTGTTCCGTTGAATTGATTGTTGGACAAATCCACTATTCGGATATAAATTGGTGGTGGAGATAGCGGTAGTTCTCCAGAGAGAAGGTTGTAGCTCAAATCAAGGATCTGAAGGCGACTCAAGGACAAAAAGAATCCAGCTTCCAGGTGGCCATAAAGTATATTATGGGAAAGATTGAGGTGGGAGAGATGCTTGAGATTTCCAAGAAATGGAGAAATGACTCCTTTGAGGCGTTTGGAGGGCAACAACAGACGGTTGACCCTACCAGCCGGATCACAAGTGATGCCCTCCCATCGACAACAATCTTGGGAAGTCCAGTTTAAACTAGAAGAAGCGATGTCAAACGAAGAAAAAAGAGTGTTGGTCCATTTTGCTGCATGCAGCATGGGTTGTAGAAATAAAGCTTGTGATAAACAAGATGAAAAGGAGGAGGACATATGATCTAGTTAGATGCTTAGGCTGCAGTGCCATGGTTCTTGTTGAAAGTGGCATACAAGTATATTAGATCGCTCAAAGGTCTATACTGCTTTTTATGGGCAAAATGATGTAGAAACAGCAGCGGAACACAGAATTAGCGTGCTGGAAGGTGCCTTTGTAGAATGCAACCAAATCATATTATTATATACGCACGGCCGTTTCTTTTGACTATATTGCACTTGCAACAATGTAGTGATTACTATTGCTAATCTAGAGCCAAGAAGACTGCAGGTGAAAAATGATTTTAGTCTTGGTCTGTGGTAGCGGTATT